CATTTCAAATCCCGTTGATCCCTCTCATCGAAATCAAAATCCTTCACCTCAAATTCCAATTCCGATTCAAGTCTCTGAAATCAACATCCTGAAATCAATCGTCGATTCTTTCGTCCCTATCTCTCTCTCCCTCTCTCTAATCAATCTGCCTACCTACTATCTATCCATCGATCTGTCTATCGATCTTCCTATTCGTTTATCTACCCATCAGCCGATCTATCTGTCTATGTATCGATCTACCTATCTATCTATCTATCTATCTAACCAGCTGTCTATCTATCTATCAATCTATCCGTCCCTCTACCTATCTACCCTTGGAACCTATCCCATACCGTTGTCCCAACTCCAAAGATAGGTCTCACTTGAATCCCTCTCATCTAATCCCTCGGACCGCCGAGTATAACTCTGCTCCAAAGAAATACCGAATTCTCGCTTGGGTGCTTCCCCTTGACTCCTCCCTGCTTTGTCAGACCAAGCCTCAAGTTCGAAATCCAAAATTCAATTTCCAAATCTCGTATCCCTCCGAATCGATTTCCTCGGAAAAAGTCTAGTTTACCTCCCTCGGTTGTTGTGGGCCGTTTTTTTTCCCTCGGCCCATCTCTCTCCCTCAGCCGCTCCTTCCTCCCTCGCGTGCGCTCGCTCTCTCGTCTTCTTTCTCTCTCTCTCTCTCTCTCGTCGAACTCCTCTCCTCGGCGCTGATTCCCGCCGCCGCCGTTTGAATTCGCCGGTCGCCCTTCCCGCGCGCGCGCTCGCCGCTCGGTCGCCGCCGCCATCAGCCCTTGCACCGCCGATGCCACGCGCTGCCGCCTTGCCCCCGCTCCATGCCAAACCGACCGCCGCCGTCATCGTCGACGTCATCCATGGCCCCCGCCACTCCACGCCGCACCCGTCCAAGAGTAGGAGAAGCAGCTGCTCTCCCTCTCCTCCTCCTCCTCACTCTCCCTCTCCTCATTATGGCAAGGGACCAAGCCCCTTTCCCCCTTCTTTTTCCTTTTTCCCGACCACCGCCGGCGTCACCACCTCTGTGCCGCTTGACCGCTCGCGCCACCTGCCTCATCTCCTTGACCGCCCCAATGTCGGTTCTCTCAAACCGACATCGCCACCTACAAAACCCACACCCCCTCCCATACCTCCCGCTTCCTCTCCTCCCTCACACCACTGCCGCCTCGCCGTTCGTTGTCGTTCTCGCCCTCCTCTGCCGTCGTGCGTGTCGGAGAGCTAGCGAGCACAAGGAGTCGACAAGGAGCTCCACGCCGCCCCATCCTCGCACCTCTCCATCTCTTCTTCCCCGGCCGCGCCCTCTCGGTGCCGCGTCGCCCCGCCGACGCGTCCGCCTCGCCGCGACTCCATCCGCGCCGCCGACACCGTTCTCTCGTCGGTGAGCTCCCCACTGAACCCCTTTTCCCTTGTCGCACGCCGCGCCGCGCCCGCCGCCGTTCGTCACATCTCGCCGCGCGCCCTTGCTCTGTCCTGGGCGTCGCTCGCCGTCGCTCGCCGTCGCCGGCCTCTCTCGGCGTCGCCCGTGCCCTCTCGACCGGTGGAATGAGCTCGCGACCTCGCGTAGATGCTCCCGCTCCAACGAATCGAACCCCCGTTGCCCCGGTGAAGTTTTCCCCCTTGCTCGCCGCCGATGATCGCCGTCGAAATCCGCCGCTGTCGGCTCCCCTCTTGTCAATCCCTCTCACCACCACGCTCTCGGGGATCCCCTTGATCTCCCCCTTGTTGCCCCATGGCCGCCGGCCTCCCCTCTCGCTCTCCGCACCGTGCCGCCCCGCCGTCGCGTCTGCCTCGCCGCGACTCCATCCGTCCCGCCGTTCCCGCTCATGGGTGAGCTCCCCGCCCAAATCCTCTCGTCTATACCCTCTAGCGACTCCTAAACAGCACTGGGGCATGGTAGTTTGTGCGTTCGTCCTCCAAATCGCGCCCTTGCCGATGCTTTGCTTCCGCCGCCGCCGTGCGCAGTCACGCGCCGCCGCCGGTCGGTCCCGCGCCGAATCCCCTCGCCGCCACCCACCTTGAGCTCCAATGAACCACCCCAAACTGCCAATTCCGCCGCCGGCCTCCTCTTTTGCTCCCGCGCCATGCCACCCATCCCGCCGCCGCACGGCCGCCGTCGCCGGCCTCCGTCGCGCCTCCTCTCCCACATCCGAGCCGGTGGATGGAACCTCCGTGACCCCCTCTCGCTTCCGGTGCTCGCCACTCGCTCCGGATTGCCACCGTTCGCCGGATTCCGCCGCGCGCCGTGAGCCGTCCGATCTCTGGCCCGGCTCCTCCCCTCTCTCTCTCTCCCGTGCCAACGTGGCCGCCACCCTGGCCCGCCGGCTCCGCTTGACCGGGTCAAGCAGCGACCGGTCAGCGTCGCCCGCGCGCGCAGGCCTGGCTCGGCTCGGCCTCACCCACCCGACCGTGGGCCGCCCAACCCGAGCCGACCCATCTCCTCTCTCTCTCTCTCGCTAGCCGATGGGCCTCACCTCTCTCCTCGCTCCTTGGAACAAAGTCTATGTCGCCTCCCTCTTCCAAACCAGCTGCCGTGGAACAAAGTCTAACTTTGCTCCCTCGTCCTCCCCCTACCACATCCGCCACCCATTGGACCGCAGCCCATCTATCCTCTCTCACTCTCACTTCTTGTTGGCCCCACTTGTCAATGAGTCAAAGACACTCTTGAGAATATCTTCTCCAATATTCCACAAATATTTCTCTTTTCCATAAATTCAATAAATCATTTTTCCCTCTTTCAGAAATCAATTCCTTATTTCAAAATTCCATGAATCATTTTCCTTGGTCAGTGACTGTCAATAATATTCTTGAGAATATTATTTCCATAAATTCCGACAAAACATTTCCTTAATCCTTAGAAAATCCATATCTTCTCAACCGCTCATCCGATTGACTCCGTTCCACTTCCAGTAATTCCGTAAAATTGAGATCTATTTAATGGCACTACTAATTAGTCTAAATAGGATCTTTCTTTTGGTCCTTTGTTTAGGTTTTCGATTGTTTGCGTATAGTTGCGGTTATCGGATTTTCGTCGATCGCGGGTTTTCCCGAAGATTCGTGAAGCTTCGTGGAGACCTTGAGCAAGGCAAGTCACCCTTTGATCAATTGCCCCTATAATTGAAAAGTCATTATTATTTTGTTTGCAACTTGCATTATTAGAATCACACACTTAACTTGCTTGGCCTCGGTTTGCGTGCCAAACCGATGGACCTACCCAGTAGTCGCACTAATTTCCGTAGGTCGTACTACCCTGATTCCTTGTCGCTCCACCCTTGTGGTACCTCGGTATTCGTGCTCTCTGAGCGCGTATACCAAATATCCCACATACACCGTTGCTTGTCGAAAACTTGGGAAAAGGGTTTGTGAAGCCTTCAAAACCCGACATGTGGTGTCGGTGTGTTTGAAAATAAAATAAATTGTGAAAACTCGCGATGTGGGGGTTGTGCTTATGTGGCACTGTCCCGTATTCGCATATAAGGACCGATTCCTGTGGGAAACTCATCGAACATAATCAAAGTGCAACCACAAGGTGGAATGGGACACCCTGGCTAAGTAACTAGTCAGTTCAGGGAAACCTCGCATGCCAATAGTTGGGAACGCCGGGGCGGGGTCGGTTGGAGCCAAACCGGGTTCCTGGTAATGCAAGAACGAGAAGCTTGCTGAATTACCGATCAAGGTGGTTGGAGTTTGATTTGTGAACGCCTAAAATGGCCTATGTTTATGTGAGGATTTGATCCTTCTATGTGGCATGAGGTATCCCTGGGTCGGCTTGGGAAAGGCTTTGTCGCGAACCTCTGACACCGGCCAGTGTCTGGAGTAAGTTCGTGTCTTGTGGGTAAAGTGTACCCCTCTGCAGAGGTTAACTAACTGTTCGAACAGCCGTGCCCACGGTCATGGGCGGATGTGAGGTGGTTCCCGTTGCGTAGATTTGTTTGCCTGTGCTTTGTGAAAAGTTGTTGTGGTGTGGGAATCGTAACCAGAATCAGCCTATGTGGCAGATGGATGACCTGAGTGGTCAGAAACGAATCTGTGTGATTCGGGATGTCTGCGGGCATCATAGACTAGGCTTCCCGAGTGGAAGCGGATTGTTGTGCTGCTGGGCAGCTGGACTCTGGGAGTCCGAGAAAATGAAAAAGGCTCTGGGAGCCGATTAATCAAGTGGAATGGCTCTGGGAGCCGAGAAGTAATGATCTGACCCGGGAGGTCGGTATATTACCAAATGAGCTGTTGAAAAACATCTCTTAAAGTCGAAACGAGACGCAAGTCTCTTTTCGGCCCAAACTTAGAAAGAAACAAATCACTTAGTGATTTCAAAATGTCTTCAAACAAAAGATTTGCAAAACAACCTTGCCTCTCTTCCAAGCTTGCATTAAACACCTAAATTCCCGTGACTTGCTGAGTACGAAAGTACTCACCCTTGCTCTATATAAATATATATATATAGTTCCTCCGCCCTGAAGAGAAGATAAAGTGAAGTGAAGATTAGGGTTTCGTCCTGGTTCCTAGCCGTCGCCTGTGGTGTTGGGTGTTAGACCGTTGGTTCCGCTGCTGCTGCTGTTGTTGGTGTTCGCCTCGTCCGTGTCGTCGGTTGCATTCTCGGGCTGTCTGAGCTGCCACCTAAGTTAAGGTAAATAAGTCCTCTATTTATTTTAAGGATTGCTATGATTCATATTTGTCACCGTGGGTACCAGCACTATGTCCTGGGACTGGTACCGAGATCGCGGTTTCGTAGGAAGCGGTTCGCGTCGTTTTCCCTACGACACGCTCCTATTAGGTGCCGTTGTGCGGCGGTGCCGGATTGGGGTGTGACAACTGGCGCCCCCGCCGGCTAGCCTTCGTGCGCCGCAGACTGCGCCACACCCACCGGCAGCTCCTCCTCGCACCGAGGTTGCCTCCTCCACCGCCGGCCGCGCCTCTCGCACCAAGTCGGCCTCCTCCACCGGACGCGTCTCTCGCGCCAATCCGGCCTCCTTCCATCGGCCGCGCCTCTTGCGCCAAGCCGGCCTCCATCTCCGCCGCCCGCGCCTCTCGCGCCAAGCCGGCCTCCGCTGCCATCGGCTGCACCTCTCTGCGCCTAGCCGGTCTCCGACCCCTCCTCCAAACGCTGTCGCGCCGTCTAGTTGCAGCCGTTTGCCACGCGCTCGGCTAGCCATCCGAGGCCGCCGTGCCTCCTCCCACTCAGCCACGGTCGATACCGCATGCAGCCGCCGCCACAGCTGCGACTGCCTCAACCGCCACCGCCACCTCGCTGTCGTGGCTACCTCAGCCGTCGCCGCCACCACGGTCGCCGTCCCGACTGCGTGTCTGTGCTGCGGCCAGATCCCGTTGGGGCGCCACCGGCACAACCAGGCTGTCACCGGACGCGACCTCACCGTCGCCGCTCTGGTCTTGCTCGCCGAAGTCGCTCGCGAGACCACCGGATATAGCAATGGAGCGCCAGATCCAGCAGCCGTCGTTGCCATCTCCTGCTGCCGCCCAGGCTCCATCCCGCCGTCCACCGCAGCAGCTGGGTCATGTCGTCGCCACCCGGCCGCCGTCACCGCCCGCTGGCCTCTCGCCGGAGGGGCCAGATCTGGCCGGCGCGACAACCCCCGCCGTCAAGGCGCGCCGGTGTCCCCGCCGTAGCAGCCTTCGGGAGAGAGAGAGCCTCGCCACCGCCGTCCCTGCAGCCGCCCGGCTTGCCGGCCAGCCGCTCGTGCGGCGATGAGGCGGAGGGAGGAGAGAGGGGGTGGCGGCGGTGGGTTGTGGGGAGGCGCCGTCCGGGTCGCCTAGGGACGGGAGCGACACGGACGGGAATATCGAAGACTTATGTTTCTAGTGTTGTTGCTAAGACTCTTGCATTGCAGGAGCTTAAAGGAAACATTCGAGTCTTCTGTAGGGTGCGACCTTTATTGCCAAATGAATCAGGAGCTGTTGCTTATCCAAAGAGTGGAGAAAACTTAGGTCGTGGCATTGAGTTGACACATAATGGTATAGTAACACTTGCTGCGATCCTTCTGTGTTTTTTACTTTCATATCTGCACCTCTTGGAAAATTCATTCCAGTAATTCTTCATTTTTCTTCACAGGTCAAATGTATTTCTTCACATTTGACAAAGTATTTGAGCAGTCGACATCACAAGAAGATGTGTTCATTGAGATTTCCCATCTCGTCCAGAGCGCCCTTGATGGCTACAAGGTAACATTTACTTGTCGCTGTGCTTTGAGAAGTGCAAGAGCACAACCCCACTATAGGAGTGGGAAAAAAGTTTAAGTCCACAAAAGTTAGTATCTATAATTCGTGCTAGCTAATGTGAAAACAACTCAGGTGTGCATATTTGCATATGGCCAAACTGGCTCGGGTAAAACATACACAATGATGGGAAATCCAGAATTACATGACCAGAAAGGATTAATTCCGAGATCACTTGAACAAATTTTCCAAACAAGCCAGGCTCTTATTTCACAGGGATGGAAATATAAGATGCAGGTGAGTTCTTACCCACTTCAATTGGTCAGTTTGTTTGAGCTAACAAAGGTGCAGGCTTTCTATAGTTGTAACTCTCATGTTTACCTTTGAACATCTAGGCATCTATGTTGGAAATCTACAATGAAGCCATATGTGATCTGCTAGCCACTAATCACACAACTATTCAAGATGGTGGCGCTTCAAAGTACAGTATCAAGCATGATGCCAATGGTAATACCCATGTATCAGATCTCATAATCGTCGATGTGTTGAGTATCAATGAAGTTTCTTCTCTCCTCAAGCGGGCTGCTCAGAGCAGGTTGCACTCTAGTTCTTCTCATCAGTTTTTCAAATCTTCAATTAAATTTGTAAGAACAGAAGAACAGAAAGAAGGCAAAGAACCTGGATATAGTTTCTGTGAGCACATAGAAACATAATCAGGTAGTCATAAGGCCTGAAGTGAAGTTAGAAGCATAATTTCAATGAAATGTAATAAGTCAAAAACTGGCATTATTATGACTCCATTTTCACAATCATGGTATCAACATTTGTGCCTTACATACTGTTGTGCTATAAAATGCACGATAATTTAGCTGAATTCTCCAAGAAAGAAAATTTGCTGCCATACGTTGTAAACAGCTTTATTATTTATCTGCAGATCTGTTGGAAGAACACAGATGAACGAAGAATCATCTAGAAGTCATTGTGTGTTCACGCTTCGATTTTTTGGTGTCAATGAGGTATGCGATATCTTCTAATGTAGGTCTTGCTAATGCCTGGTAATTTTTTGTAGTCATCATTTGGATTGTTTTCTCTACAGGGAACAGACCAGCAGGTGCAAGGAGTGCTCAATCTAATCGATCTTGCCGGCAGTGAGCGGCTTAACAAGAGCGGTGCCACCGGAGATAGGCTAAAGGAGACACAGGTAATTTGCTATTTCACACCTCAGTTTTTGTTGCATCTAAGGTGTATACATGGTACAATGCGTAACCACTGTTGTGATGTAAATTTGCTATTTAGGCTATTAATAAAAGCCTCTCGTGCTTGAGCGATGTAATCTTCTCCATTGCAAAGAAAGAGGAGCACGTTCCATTCAGGAACTCAAAATTAACGTACCTGCTACAGGTAAATTCTAAGCACTCAGCTAAGAATATCTGCAAACTTGGTATGGTTTCCATGGTTATAATGTGTGAATGATTTTGTTCCCCTTGGACAAAGCCATGCCTTGGAGGAGACTCGAAGACACTTATGTTTGTGAATCTGTCTCCAGAGGTGTCGTCTACAGGGGAGTCAATTTGCTCGCTACGGTTCGCAGCACGGGTGAACTCGTGCGAGATTGGCATCCCTCGTCGTCAAACCCAAGTGCGTAGCTTGGCGCAAGGATGAGTTGGCTTGGACAAGATGAATGTCCATGACTAATTGTATTTGTGTGTTGTTTGAGGGATGCAATGGATCATTTGCATCCCCTCCGTGTGTTGGGCATGGGCATATTTGCTTAGAGGGTGTGTATAATATTCTGATTTGGCATGTGGCTTTGTTGATTGTAGGAGCATCGCATTGCATTACAGATAGTAGTATTTAATTTGTGGCTGCAGCACTGTGCAGTGGTAGTAACAAGATGTGAGGTTGGTTGTATTTTATTGGAGAGGTGCCCTGTGTTGTGTTGGGCTGGCTTTGTTTGGATGAAGAAGACAGACTAGTAATTGGAATTCAAATGCTCTGTTGCTTTTTAGTACTTACTGAGTATGAAGTTATATTGCATAGCGTAGATGTGAATATATATGTGAATGTGATGACAAGTGAGACAAATACTAGTACACCGCCACTAAAACTAGGCCATCTTTGCCATGACCTCCTGGAGGATGATCTTGGTGTGGGCGTAGGAGGAGCCGATCTGGGTGTCGTCCTTGGTGCCGCAGGCCTTCTGGAGGCGCTCGAAGCTGTCAAAGAGGCGGGTGACGAATCACGGGCCTCACCCTAGAGATACTGGATTGGGAGAAGTGGGCCCCTAGAGAATTTTCTAGGAACCACTTACCATAGGCCACGAAGCAGCGGTTGATTCGGCGAAATGTCGAAGATCTCAGGGTCCACAACTGATGTCAGTGCCAAGCACGTCAGTGCCAAGCTTAGACGATGTCAGTGCCAAGCACGTCGCCTAACCGCGCCGTTAAGGTAAGCTAGCGGGCGCGACACCATGGACCGCCGATGCATATTTCTGGGCGAACTTAAGACCTTGATAACTTTGCCTTCCGGACATGGAATCGAGCTAGGTTTTTTTTTACGGCTGCAGAATCACGGGCCTCACCCTATAGAGACTAGATTGGGAGAAGTGGGCCCCCTGAGATTTTTCTAGAAACCACTTATTATAGGCCATGAAGCAGCGATTGTTTCGGCGAAATGTCAGAGATCTCATGGTCCACAACTGATTGCAACGAGATGGTTAGGATAGGAATGTCACATAGGACGTTAGGGTGGATAGCTTAGACGATGTCGGTGCCAAGCATGTCGCCTAACCACGCCGTTAAGGTAAGCTGGCGAGCACGACACCGTGGATTGATGATGCAGATTTCTGGGCAAACTTAAGACCTTGATAACTTTGCCTTCCGGACATGGAATCGAGCTAGGTTTTTTTTACGGCTGCAAAATCACGGGCCTCACCCTAGAGAGACTGGATTAGGAGAAGTGGGACCCAGAGTGATGGCGCTGCTGAGTCGAAAGCTGAGAATATTATAAGTACAGATAACAGATTACAGCAACGGGTGCATTGCTCAAAAAGACGCGAAGCAGCATAATTGGGAACTTACAAGCTTAAAGCATTTCTTTCCTGCTCAGAAAAAAAACGAGGATCGTTCGGAATCCGAAGAGTGATCGCATTTGTGTCTAAGTAACATTCAAGGAGACTCACTGTCTGCCTTGCTCTTTTTGGATTCCATTACATTACAGAACAAGGCTTATTCTATGGAACCTTCTGTGCTAGTTTCAGTTTCAATACTTTACAACACCACCAGTCCACCACACCTGAGCAGCAGCACTCATGGAGGAATTTATTCCAAGAAACTAATACGGTTCCTCTTTCTCAAGTTTGACAGGAACTATCAACTGTTGGTGTAGACACTAATAGTTACTGGCTAGTCTGTCTTGAATCTGTGTACAAACTTCTCCAGGCCCTCTTTGCAGTCCTCCACCACCCTCTTCGACTTATCCCCAATGGTTGAACCAAACACGTAGACATTGTCCTGTGCTTCGGATGACAACTTCTTTGCCTTCAAAGCTGCAGCAGCCCCTAGATCTGTAAATCGCTGCGTTGCTTCTTCTGCTCCCTGCTTTAGAATTGAGATGAAAGACCTCACATGCTGTATTACTCTCTCCAGGGAATGGCAAGACCGGACTTTTATCTCAGCAGACATTGACTTCAGCTTCTCCAGCAAAGACCCAGCTCGGTTAATTGCTTCGTCAACTTGATGTTCTTTGCCAGCATTGGCCCATGTGACTCCAGCTGATGCATCATCTTCAAGCCCTCCTTCAACAACAACCTTGATTCCATGACGCTCCCATTGGTTCCGGGCTTCCTCAAGGGCCCTGGCATGCTCCCTGGCCTTCTTTGCTTCATCCTCTGCCCAAGCCCTGGTTAAAGATGCGCATGTGAATTCATAGGAAGTGACAGTCATCACTCATCACTCACTACAATGTCAAATAAGCATTTTGAGTGGAGCCTACTAGTGATATCATACAGCAGGCAGAAATGCATCATGGTACAGGAGCAACTTAAACAGAACCAGCAGTTTTGAGGGCTAAAACACAAATATCATTTTTTTAATGAAAACAACAACACAAAAGAACCTGTGGAGATACCATCACTTAGGCTGTGTTCGGTGGTGGGTGTTGGGAACCCATCACCTATGCACGGAAAACGGAGCGGTCCATTAGCGCGTGATTAATTAAGTATTAGCTATTTTTCGAAAATGGATCAATATGATTTTTTAAGCAACTTTCATATATAAACTTTTTGCAAAAAAAACACACCGTTTAGTAGTTTAAAAAGCGTGCGCGGAAAACGAGAGGGGGGAGTTGGGAACTCCCGGTATCGAACACAGCCTTAAGCAGTTGAGTGTTATGCAGGACACATGAATATCTAGGTTCCCAGGAGAACCATCATGCTTTTATAGTCTCCTATATATTATCACTACAATTCGAAGTTCTTAAAAGGAAGTTCAGAATCATAATAAATGGATAGAAGTTAAAACCCTATAAAATCATAAAGCAAGAGAAACTGCATGTAAGCCAAAAATAATGTGCGGTCAAAGATAGGTCCAAGGTAAAGGCAAACGAATTTACTTGAGAGGAAAATTCAGGTATTACGAATTGTTACCGGGCCATTGATAAAGCCTTCCTCTCAACTTCAAGTTCATATTGAAGCTGCACAACAGCCTGTCTGTCATTCTCTATTTCCGTTTGGAGTTTCTCAATCCTATTCTTCTCAAACGAGATCTCCACCTTCTTGCTCAGCACACTTTGCAGCTGTTCCTCTACTTCACTCCTCAATTTTGAGAGAACTTCCATTTCAGATTCAACAGAAGCTCTGCCCCTAATCAGAGCATTATTTTCTTCCACTCTTTCTGCTCTCAACTTGTCCAATTCAACCCTAGCTTCTTCAGCTAACTTTTCAAGTCTCTCTATTTTTTCTCTTTCCTTTGTAAGCTCTCTCTCAAAAGTGGCATTCAGATCTTTCTCAACCTGAGCAACGAGTTCACCATGTGCATTTACAGCATCTTCAGCTATTTTCTCTGCTTCAATACGAGCAAGCTCCTCCATAACCACATCAGCAGAATCACCAGTTGAAAGTGCAAGAGCCACTTGTCCTTTCGTCACGGGTTTATCCGGCTGGAAGAGCCTTGTAAAACCTTTGAAAAGAGCTTAGTGATTACTCAGAATAAAAGAGGGAAAATATGTGTGTGTGTGTGTGGATATGTGGTATAAAACCCTACCAAATGCAAGAGCTGTAATGCTCTGGTCTCCAGCATCCAAGTCAGCCACCAAAGCGGGCCAAGCAGCTGCATTTATTTTATCAACGTCCATATATCCAGAAGCTTTGTACATAGACTGCCCACAGAAAGTTTTAACATCAGAACAACCAGCTGGTCTTTTATACCAACTTAGAAGGATAAGAATCTTTTCATTTCTCACAGTTTTGTCCACTTCAGGTAATTGCCTTTTATCCAAAGCCATCTTCCAACTCACGAGGTCTTGACGTGACACAGGACTGCAGTAAGGACAAATTATTAGGACTGTTTTGGTTGCACTTGTGGTAGAGAGGTGTGTGTCGTTGTGTGGGTGTGTGGGTGTTTGGTGTGGGGTGCGTTGGGGGTTAGAGAATCACCATTCCGGAGAAAACAAATTATGCAAATTGTCAACATCTAGGGGAACGTTCATATCAGATCTCGAAAGCTTGCTGGAAATCAACCCAGCTTCTGCCAAGCCTATGGGCATATTGAAAGATGTACAAATATCATTAGTTCATGAAAACATAGTAAATTTTACTAAAGATGTAGTTTGTCCTCAACACTATTCTCTTCTCACCTTGTATAAATGGAAAATCAAAATCTTCAGGTGTGATATCATCAAAGGCAAGTTCAGTCACATTCTCAATATACATTGCTGGATACACTTTGGAGGAAGTGTTCCTATAGTTGGAAATCCAAACAAGAACTTAGTCTATGGAATGAATTACTAAGTGAACCAAATTCAAAATTATAAGGCAAAAATATGAAATTCCATCCTTTGCTGACCTATTTTCTATCCACAAAAAGTATAAGCCACAGCAGCTAAATAGCTCCATGATGATAAGGAAGAAGTTAAATAAATCTAAAAATCAGCAAGCGGATGGATGATTTATTATACATGTATTATTAAAAGAGTAAAGTCCATCACCGGTCCCTAAACTTGTACCGCTGTGTCATCCCAGTCCCTAAACTCGTAAATCGACCGTTCAGGTCCTCAAACTTGTTCGATTGTGTCATCCTGGTCCCTAAACTTGCAGATCACTCGTTTAGGTCCTCCAACTTGTTCAGTTGTGTCACCCTGGTTCCTAAACTGGACGGTCTAAAAACTTTATATCAAAAAATAATTCATAACTTTTTCATGTATACTCTAATGAAGACAGACTTTATATCAAAATTGTAGCCCTCGACGCGACCTACAACTTTGTAGTTGAAAAGTTTTTGAATTAAAACTGTTTAGGGTCCCAAAATATTGTTGCATGTTTATAGATTTTGAAATTTTAATTTTAAAATTACATTTTGGGACAAAAAATGACTTAAAAAAAATCAACTCAAAGTTGTAGATCGTGTCGAGGGCTACAAGTTTGATATAAAGTTTGTCTTCATTAGAGTTCACATGAAAAATTTATGAATTATTTTTAAATATAAAGTCTTTAGACCGTCCTATTTGACCCAGATGATATTCAAATCCAAGTTTAGGGACCGGGGTGACACAACTGAACAAGTTGGAGGACCTAAACGAGTGATCTGCAAGTTTAGGGACCGGGATGACACAGTCGAACAAGTTTGAGGACCTGAACAGTCGATTTGCGAGTTTAGGGACCGGGATAACACAGCGGTACAAGTTTAGGGACCGGTGATGGACTTTACTCTCAAGCTTAAAAATTGCTGAGTTAACCAGAGAAAAAGAGAAATAATTACATTATTGATTGTGTTGCAAGTCCACATTATATATAATGGTGTAGATCAATTGGATACCTACTAGAGCGCTAATACACCCACATGTAAAATAAGGTTATATAATTAGAAATAAATCCACAAGTTGAATATCAAATACACTTATGCTTTCAATAGATTGTAATATACTCCCTCCGTCCCACTCAACGGGCATATAAAATTTTACATGCAGTCCCAAGGAATAAGGCGTGTGACTGCTTCCTCTCCTCTTTTCCTAGATGTGTCCATGCGAATGCAGCTGTATTGCCTCGTTGCAAGCCGAGAACAACTGCACCATTAAACTCGCGACTATCGACCACTGCATGCAACGGCTTTGCATATTGCGTGGAAGACCCAAGTGAATTTGGCATGGAATGTTGCGGCTAGAGTAACTAAGCATGCGATTAATTAGGGGTAGATCAGGAATCATAGCAAAATGATCAGCTCGTCTTGGTATTGCAGAAAAAATTTATACGCCTTGTTGGGTGGGAAGGAGGGAGTAGCATTGTGCAATTGCATATGTTATTAAGGGAAAAAAAGGAACCATGAAGTATGCCAGTTTGTGTCCAGCACTCAGCTCCTGTCTCAAAGGTGAGCATAGAGCAAGTAAGCACCTGGATAGACAATTGCTTGCGACCACCAACCATCGAGCGTATTCTCGTCGGGTACATAAGTCACCAGCTTGGGCATCAGGTTCAATCACCTTCAAAGAGATATTCAGTTAAAAGCAAATGCATACAATTATTCAAGTTCTCCACGCTCTAGAGATCTTGTAACTAGAAGAGAAGCATCATGAAACATATAATATGATAGCTAATTATCAGCAACTGCAAGGTATATGGAAGTTACTGCAATTCCCCAACCCTCAAGTATATGTTCAGAATGAGAGATTCCCTGTTTATAGAACGTTGCAGACAAAGGAGAAGTCTTTAACACCTTAAAGGGATATTCCCATATACATATCGTGCATCCAATGGTCTTTAACATCTGTGCATGAAAAGATATAGCTCAAAAAAATTCATGCACATACTGAAATGTCCCATGACACAAATTAAGGGCATATAGGACTAGGTGGACATCCTCTTAAAGGGTTTAAAGTCCATCTCCCACTGTAGAATTATCAACATATAGAAAAAACAGTTCAAAGGTGGAAGTTAAGCTCACAGAACTCCTTTATCCATTCAAGCGACAATGAATGAATGCATGCATGAAAATACCTTTAGGACCTGTAGTGCAGCCAATGCGCTTGCCTGGGCTGGGTCAACTGCCGCTGGAACCATAATCTGTCCAGTACGCACCCGTAAAGCTGCAGAGAGCAGTGTGGGAGCAGGAATTCCAGAAGAGGCAAAAGATTTGTCGGGTGTTGTAGACTCGTATAAACTGTTTTGGTTTTCTAATTCGTCTGCTCCTTCATTTTGATTGGATGCTAAAGTCTCCACCCCATTTCCTGGCTTATTTGCTTCTGTGGACACATCATTTGAACCAAATGAAAGCAACTGATCAGCATGTCCATATTCTGTATAATCAGGCATTCTTGATGGTGAAATCCCATTTTTTCTATGAAGTTCAGGATTCTGCTCAGTATCTTTGTCCTTTGCATCAGATGAAGCTGCAGTGTCAGAGATTTCCTGGATAAGCGAAGCATCACCTGAACCTAGCATTGTATCTGACGTTAAGGTTTCACCCAGATGCTGGTTTTCTGGCAAAGTAATTTCGCAGTTTAATGTATCTTCTACATAAGGAGTTCCCTCAGAGGGACCTACACCGTAAAGTTTGTCAGGCGAGTCATAAGCAGCGATGGAAGGTTCCGTGGAGTTTGACAAAGGAGACACCAGGCTTTCAGCCCCATCAGAAGCAACGAGATTGTGCGCTTGACCTGCATCCTCACTAGGAACATATTTGTCAGGAGGAACTAGCTCACTGTTTTGCAAGGGATGCTGTGTCTCATGTTCAGTTGATCCCTCCGCAGTGGCATTTACTTGTACAGGCAGTGGGTCAGTGCTACTATGTGCTTCATCATCCAAGCTTGTTTCACCTTTGCTATCACTTGGTAACGAAACTTGAGCATCCTTGAGACCATCCTCTTTACAGGTATTATCAGTGGAGTAAGGTGCCTCCTGACTGTTTGTAGACGAGGTATCGATTTGTGCCTTAGGTCCTGCATATGGAAATGAAAGCACAAGTAAGGTGGTTAATACTTTTTTTAGCCGGGTTGGCCGAAGAGAAAGGCCAACCAATTTCATTAAGACTGGGAGAAAACAAAGTAACATATTACACTAGGAGAAAGACTGGGAGAAAACAAAGTAACATATTACACTAGGAGTAAGTTGATCTGTAAGATGGAAAACAAAGCAAAGCATATAGAAATAGATGTGATATACTAGGTAATTAAGGTGTGTATGTATGTGGTACCATTTGCGGCGTTGCTTCTGAAAGAAATTGCAGCGAAGGTGAGGCCAGCAAGAAAGAAGAGTCCAGCAAGGCCAGGTCCTAGAAGCCCTGAGAAGGAACAGCTACCATTGGAGTGTCATTAGTTAGTTCTCCAAAAGGGCGAATTCCGCAGAATTCTACTGTACGTAAGAGTTTGAAGATTGAGGAGAGTTGATTGAGAGAGCAAGAAGAGGTCCTCACCTCGAAATGGCCCAGGGGACTTGTCTTGTTCGTCTTGTTCGTCCCCATCCGACCAGCCAGCGAAGGCGTCTGGCGAGGGGGAGGAATCGGCTCGGAGGGGGCGGAGGCGGAGGCGGAGGCGTGGTGGCGAGGGGAGTAGGGCGGCGGGGCGGAGGAGTCGATGGAGCTGAAGGCAGCACGCGAGGGGAGGGGAGGAGACAAGGCTGGCGGGCGGCATGGCTAGGGCTAGGGCTGCCTTGCCACTGGAAGTCTGGAAGTCGATGTCGATCCAATCATCCAACCATGGGGAGAAAGAGAACTACAAGGGAAGGGAGCACCACACCCCCACCCCCACCCACCCACCCACGAGGAGGAAGAAGCCGATGGATAGATTTACCCCTTTTTTTAACTGCTACCTACTCGGCTACTCCTATATAAGCACAAGAGAGAAAGAAAAGGGCTAGAGAGCTGCTTTGGTGTTTCTTGGGCCAAGCTAGTGTGTGCAGCACCATCAGATCAAGTACGTGATTCCTAGTGCTTTGCTGAATTACTAAGCGATTTATCAATATATTTTTTCCAACAATCAAATTAGAAGTAAAAAGAAAAAAATAAAATATCAGGGTTTATCAGTACTTATCATAAAACAAACAAATGATATTCACGCTTTAAAACATATTGATAAATATATGTTAAATATTTAAAAATGATAGATAGATTTGATAAAATATTGTAGTCGGAGGGTGAACTCCTCAAGCGGAGAACTAGAAAGCCCCCATTTTAGTTCGGCGGGGGGCAGCGGATGAGAATCGAGGTTTGGAGGAAGGAGTGATGTGGAGGGGGGTCTGGCCCCTCAAGAACGATGAGACAAAAAGGGGTTTATACAGGTTCGGACCGCTAAGAGGCGTAATACCCTACTCCTGTATGTGGTTGATTCTGTGAGGAACAAAGTGTATCCGTCGGTTGAAATCCGAGAGCTCCCTCTCCTCACTAGGCCTGGACCTTCTTTTATACCTCAAGGGGTTACCACAGGGGCCCAAAAATCCACCTAGGGAAGAAGGAAAACATTCTTTGCATTTATTACATGTCTTATTCCTCTGACAGAGAAGACCATGCGCACAACATCTCAGCATGGCCCCATCAGATCACGCCGAGCGACACGGGGGACGCCTACGTCATTCTGCATTAACTGCTTGAAAACTTCCAGGCACCCGTTCCCACCAAGGAAAGAATACCCCAATTTAACTGGAGCAGGAAATTGTCCCCAGTTTGTATACGAGGCAAAGGGCTTCTCATCATGGTGATGTGACCAGATGGCACCGGGCACATGCCACTTGACAGGCGGTCAGTGCGCGGTCAGTGCACAGGTGCACTCACCCTGCCACACTGGTCATTCGAGCGTCGTGCAGCCTATCAGCCACGCCTACACGCCACGGCCGTAGGATCTGCCTTAAATGCGGTTAGGTGGGCGTTGGGCGCGCCCACTCAACCCGCACATGCTGGCGGATGCGTGGCCTGACCCCTAACTGTGAAGGGGTAGCCGCCGCTCCACCCCGGGCTCGACCCCCCTCGGGGGAGTTCCACGTGGGTGTTTGGGGGCGGCCTCCTCTCTCTAGACATGATACTCCCTAACCTATATCACCGACAATTGTGCAAATGATGTGAGGGTGTGATGATTGGATATGCTTGTATGTTTATTTGTAGAATTAAATAAATTGTCGATGATGTTGTATGCTTGCATGAGGTTAAATATGTAATTATTGCTAGTGGGTGATGATGTGGTATGGTTGCATGTTGAGCTTTAGATTTAGTGGGCTATAACTTTATAGAAAGTATAGATAAAACAGGAGAAGACGTTGTTACAACGGAGCCGTCGGTGGGAAATCCACTTTTGACTCCCTCAACCATAATACCGTATACCTTATCCCCTATAACTATTAAAACCGATGTAATTTGACTTCCTAATCATTATTCATGATGTGGCTCATTGACCTGCTCCAACCAGCTAACGTGGCTCATTGGCCCCACATATCAGTGCCCCTCCTCTCTCTCTCTTCCCCTATTCTCTCCTCTTGCATGGTTGCATCTCCTCCGGCTATGGCACCCATCCCTGCAACTACCTCAACTTGAATGGCGATGAGGTGAACGGGGCGGGTTGAATGATGACAAGGTGAGGCAACCCGCAAGTAGGGAGGTGACCAACTTTGATACTTTGCGCGCTACCTGCTTCGCGAGGAACCATGCCCACAACGGCGTCACAGACTCTATCCCCAATAGCAAGCATGGCCCAAACACGTGCAACACCTATTGTGTCGTCCCTGTGCCCAATAGCGTCGCTGGGCATGATGTCAACGACAGGTGCAATGTTGCCACTGTCGAGGACATCTTTACGGCTTGGGTCATCAACCACGTGAGGATGAGAGAGGCGAAAGCGAACTTCACTCCCGTCAATCGGCCCTACAGCACGATGTCTGAGCTGTTACGAGGGGTTGGTGCTGTCGCTACCGCCCTCGCCGCTCTAGGGTCGTCATCGCCGTTGTTCCTCTTGGGCACCACCGCGCATATATGGTCAATGAGGTAGCGGATCTAGACACCTCCAGCCGTGGCTTGCCCTACAACACGGCACCTGAGCCATCGCCGTATTCTCTCAAGGGAGGGAGGGGGGGTTGGTGCTGCCACCATCATCCTCGCTGCTCCCGACCGCTACACTGTTCTCCCACGTGCTCACCAAGATACCGACAAAAGGGGGAAAACCATAAAAGAACCCGACCGCTACGCTGTCCTCCTAGGTGCTCACCAAGATACCAGCAAAAGAGGGGGAAACCATAAAAGAAGTGAGTTGAGTGGATTCATTGGGGAGAGAGGCCACCACCAACAATGGCGAGTTCGTGGTGGTGGCAGTGTGGTTGTCGTCCAAGAGCCCACCGTCACCTGCCTGCCAAGGCTGATAGAAGAGGAGGGGAAACGAACCGCTGCCGCAGCAAAGGAGAGATGAGAAAGACAAGCCACGTTAGCGAAAACCGCTTTCAAAACCACTAAGAAAATCAAATTGCACCAGTTTTAATAATTAGGAGGGTCAAGATATCGTATTACCGGAGTCAAAATGCACTTATTCCTCCTTCATACTAATGGCATATGGGAAGGTTTGTCTGACCCAACTAAAGCCCTTGAGATATTACAAATCTGCAAAACCAAAATGTACATATGTTTGGTAGATCTGAATGATATTGAGATAAGAAGATGGCAATTTGTAAAAGTAAAACGTAGTCGGGAGCTGATGCTCATAAATTAGCTAAGTTTGCATGTACTACAACCCTCTTTTTTTCTTTATTGAGGGTACTTGATTTGTCGATATATATTTATGCAAGTACACTTAAAACCTGTTAGTCATGAATAAAACTCTGAACTTTTCTTTCCTCAAAATATGAGAGAGGGAGAGAGACTGCTGCACCTTTCCTCTCAAAAGCTTTGCCGCATCTGCATGGGTTTTTGGCTATTTAAGGGTCCTCCTCCTCTTACTACTAGCAATTAATAGAATGAGAGAATTAATTAATAATTTTTATGGAGTAGTCAGCATTTTTCTCTCGAAAAACAAAAGAGAAAAAGAAAATCATCTCGATCTCAATAGCACTCCGAATCTGGATCGATCGGGTCGTCGTCGGAGAATATAATTGATCACCATGGTTCCGGTGAATTTCGGGGATTCGTCGTCGATTCCCCCAGTGGATGCGGTGGTGCCAATGGCAATGGCTCCTCGGTTACTCTGCTTCCTCTTCCTCCTCCTGCAGCTGTTGCTCTTCCCCCGCGTCGCCGCCATCGTCCTCGCCGCAACCCCCGTCCTGCTTCTCGCCGCCTTCCTCCTCGCCCTCGTCCTCGTCTACAGCGAGCCCAACAACAATAATGAGCCCGATCATCTGATTCCGATCAGGATCAGGTCGCGCAATCCCCATGCCCATGACCATGCCTCCTCCTGCACCGCCTCCGGATCATCGGACGACGACGACGACGCCCAAGACTCGGACTCGGAGTCGGTCTCGGAGCCTGCCGATGATGAGAAGGCTGCGGTGTGGACGGCAGAGGACGAGAAAAGCATCCAGAACATCGGCTCGCTGGAGCTGGAGAGGAATGCCGCTGTGGAGAAGCTCATGTCCTCAAGAAGCATGCACCGCTACTACGCCGCCGACCGCGACCTCATCGACCTCGACCTCGACGGCGATGGCCACCAGCTGCCCCCCGGCTCCGCTCCCTCCATGCACCGCAACCCCTTCTTCTTCCACGATGACCAACAAGCAGCAGCGTCAACGGCGAAGCTGTTCAGCCGACACGAGAGCTTCAGGCCATACTTCGTCGCCGACAAGACGCAGCAGCCGGTCGTCCTCGAGAGCAGCGGTGGCGGCGGCTCTTCCTCGTCTTTGTCTTCGTCTTCCTCTGCCAGCGGCGACCGTGCCGGCCAGCATATGAAGCAAGAAGCCGTGGCTGACTTTTCCTCCAGCTCCAAGGCCATGGTGGTGACGGTGGATGCAGAGCTCCCCAACCCCAAGTCCATGGTAACGGTGGATGTAGAGCTCATCAGCGACTCCTCGGATGATGACGACGACGACATTATGTCGTTGCCCGGCCAGCAAATAACTAAGGTAGCGAGCAGCATGTCAGACGACGACGATGGGGAATCCTCCTTTGAGGTGGAGAGCATCACACGACAGGTAAATGAAACTTTGCATGCCCATGCTGCTGCTGCTGCTGCCGCCGCCGCCGCCGCCCGTGAAGGAAGAGAAGAAAAAGAAGAGAAGAACAAGTTGGCATCGATTGAGGAGGACGAGAGGAGGGAGCGCGACGTCTTTCCGTCTCCGTCCCCGTTCCTCCGGCAAACTCTGCCACCATTAATGGCGACGGCGGTGGTTCTCCTCCTCCTGCCGCCACCACCGCCGCTCCCAAAGCAGTCGTAGCAGCAGCCAGATACAAGACGCCCTCCAAGAAGGCAGTCGTAGGTTTCTTCCGAAAATGACCAACTTAATTAATTTTAATTAGTTACTGTTTCTTCTTATTCTTCAATTCAATTCATCTTAATTTAGCCAGCTCAATCTTTTACCATACGTCACTTATAAAGAGGAGGGTTTATAGTATGTCGTAGTACACTGTATGCAACACGTTTGTATTGTAGTACTACGTATGCATGCATATCAGAATATGTACAGAGTAGTACAGTTCAGCAAGCACGTAGGCGACCTTTCTGGCTTCTGGGTCGCAAAGCCAGCTGCGCTGATGATTCTGATTCTTATCTCACCCATGCATCCATCTCTGTTCTGCATCTAATAGAATAGAGCCCTTGAAAGCAAGCAAAGAACAAGGAATTATTTAATATTAATGCCTTACTTGATGCATACGTACCTTTGCCTGATACCCCTTTTCCAGCAACAGCAAAACTACCATGCGCAGATTGGCATCCTCTTCCACCGTTTCGTTTGGTAGGCAAGCAAGCAAAAGACAATCCATTCCTGGTTCCTCTCCTTAAAAACCAAACCAAGCGGGCCTATGTTTACTGAAGATTAGTCTTTAACAGGGGCCAATTCCTTCCCGTCATCAAACAGACAGACAAACAACCAACACAATGATGATCAATTCTGCCTTAACGGCTGCTTCCTTCCAATCTCCTCCCACTTTCATCAAACTACAAGTACAGCTAAGGCCTCAGAAGCGCCGCCTGCAACACCAACAACAGCTTCTGATTGTTGGCAACAACGGGGCAATAACAATAGGAAAGCAGGAGTTCGTGCTAAAGCCTGTACAAGCAACACTAGGGCCAAATTCAACTGGTGGCCGCGGGGGTTCGCCCCTACCCGATGTGATCCAGCAGTTCTACTCCTCCCTCAACGAGAAGGACAGCAAACGTCTTGAAAACCTGATTGCTCCTGACTGCATCATCGACGACAACGCATACTATAAGCTGCTGGACATCAAGGTTTTACTTGTTCTTCATTCTCATATTACAGACCTACAGTATATAAGCTACAGCATTTTTTAGTCCACTGCTCCATATATATATTGGAAACCGAGCTATCAAGACCTGGTTACCATACTCAAAATTATTCACAGCAACTTCGCTGCATGTAGAGTACCCAAACCTACTTCAGGAGACTGATGGATGCAATGGGAAAGAATTTCAAATTTGCCATCGATGAGGTTTCTCAAGGAGTGGAACCCACTTTCGCAGTAATGTGGCATCTTGGTAAGATACTGTGTAATACAACTCAATAGAAGTGATAAGACAATCAACTTGGATAATGGTATAATTATATTGCTTTTACAGAATGGAATGGTAAAACCATCCCCTTCACCAAGGGCTGCAGCTTCTACATATGTTCAAGAAAAGAAGCAGCACTTGTTATTAGGTAGTTCATATAAATAACTGCTCTTGGGAGATTTTCTTTGTCTATTTCAAAAACAATATTTTTTGTTTCCATGTTTCCTTTGCATTCATGTTAGCTGACTCTTAGAGCTATAACGTTGCAGTGGCTATGCTTCGGTTTAGCCTCTAAATAAATAAAAATAATATTCCCCTTCTGTTATCTCTGATGGTATTCTAACACAATGCAGGAAAATTCATATCTTCCAAGAGTCACCAGTGAAACCATGCAAGTTTTCACTGGTAGGCATGCTAATGAGTTTCTTGTCTATATTACCATACAGTCCAACTGAATCAGAAGTATAACTCTCACTGATGAAATATTCCAATGCTTACAGGAAATACTAAATATCGCTACCAACTTGTTTGACACATTCCCGAATATAGCTGAAGGTACATGCTTCATAGAATCAACTGTTTAGTTTATAATGTTGGTAGCTAAAAAGCAGTCTAAAAATGTTAGTGCACATGCAGGTTTATTAAATAATCCAGAACAAGCAATACAGCCCTTTGTGAGGCTTTACAAGTCCTTCGTGAAGCCTTTCATCGTCCCTTTTCTTGCATACTATACCCACTTTTGGACATACTTGGCTAAAGTATTGACTATGATGCTCCATTTGTTGTATAGAATAATCAAATGGTATGTTTAAAGACTAGAATGACTGAAAAGTCCATATTGTGAAAATAGAAATTATATACGTACCTTATCTGTGCACAAACAATTACAGGTAGCCAAACAAGAAAGGGGACTGTATGGGGACTACCAATGGATCAGAACTTTTCAGATGATGTCATGTCGTTGCCAGAAGTTTATCTTGTCCATTCTCCTGCCTAGAAAGAGTGAACATCATTTCGTTTTTAAGGAATTTACCGTTACTCTATTAGTATAAAACTGTAGATAATCTCTGGAAATGGTTGTAAGCAAGTGTTGAACATTATCATATTTGCACCGTAACATTTTCCCTGCATCATTTCATAAAAGTGACCCCTACAGAAAGAAGTCTATGCTAATAAATCCTGAGTGACAGGCTGATAGCTAACAGCTGTTCCACCATTTTACATATATTCCAATCTGTGTAGAGCAAGTTTCCTTTTCAAGGAAACACCACCACACCATTTGCGTGCTACACAAAATAGTATGGTCCATAAACTAACAGTATGACCTGCACATTTCAGGAGAGATGTACAATCTGCTAATTTTCAAGCTTCATGATGTTTTTTCACCTTAGCATTGGCAACAATGTAAATGTACTCATTTCTATCTATAGCATTAAGCATTGTATTTTCAAACTTAAATTTGCTTTATGACACAAATCCAGTTTTCTCTTGTGGGATTAAAACCCAGGTAAAAAAGACAATGAACAATAAACTTTAGACCAAACAGTAAAGAATGTTATATGTTGCATATAGCATTTACGAGGAGCCAAACCGGTGATGTTGTATGAGAGGATTGTGAGTTCCTTTCAGTTAACTAAGGCAGTGGACGTCATACTATACATGAACTTTAGAAGAGCATATTTCAAAGAAAAGGGGGAGCATAATAACGTATTCAATGTAATGTTCTAGTTGTGGTCACCATACCATAAAATTTCCAAAATAACGTTTGCAGATGAAACATGTGCACCAAAGAGCTAAATGGATTCATCATTACTCTTCTCACCTCCTGTGCTCAACTTGAAGATGCCAGAAGGGAAAGCCCAAGAAATAACCCTTGTGGATCTTGGGGCCTGCAGACGACACTCTTCTATCACCGGAGTACCGCAGATGCCATCCTTGATGAATGATTGGCCACAATCTAAGTTCCTTGCAATATTTCCACCTATGACTCGATTCTTACAGAGATTTCAAGATGCCAATAGAGCCCTGCACATTAACTAGGTCTGGCTGGATGGGTATAACATCAATGGTGCTCGCTGCCTCTGTAAGACGACCTGATCGTCCTAACATATCCAGAAAGAGTGTGTAGTGGCTCCTCTGTGGGAGAACACCAAACAAATTGCCCATAGAGTTGAAGTATTTGATGCCAATGTCAACTAAGCCACTGCGGTTGCAAGCGAAAAGCATTAGTGAGAAAGTGATGCCATCAGGCTTAGCTCCAACCAATGTCATGTCTTCGAAAGCCGACAACGCTTCATTATAATACTCGTTGGATACCAGTGCAGACATCAAGGCATTCCAGGACACAACTTTTGGCTCGCTGATTGACTGGAAAACGCTCCTAGCATCCCCCATACACTTGCATTTGCTGTACATGTCAATAAGACTGTTAGAGACCGAAATGTCACTACTCAATCCTAGTTTCACCGAGCAGCTATGCAACTGCTTCCCAGTCTCTATGGATGCCAAGCTTGCAGCAGACGAAAGGAAGCTAGCGATGCTGAAACCATCGATATCAACATCCTCATGGAACATCCGGACAAACATTTCAAGGGTCCTCTGTTGAAGGCCCATCTGATTTAACCCTCTAGCAAGGCTTGTGTATGTGAACCTGTCCCTTATGAAGGCCATTGTGGTCGCCACTGCCCATGCATCATCCATCCTTGCAAACCTAACATAAACATCAACCAAGGAGTTCCCAACAGCTGCATCCAAAGATTCAAAGCTGGTCTTGAGAATGTAGCCATGGATTTTCCTGGCATGCAGGAAAGCTAGCGAGGAGCTACTGCCTTTGAGAAGAGTGGAGACGGTGAACGAGTTGGGAAGCACCCCGCTAAGCCGCATCTGAGAAAATGCCAAAAACGCCTCCTCATCTCTGCCATGGCATGCAAGTCCAGCGATCAAGGCAGTCCAGGACACGACATTCGGCTTGTCGACTGCATGGAAAGTGTGCAACAAGTCGAGTAAACGGCTGGAGGACTTGCTGTACAAGTCCACAAGTGCATTGCAGACTGAGGTATCATGCTCTAGTCCAAACTTGAACAAGCGGGCATGAATCTGCCGTCCAGGCTGCAGTGCCCGGAAGGAGGAGCAAGCAGAGATCAGGGCAGCGTAGGTGAAGGCATTGGGCAGCACTGCAGCACGGGTCATGGAGCGGAACATCTGAAGAGCAGACTGGAGGTCTCCACTCCGCGCGTAGCCAGTAATGATGGCGGTCCAGAGCACGACGTCGGTTTGAGGCGTGGAGTGGAGCACGGTGTGGGCATAGCCCATGTTGCCGCAGTTGCAGTACATATGGAGGAGCGCGGTCTTGAGCACCAGGTTGAGACCCGCTCCCCAGCGCAGGAGCTGAGCATGAAGCTGAGTGCCTTGGTGGTGCAGGCGGCCGGAGGCGCAGGCAGAGAGTAGCTGGGCGAAGGTGTGTTGAGTGGGCGGCGCACCGGCTTGGAGCATGCAGGGATAGAGCGCGAGAGCTTGCCTCCAGTGGGCCGCGCCCGCGCGGACGAGAGCAGAGATCATGGCTGTGTAGGAGACGGCATCCTTGTGTGCCATTTCGTCGAACAGGTTGCAGGCAGGCGGTATTGCGGCGGTGGGAGAGGAGGCGGCGGCAGCGTAGAAGGCGAGCAGGGAGCAGGCCAGGACGGGATTGGAGGCCACCAAGCCGCGCCGGCATGCCTGGGCGTGTATCTGGTAGGCCAAGCGGGCATCGCAGCAGCGGAGGAGGGCGGAGCAGGCGAGCTCGTCGGCGGCGGCGGTGGTCGGGTGGACGGCGAGAACGCGGCGGAAGACAGTGAGCGCGGCGTCGTGGCGACCGGAGCGAGCGTGGTCAGCGACGGCGGCGGCCCAGGAGGAGGCAGAGCGGCGGAGGCGGAGGCACATATCAATCGATCGATATGGGTTCATTGAATTCATTTCATTTCATGGGTTGGGTTGGGTGGGGGATTGCAATGCAGACTGCAGTTCCCTTCTCTCTCTCCCCCTCTCTCTCTACACCTTCTCTCTCCTCCTGAACCTTGCAGGAACTCTCTCTCTCAAAAAAAAACCTTGCAGGAAGAACTGAAGACCCAATTCAAACAATCCACATTTTGTGATTTTGATCAGGTAGGTCAGTGCTCCAGATCACCTGAGGACCAATTTCTTCGATTCGAGTTGGGAAATGCTCCCTGATTATCCATCATTTGCAACCTTCACCAACATCTCTCCAACAAATATGCCTCTCCAACAAATATGCTTCTCCAACAAATTATGCTTCTGCAGCGAATTCTCCACTCATCTCTCTATCAAATGCCTTTGAACTCATTCCTGCAACAAATACTAGTATGCCTTCATTTATTGTGCATTTTCCTGTCGAACAAACAAATCGTCAATTGCAAACCATATGCAACAGAACTGCAGTAGAGTAGCAGCATCTTCTCCATTCTATGCTCCGCTCATTAATCCTTGTTCATGTATACAGCATGTATTATAGTAGCATTCAACAAGGATGCACTCACAGCATCTCTTACATACAAGGCACCAGTGCATTCTCATCTTGTTAAAAAAAGGAGAAAAGGATCTTAAAAACACAGTGAGCATACATCACATGGGACAAAATGAATTTCCATATATATCCTCTTAAGTCTCTTCCTCCTCTTCCTCAGATGCATCATGCGCGCCAAACAGCCTGTTCAAGATGGCCTGGTTCCATCCTAATCGTCGAGCTGAGCTTGAGTGCAAGATTCTTGTGGTAAAGTTGCGCCACTTAGAGGGGCTGTTGCGACCATCATCCCCTGATGACTCACCATGGCACACGCCAGATCTGCGAGTATCTGGATAGTACTTGAGGACCACACCGTTCTTGTAAGGATCTACTCCTAGTTCCCGCGGCAGTGGAATCCCCACTATTTGGACATGAGATATGCTGAAAATTAGTACATGTGCCACATTGTCAGTGCAACGAAACAAAGTTCAGAACAAAACAATAACTCAACAGTACCCAACTCACCATATGTAATATAGATCATCCATTTCCTGTTTCTGAACCCTACCAAGAAACTCAATCTTCACAACTCCACCGATGCATAGAACTGCGCGTGGAAGCTTAAAAGACTGAAGGACACTTTCCTGGAATATGGTACATTATTTACATTCAGCAAGTTTGCACACGAGAACTGCAATGATGTATTGACCTATATATGTTGGACCAGGAACACAAGATTTGCCCCTCTACATCTAGCACATTCAAAAAACTGCTACCAGGATATGTAGGGTTGGTTTAGTAGGGCAATATATTGTATTTGGTTTGTTACCAACCAAAGTGATAAAAAAAATTTGATGCTACAAAATTTTGGCCGATTTTTTTTAATCTAAGCACATGCAACCTCATAATTCCAAATGTGAGCATGTATTGTCCTGAATTCTGTTTCTAATCAAACTAGCTAGCAGGCACAAAGCAAATGATCCATTAACATGTTTTGCTAGTATTACAATTACCCTTTGCTGATGCAGCTTCTATGTGAAACAAATCAAGATTTGTTAGCACACATAATATTATGATTTTGATGATCCAAGCAGATGGATTATATTTCAACCGGCCGCTACAGTTCCAATTTTCAAAACGAAAACAACATCCAAGTCAAATATGGATTAAGAAAAAAAAAGACGAAGAAAGCTCGAGACTAACGGCATGACGGCACGGTGCCCTATCTCGTAATGGTTGATCCAACCAATTGCAAATGGTAATAAGATTTTCTTTTCTGACGACAAACAATCAATTAGACCTAAACAAGTCGCTACGAGCTAGTGATTTGTCCAATGATCAGCAGCCATTAGTTTGTTATATTTCGTTTGACATTAAGTCCGATGGAAGACCACTGCACACACATGTGGGCTTCTTGATTAAAAATAGAATTCCATCCATTACCTGCTCATATTTGGAATTAGAAGGTTGCATGTGCTTAGATGTGAAAATTTCTGAAATTTTGGTAATGTAGAGTGTGTTTGATTTGCTAGCAAAAATTGGTAAACCAACCCATACATGCCAAAAATAAATCCTGCATCAAGAATGCTTAGTTTTTAGGGGAGGCATGTGACGGCATGAAAAACACTGACCTGCAGCATTGGAAATTGTGGAGATGTGTACGTCCAGATATAGTTGTCATCAGCAGCCAACTGGCCTTCATTATCATGAGATACAAGTAATTGAGATGGTAGAGGTGTCTTTGGGTAACCCATCTGGAAGCGGACATATTTTGCGGAGTATATTGGATCACCATACTGGAAGAAAGCTGGGTGCAAGAGACAGGTAATACTAGTATTTAGCAAGAGGAGTAAAAAGAAGGAAGGAGGATGGGTGGGCTGACCTCTGAATGGCTGTATGTTGATTTGTTGAACGAGGCATAGATCGGAGCGAAGCCTGTAAAAGAGGCATTCGGGCACAGCAGGATCGAAGTGGCCGGCGCTGGACCAATAAGAGGGCCTCATCATGGCCACCCAATCGGTGGGCACAAGGGTGTTTTGTATGGTCTCCTCAGGGAAATTGTCGGTGGTGGAGGCACCGATGCAGCGGATGATGCAGTCCTGGGGGTCATCCAAGAGAAGGGCATAGCTGAGATGCATGTACGCCCTGTGCTGGTGCTCCGCATCCGACTCAGAAGCAGAGGCAATGGCTTGTTTGGTAATAATACGGGTGAAGTTTGAAGCTTCAGGGCAAAGGCGCAGGCATTGGATCTTGCTGAAGCCATTCCGAACAACTGAGGGCAAGGACAGCAAAACCAGTTGGTCCAATATACTACTAATTTATAAGGATTAAGGATGGAGAAATCAATCAAAAAATTGGAGTACTTGGTGCAATTAAGAGGATATATTACTACTATACCGAGTATATATTATTGAAGGATGAGGAAAGAGAAGAGATGGGGGTACGGACCGAATCGGCGCCAGGAACGGGAGACGGCGGAGGCGCGGGCGAGATCAGCGGGGTGGTCTAGGAAGGTGAAAACGGCGGCGGAGGTGTCCGGGCCGATCCACTCGAGGAAGTCGAAGCGCGCCTCCTCCTCCTCCTTCTCTTCCTCAGGGCCAGGCTCCTCCATGCACAGCTAGCTAACCCTAGCTTCCTTCCTTCCTCTTCCTCTTGTTCCACTCCTGGTCTCCCCTCCTCTCCTCTCCTCTCGACAAGACGGAGACGGAGGAATCCCAAAGCGGCAAGGACGAAAATGCCCCTGCGACTGCGATGGGCTTATTCGTCTGGGCTCATCGGTCCAAGTGGGCCGGCCCACCTACCATTTTTTTATGTACAGATTGCTTGTTGATTTGATATAAAAAAGAAAAGAAGAAGAAGAAGAAGAAGAGGATAGAATAGAAGGGGAGGAGGAGAGACGAGAGGAGTGGTTGTGGCCATGGCCATGGCGGCCGCCGTCCACCGCTTCCTTGGCGTATTTCCCGCCCCGTCGACGCCCACGCCTCCGCCTCGACAACTATCGCCTCGCCCCCATCACATTCCTCCTTCCCTCGTCCGATGTTGTTCCTCGTCCCCCGTATGCGCCGCCACAGTTGCAGTTGCACAACCCCAAGAGTTCGTCGTCGTCACCTTCTATAAGTTCGTCTCCATCGACGACCCCCGCGCCGAGGTGTCCAGGCACCTCCACTTCCTCCAGGTTCCTATTCCTTCTCTCCCTCTTCCTCTTCCCTCTTCTCCTCTATGTGAAATTGTTGCAGCTAACAAGGCTCGATTTGATTGTACCAAGAATTTATATGTACTCGTCTCTCTCTCTCTCAGGGCCGCGACATACATGGCCGCATTTACATGAACGAGCAGGGAATCAATGCCCAGGTAAAACAAGCTTCTGTTTCATTTCTTTCTTTCTTTTCTTATATCGCTCTAGTGCTTCCACCAACATGGAGTACTACGGTATTTACCATGTCTTTTATCATTATATGACAACTTGACTGAGACTGGTGACATGGTAACATGAATGAATGATGATTGTGTTTAGTAACAAGCACATGTGTTGCTTAAGGTCCGGCTTGATTTAGATTATTGCCGTGGACTCTCTACTCGAGTATAGTGATAAATTAAATATTTTATAAAATAAACTTAACTAATACCTTAAAATAACTGGTATAAGCAATGCCGTAGAAGAAATTTTTTAATAAACATTACTTTTAGATTTTTAGAAGCGTGGAGCAAATAATATGTTTCAATAACCAGGTGAATAAGCTAAAAAGTAGATTAACAACAAAGTCAACCACAACTGTGAAGATGTACATATGTTTCTACAATAATATCACTGCCTTTTACCTTGCATTTTCTCTTTTAAGCAGCAATGAATAAATTAACATGTATGAAGAAGAAAACCTGAAAATCTTTAAAATGTTTATTTTTTAGCATGGCTAGCCATAATATGAATGTGCTGAGCCCTGCATTACATGTACAAATTATTACATAATATGATTGTTTTTATATCAATTTCTACTCTAATTTCTTCCTCTTGTCACAGTACAGTGGTCCACATAAAGATGCGGTAGCATATGCAGACTGGCTTAGAAAAGACCATCGATTTCGTGATCTACTTGTCCAAACTTCACCATCGTTATGTGGCCATGCTTTTCCTCGCTTGAAACTGCGGTACAAACCATCGCTTGTTCAGGTAAGCCATGCTTTCATTCTACTGCACAGGGGAAACAGAAGCTAATAGCTTACCTGGATACGCTGATCTGCTTTCTATATTGAATTTCTCAAGTGTCTCAATGAACTGAAGATTGTCATACAGGAAAAAATATTCTTCTACTAACCTGCTAAACTTCTAAATCTAACTGAATGTAGATGATTTTTTTTACATGATTGGAAATACAATGTGTATAAAAAAAATAATGAAACTGTTTCTTTCAAGGGTCTAGATACTGAGCAAATAATCAGACGTGCGAGTTTCTAGAGCTTCTCCTGGATATACATTGATATATTTTAAAATGGCCTAGACCTTCTCCTGATGCTATATGGTGGCAACCTTATGCCTCCGAGCTCCTTTTGCTGCTGTTACATTTGAATGAAAAAATAACTTGTCTATCGTACTGATTCCTGCTCTGGAAGAGATGTTTATTTTGCTGTGAACCTTAACTGGGTTTCTTATATTCTTTGGGCTGGCTGGGTGCCTAACGGCAGAACCTGGGAATGTAATTCATTTCCATTATCTAAAAACAATAATTCTCTTGGTATAACAAAGCTGGAAACAATTCTTTTGGATTTTGAGTGGAGCGCAGGATAAGGATTTGGTAAGAAGAGTCTATTTATGGAAATGGCATCCTGTCTTTCCTCAGTAACGGAGTGAGTAGCTACCCCAACTTCTGTTCCAGTTCCATTACTAGGCAGGAGTCCAAAGTAAATCTTCCCAACTCCACGACTGCATCTTCCATGAAGATCAGGAGACCCCTCACATTCTGCTGCCCATGAGACTTGCCTTTGTGCACCCCTTCAACTAAACTCTGATCTGCGGTGTAAATATTATTAATCAATTGTCCACTGCCTGGAAATTTGGAGCTTTTACAAGTTGATGTCTTAGCATATTCTAGAGCAATTACCCTAGCTCTTTTCAACATTTCGAAAGTGCAGTATACACCAATACATGTTTTTCAAATGCAGTGTTTCAAGTTTTCTTTTTGGTGACAGCGCAAGGTCCATTCATGTAGTTGTTCCATCATTTAAGTCTCTTCAGTTTGTATTTATCTCGGTCTGTTTGGTGGAGGTGCGAACTGAAAAGATCTGAACTTTTTATCTATACTGTACTAGGACATTACAGTTTGTTAGAAAATAATCCAATTTACTATATGAAGTCTCTAGACATCTTATTTCAAATAAAAACTCCCAGTTGGAAGGAGGTTGTTCACATCTTCCTTTGGTGGACCCTAGCATGCGTGCTACACCATTGACTCCATCAGAGTGGAGGGAAAGACTTGAAGCTAGAAAATGCCTTGATGTGTCATCGAGTGAAGCAGCTGGAGATAGCTCTGGAAGGAGGCTTTTGCTCCTCGATGTCAGGAATGGTAAAGTATATTTTTATTTAATACAAACTTGTATAGTTTAGCAGCTGTTTCCTAAGTACTGCCAAATCAACAAGTGATGAATAGAGATAAGCATATTTTTACGGCTGAAAATAGCTATTAGTGCTGTTGTGTTAATAGAAAAAAAAGGGTTTGCATAACAGGAGGCAAAACCATAAATCCTTGTAATTGGTAGAGTGGTGCTGTTATGATCTGTGGTGTATATTTACCATGGCTAGAGAGAGTCGGAGACTATTGAGAGAAAAATTTCCAATGTCGGAAGTATGTCTAGATTATAGTGTAGATTGACCGTATATATGTAGAGTTGATATAATTCCCTTTTAGAGAAAAGGGTGTGTTTTCTTATACAAATTTATAAGAAAAAACTGTATTTTAAGAATAAATATAGGAGCTGTACAGAAAATATAACTATATTTTCAACGAATTAAATTTAAAAATATACCTCTTTTTTCATTATTTTGCGTTTATATACCTATGTGGCGAAAATCTGCACAAATATACATCTTTCACAGTGTGGTTTCGCGGGACCGAGACGGTCCCGCACTACCATTCCGCGGGACCGGCGGTCCCGTAGCCCAGCCATGCGGCACCGTCTCGCTCTCGCAGCCCGAAAGAGCGGTATCGTGTGGCATGCGGGCTGACGCAAGGTACCGCGCCAGCGGTACCGCCAGCCAGCCGCGCGTGACCGCTGCATGGATCGGTCACGGATCAGCTGCATGCATCTGCATGCATCCAACCGTCCCGCGGGACTGCCGATCCCGCGTTTTGGACGGGTATATTTACGCAAATTCTCCACATACAGGTATATAAATATAAATTATTGTAAAAATAAGTATATTCGTAATTTTTTTCCTATTTTCAACTACAAACATAATGTAGGTTTGTTTTTCATATATCACAAGCTCGATGGATCTGCCTGTTCTATCGGGTCACTCTTTTGATTTTGGACTGGAATTTATGTTTTTCTACTTCCCTTTTTTTAAAAAAATTTCTTGTCAGATTATGAATGGGATATTGGACATTTTCAAGGAGCTCAGCGACCTAATGTGGACTGCTTCAGGAGCACATCCTTTGGGCTCTCAGAGTCAGAGCAGGAGGTAAGACTAGCTACTGTGATGTATGCCACAGTAGAGTTTGTTAGTTATTGGACTAGTTTCGGCTGGACACTCCTACTTGGTACTGAGTGTGTAACTGTGTGTGTATGCAGATGGATTCTTCAGATCCTCTAAATGGTATAGACAAAGAAAATACAGATATATTAATGTACTGCACTGGTGGCATAAGATGTGATGTGTATTCAACAATTCTTAGGTAAGCAGATATCGACATTCTCACTTTGTGGAATGGAAATAGTATGCATCTGGCGTTCTAATAAGACTTTCTTTCGAGTCTGTTTCATTCCCGTACACTATGTTCCCAGGAAGAAGGGCTTCCGGAACCTGTATACATTGAAGGGAGGAGTGTCCAATTATCTGAAGGAGGAGGGGTCTGCAGGATGGGTGGGGAATTTGTTCGTGTTTGATGGACGGCTCTCCCTGCCACCGGCAACGTACAAGCCTGGAGCAGGTGATGATGATGATGAGGAGGAGGAGGAGGGGAGAAACAGAAGCAGTTCAGAGCTGGGGAGATGCTATGCATGTGGGTCAGAGGTGGTTGAGTTGAGGCACCGGAACTGCGCAAACATCGACTGCAACCGGCTTTACCTGTATGTTCGTTCGTCGTCTCTGCTAATGCCAGCAATTTTTTCTTTCTTTCTTTCTTTCATTCTTACAGTAGATATTAGCAGTAATGTGTATAAAACGAACGAACGAGTGATGAACTGAAGTGAAGTGATTATCCTATTAATTAGGTGCTGCGGGCGATGCGTGGAGGAGCTGAGAGGATGCTGCGGTGAGGGCTGCACCGCCGCGCCTCGCCTGCGACCGCTGCTGCCATCACACCAGAGATACCACAAGTGGCATCTCTACCGCCATTTGGACCTGGGGGCACCATCATCTCCATCCTAGCTTACTAGTATAGTACTCCATGCTGCCATGCATTTGGATGGATTGGATTGGATTTTCCTGTTGTTTCCTGCACGCTTAACTGTGCGTGTAGTCTCATCTGTCATGCCCCAAGTCTCAAATCTGCCTGCCTTCTTTCAGCTTCAGTTGGTACCAAAGCTGACTCACCTCCACGACGACCTTCTCTTAATTTTCCTCTTGGCCAGCCTCCTCTTTACTTTCGGTGGATTCCTATGTATAGTCCCTTTATTGATTATGTATATTTTGATTAGGGACACGTCTACACGGCGACCACTTCATCCCAAGTGTAAACCCTCCTTTTCAGCTTCTAAAAATAGCAAAAGAAGCACTTTGCATGGATGTACCCCGACTGACCGATACCATTGGAAATAAGGGTATGAAAACAGTATGGAAATTTTGCGTGTTCGTATCTCAACCATCATTAGCTGATGAGATGGTTTATGAAAGGTTCGCTGGATAACACTAAACATTGCACGCGCATGGGATAGATTTTACCTTTAATTAGGTGATGTGTTCGATTGTCCAAATTAGTAACAAAATGATTAGCAAAATTATGACAAGCTTAGAATGTAGATTGCTTGACTCTTCGAAATCTGGACTGTTTGGAAATACTGAAGATTTTGGATTTTACTCTTGAAATCTAGATTGCTTGACCCTTAAAATATATAGTTTGAGAAACTAAAGTTTATAGAAGATGTTGCAGCTGCCATAAGCTCCTCAAACAATACCTATGCATGATGCGCTCACCATTGCTTTGCTTCTGCTCGCTCATGTGCACCAATTTAATTTAATTTTGCAACAAGATTGTACTACTAGCTAGTAATAATGGAGTATACCAAGAAAGCAAAAAAATGTGTTGCTGGTGGTGAAATTAATTTACATCATAAAACTATAAACCATGCATCTAAATTGAACTTAGTAGAGTGAACTAAATCCGATTTTTCTAAATTCTCAACATGCCGATTACTTAATACTATCTTTATTCTAAAATGTAATAACCTATTATCGAATGACATATATTCCAGTGCTATAAATATCGAAAGATCATATTAGTAGGACTTAATAAATTAACGGAGGTAATAGTTAGACAGGATGGATAATAATAGGCAAACTGCTCAAACAATTTATACCTCCCAAGAGTGGGATGCATGCGTGCAGCTGTGGAAGCAAGCAGGGAGCAGGATCCATGCATGAATGGGAAAAAGGCTAACTTTTCTGAATCCATATTCCTTTGTCCCTGAGCTGAAAAGGCACACTTTCTTCTTCCTTTACAAACTGGAGTAGTGCTCCAATAATTAATTACTATAATGATCTTTGTTGTTTAATAGGGTAGGTGATCTAGCTTTATTCCATTGTTGTGTTAGTTTGTTCTCCCTAATCAGAGGAGATCCCTACCACATAAATTAAGCAAATCGATTGAGCAATCTAGCACAGGTGTCAAATAAGCTACCTAGCTGCGTGTATTAATTTGATCCATCAAGCATGGTGGCAACAACTAACTAACTACTACTAATCATGCACACACGATCGCAAGCTATCTACCCAACTAATCCTAGGCTACTGATCGATTTTTTTTTGGGTGTGTTAAAGCCAATCAATACAATCTATTCATCTAGTTGCATCATAATTTACGGCAGACCAAATCCTTCGCTTCAGCTAGTCTCTATAGTATTAAATATATTGTCACGTAAGAAAAAAAATGACAAGAGAGTTAATGAGAAGAGGGGAAAAGGAGATGAAAAAGATGATAGACCATTCTCATGCAAGATATTAGTTCTAGGCAAAACCAAGTTTAAAAATTATGTAGTTAAATAAAGAGAAGATAGGTGATTGGATAAATCATCTATTATATAAAATATATAGTTTCTATACATGATATCCATATGGCATGATAAGTATGAAAACTGATAGATCTACATTAGCATTGTCCTTAGTAAGTGGGAGGATTATGAGTCGGTCGATCTGGTTCATACACCTACGGTTTATATACAATTAATTAGTATTGAGCTACTATATGTCTAATAATAGAAAATATATACTCTTAAATATAAGCATCTTGAATATTCAAACTTTTACGTGACATAAGTATTTCTGGACACCAATATAATGCACGAGAATCCAAATATTTTCATGTATATTCTAGAATTGTAAATTATAAGTGCGTAGGACGATCGGAGTACATGATTGGCCTGAATTAGTTTATGAAGTTACGTGGAAAACAGAAAAGTATCTAGATCGATCACTCTGCATTGGGACTATATTCCAGTTCCAGTGCTGTCCAAAATACATATGCATGAGGACGGACGGTGTGACGGTGATGACTCATCATGAAGTGGCGGATTCAGGATTCCCAACACTTCAGATGGAAGAAAAGAATTAAAGCCGACCAACACCCACACAACCCATGTGCAGCGTCTCTCTCTCATCATCCATCATGCATGATCTCCTCTAGTTAATTAAATCATGTTTGACACAGCTTTAAATCTTTCATCCACGTTGAATTTAAAATTTATTTGTTAAGTTATAGTAATTTAAAATTTTATATTTTCTTTAAAATGATAACAAAATAATCTATCATTTTTTATAAACGTAATCGCAGATCAGATATAGATTTATGGAGATGTGCCAAACAGTGTATAGCTACCGGCCTAGCCTTCCATTTCAATTTTCTCCGATCAAAACTTCTTTATTACAATAATTTACTAGAAAATTTATCGCCCAAATTTGTGCAGTGCGTTTTTAAATTTACAGGTTGCTTTTATACATAACTCTTACCTTTTATTTTCTTAAATTTAATTATAATTTACATATATATAGTATATTTCAAAAGTATAATTGAATTTGTTATACAAGTTTCCATAAATACATTGCATTTCATATACAAGTATATATTTATAAAAATCTATACCAAAGTTCTATATTATTTGGACCCATAATAATAATCTAATAGTACAACAAATTAATCTCTCTTTTTCTCAAACGTGATGGCTTATGTAGCTAGATTTTTTTAGACGGAATAGGACTCGATATACAGATTTTAACTTATGCTTAAATAGATTCAAAGTTTTATATATAACAGATTTTAAAAGTAGAAATTGAATTTATTTGTATACAACCCTAGCTATCGTTCTGCTTGTTATAAGATTATTATGTATGTTCAAAATTAACTCTAGCACATACGCGTAAAATTGAACTTTGCACCAGAGCTAGCCTAATGCGTGTAAATATGTTTTTCTCTAATTAATATGGTAATTTCTATAACTGCAATGCAAACAAACTGGCTAGCTCGTTATTTTTCACGACCTCTCTTAATATATTATATATAATACATAGATACTTTGTTTCTTCAAACTCTAATTACGCTGAATAATTTTATATATGGAAAACAAGAGTCTAATGAGGCAAATTAAATTGTCGGCTGCGTTAGCTCTATACATTTGCGCCTGATGCTTGCATTTGTCTACAAATAAACATAATGGGTTCTGGGGGTTGAAATATAAGAGAATTCGCAACATTAATTTTGTCCTTGATATTTATTCGAATGGGATTTAACTAATCCTATAAAAATATAGGGGGATTAATTGTTAAAGTTAATTACCGTTTCAATTTTTTTAAAGCAGTGATCTCTTTGTGGCATGGCTTGGGGTGAGGTAAAATCGAACTAATCAGCTGTTATACATACCCTTGAACATGCATGATCGAGGATACATGAACGCAGCTGGCTGGCCTGTTATTGTAACATCCCGGCCTAGAGTTTAATAGGATTAATAGAATACTCATATCAACAAGTTGCAACTTCTTTTCCAGAAGTCAATCTCCAAAGAACTCCAGGGTTAAGCGTGCTTGGCCTGGAGCAATTTGGGAGGGTTAAGCGTGCTTGGCCTGGAGCAATTTGGGATGGGTGACCGACCGGGAAATTCTTCCCGGGTGCACACGAGTGAGGACAAAGTGTGCAGAAAAGACATGTGTTGCCCTGTGAGGAGTCTATGACCTATGAAAACTATCAGATGTAAGCGGGCCCGGCCTGGGGGAAGGCGGGACATGTGTTGCCCTGTGAGGAGTCTATGACCTATGAAAGCTATCAGATGTAAGCGGGCCCGGCCTGGGAGAAGGCGGGACGTTACAAAATGGTATCAGAGCCGACTCTCGCGGTTTCACGGGCGCGTGTGTCGCAGTTGCGCAGGCATGGTGCGCATGGCTGGTGTAGATTGGTCTGTGAGGGCAGTCTTATGACCTATGAAAGCTATCAGATGTAAGCGGGCTCGGCCTAGGGGAAGGCGGGACGTTACAAAATAGTATCAGAGCCGACTCTCGCGCTTTCATGGGCGCGTGTGAGTCTATGACCTATGAAAGCTATCAGATGTAAGCGGGCTCGGCCTGGGGGAAGGCGGGCTCGGCCTGGGGGAAGGCGGGACGTTACAAAATGGTATCAGAGCCGACTCTCGCGCTTTCACGGGCGCGTGTGTCGCAGTTGCGCAGACATGGTGCGCATGGCTGGTGTAAACCGGGAGTGGTTACACAGCATGGCACATGCGCTGGGGGAAGGCGGGACGTTACAAAATGGTATTAGAGCCGACTCTCGCGGTTTCACGGGCGCGTGTGTCACAGTTGCGCAGGCATAGTGCGCATGGCTGATGTAGACCGGGAGTGGTTACACAGCATGGCACATACGCTGGCACTGGACACATGGACGTGGCCAAGAGAGGACGTTCCTGGCCTGGGGTTGATCGACGGGGGCGTCGATCACTCTTAAGGGGGTGAGGGTGTAACATCCCGGCCTAGGGCTTAATAGGATTAATAGAATACTCATATCAACAAGTTGCAACTTCTTTTCCGGAAGCCAATCTCCAAAGAACTCCAGGGTTAAGCGTGCTTGGCCTGGAGCAATTTGGGATGGGTGACCGACCCGGAAATTCTTCCCGGGTGCACACGAGTGAGGACAAAGTGTGCAGAAAAGACATGTGTTGGTTTGTGAGGGCAGTCTGTGACCTATGAAAGCTATCAGATGTAAGCGGGCCTTTCCTGGGGGAAGGCGGGACGTTACAGTTATCGAGGTACCTTTGCTATATCTCTACTCCACTATCTGTGAGGGCAGTCTGTGACCTAAGCGGGCCCTTCCTGGGGGAAGGCGGGACGGGACGTTACAGTTATCGAGGTACCTTTGCTATATCTCTACTCCACTATAATAATTAGTTAATATATTAAGTGATCGTACATAAATGCCCGGCGACCTATATACTCCATGTCTCCAGTTAGCTACTCGTCTGTTTCATAATATAAGGTAGATATGATATATATATATATATATATATATATATATATTCTAGTATAATAAATCTAGATATACTAAGATGTGTTATATTTATCTAAAATCTCTTATATTATGATATGGAGGGAGTAGCTTTATAATCACAAGAGATGACGCGCGAACACCAATTAATTAATTAAGTTGCCACACTATTCCGATCCGGCCCCGGCGATCGATCGAGGTGCCCTCGATCTCGGCATAGTACTATACCATTCCTTCTCCTCATTGCAAGCTAATTAAGGCAACTATTAAGCTAATTACTGATCTACTCCACTCTTTTTCGAGGGATAACGGTTAGAATAGGTGTCAAATAACAAATAAACAAGTTCTATGAATTTAGAGTTATAATAGGTATCGAATATGCTAGTTCTATTAAGAGTTGGACTTGAAATTGTAATAGGCCAGTGGTTGGGGGTGAAGTTAAAGTCGAATCTAGTAACCCAACAACTCTCTTAAATAAAGAGGGGACACTATAATATAACTATGACGACTACAATATAGCATAAACACGCATGGATTTTGGAAAGCGTGTATATTGAATTTTTTAGCTCGGGTCATAAGACAAGGAAGAAAATGTTCTCTTTAACAAACTGGAGTCTATGATGTGACCGCTAAGTAGGAGTCCAATTTTGCTTGACAAGACAAGTGATGATAGGAGAGAAGGTGGAGCTAGACTGTTGCAAGTGGAGTCTAGAGGAAGAAGTTATATGGCTAGCGGAGTCTTTCTAAGGCAGCGGGTTTGATGTAGACTCATCGGGCAGCTTACAGTGAAGCTGCAAAGAAGACAACCCAGGTTTGGAGGACCAATGGATAGACATGGTGATTCTACTACTTTTGAGTGACGTATATTTCTCAAGGTGAAGTTTTTTAGAATAGGTGTCGAATATACTATTTCTATTTGGTTACAGTTTGGATTTGGAGTTGGAATAGGTGTCGAATATACTAGTTCTATTAGGAGTTGGACTTGGAGTTGTAATATGTGATAAGGGGTGAAGTTAGAGTCAGACTCTGTTGTCGACATTTGATGTCGCGACTACGGTATTTGGACAGTATGGGGATCGTCGGTGCTAGGGTATACGCGAGACTGAGGTAAAAGAGACGGAGACAGGGATTTTTATACACGTTCGGGCCCCTGAACGGTCAGGTAATAACCCTACATCCTGTTGGCCGAAGCCGGTATTGCTCTTATTCATGATAACCACACCAGTACAATGTTGGGGTAGCCTATCTAACTATTGTCGACATGTCGGTCTGACGATCTGACTCGTAGTCGACAACAGGGTAGCCTTCCTCCTCGAATCCGTGCCCGGTGAGATCAGAGATAGCGCTTTCGTCTCTCCTATCCGGAGACACCGTAGGGTACTAGCTGTGCTTATCCCTGAAGTCGATATTCGGCGGCGTGTCTTGGCGTATGTAGGCTTCTATGTTGTGGCTTCTATGTCGATTGTGTTGGGTGTTGATTGTCTCATGGTGGGTGTCCCCCTGTCCTCCTAGGGGGGCTTGTATTTATATCCATAGGTGTCCCCTTGTCCAAGTAGAACTAGGGAAACCAATATGGATACAATCCGGGTAGTCCTTGTCATTTCCATGTAGAACTCTGGTTATCTTTCCTTATGCGGAACTCTAGGTTGTTTCCGTATAGGACATGGTATATGGTGGGTCCTGCCAAGATGTAGTCGACTACTATTAGGTATGTGGTATCCATAACCCTAACATCTGTAACTTAGAAACTCTCTTAAATAAAGAGAGGGGCACCACAATGTAACTATGACGACTACAATGTAGCATAGACACGTAAGGAGATGATGACAGGGTGGCCATGAACTTGTAATGGCTAGGTACTATACTGATTGGGGAGGAGCGCCCATAATCAGATACCTGGATAGGGGTGTGCAGAAAAAGACCGAGACCGAGACCGAGAAATTTGGTCATCATTTCGTTCCTAAGTAGTGAAAGACCGAATTTTGTTCGGTCAATTCGGTTAGTCTCCTCGGTTAACCAAATAGACTAAATTAACAAAAAAATGTCTAAATGCAATCTACAATCCACTAAGTTCAATAGGATCAAACTCTAATTTTCACATCCCTACTTCTTCTAGGCATGCAACCTAATAAGAGTTTTTACTCATACGTGCTTATGATTTTTTTTGTGATTTTTGTGTTGGAAATTTCCATTATTTCTTTGCACATATGAAAATGTTGCTGAATTTCAGTCAGGATCGAGACCAAGACCGAATTTGTCGGTCCTGACATTTCTGCGTTGAAATTCGATCTTCACTTTTCAAAGACCGAAATGCCTGAAAGACCGAAGACCGAGACCGAAAATTTCGGTCAGACCAAATGCCCATCCCATCCCTAGAGATGTAGGCTTCGAATAAACTTCGTTAATAAAAATTATGTCTTTCTGTGTCGTTATCTAATGTGTCTTAGATGATCAATGACTGATATGATCGAGAAGGTTAGTCGTCGTTCCGTTATATTGATTGGCCTTATAATAATATGTAACACCTATACGCAGCCTTACTAATTAGCTAGCCTTCAACATCGTCCTTAACTCTCTATTATATGCCAAATTATTATTTTAAGATTTAATATAATGTGTGAAATTGGCAGGAATTGACATATAGATTGGCATGAAAATGCCTACATACTGCTAAGAATTTCGTAATTAATTTTACACATGTAAAATTAGAAAAATAATGATATAGGTAGAGTATTTACGCCGATATATGTTTTGCCGGAGATGAGGTATATTACAAAATTGCAGATGGGTATCAGATTTATGCTAAGTTGGATAAGAGAGAGAAAAAAACAGGCCACAAATGGCTGTATTGTGATGGTCACACATCCAATGGCTTGCGCCCAACCTTGCCGCACACCAGCCTCCAGCTATTGCTATCCAGTCCCGCTCCGCTAGGCCACCTGTGGCCCTGTGCCGAGCATTGTTGCTTGAGCAAGCGCGCGCGAGAGAGAGAAAGATTGAGGGGAAGACAAAGAAGGGAAACGAAAGGAGTGGAGAGAGAAGAAGAAATAGATATGTGGGTCTCACGTGTATGGGTATTTTGGTCTATATGATGACAGAAGACGTGATGGTGATGGCATGGTTCTAATTTTAAAAAATTCTAATGGCACCCAACCAATATCGCGGATAATAAAGATTTTTCTAATATAGTAAATTTGTAGTAAATGGATGGATCAAATTTACCCTAGATTAGTTGCTTCATTGTATTGTCTATATATAGTTGATTATAAGCCATAACACTTATTAGAAATGAAAATAATTTATCGATAAACATTTTATATATGTATTGATAGTAAATTAAAAGTCAATACTGGAAAAATAAACTTAAAAGGAAAATCAAAATCAACGCTAAAGTTGATTTCTAAAATTTAGATTTTGGTTTGACAGATAAGCAAAACACAAAACGATGGAGCTCTAAGCATATGCTTGACATAGATATTTGGCTGCGGCTTATTAGAAGCTTTGGCATGAGGCAGTAGAGATTCTCCGGGAAAAAGAAAAATCAATGCAGCATTTTGAGCTAGCTAGCTAGCTGAGGTGGGGCATATATATAAGTCGCCGCATTGTGCAGTACTACATATCACAATATCACATGGCTAGCTAGCTGAGTATCGATCAGTCATCTGGACTGGTCTGTACGTTCGAAGCTAGCTAGCTAGCTCGTCTGAGAAGAAGAAGAAGATCTGAGCTACTCCTTCTAATTCGATCGCCATGGGCGAGCAAGTTAAGCTCAACGACGACAAGGTAGCTAGGCTAGCGATCGAAGCATGTGTACATTTATTATATATATGCAGCCAGTAGTCTGCAGATAATTATATTGAGTATTGAGCGGTGGAGTGAATTATGCAGGAGGAGGGCGGCAAGGAGAAGAATTCGAAGCAGGTGGAAGAAGTAGCACCGGCGGCAGAGAAGAAGGAGGAAGCTGCAGCAGCAGCAGATGCAGGGAGCAAGGAAGAAGAGCAGGTGCCGCCGCCACCGGCACCGGTGATCCTGGGCGTGGAGCTTCATTGCACCGGTTGCGCCAGGAGGATGAGGCGGTGCATCCTGCGGAGCAAGGGCGTGCAGGGCGTGGAGGTGGACATGGGCGGCAACCAGCTCACCGTCACGGGCATCGTAGACCCTCAAGCCCTCTGCGCTCGCCTCCGCCACAAGACCTTGCGCAACGCCACCGTCATCTCCCCGCCGCCGCCCCCAACTAGTACCGAGGACCAAGACCAGCACCAGCCATCCCCGCGGCCGCCGCTCGTCCATTCGCAGGTGAGCGATGTGACGACGGTGGAGCTCCTGGTGAACATGCACTGCGAGGCCTGCGCCCAGCAACTGCACAAAAAGATTCTCAAGATGAGAGGTGAGGTACCGTCTGCTTGAGCCTTGAGATGGATCGATCGATATATTATAGTAATTGACTAGCAACTTAATAATTAGCTGCTCGTGTACTCGTGTCCTGCGCAGGGGTCCAAACCGCTGACACCAACTTGAGCACCGGCAAGCTGACGGTGACCGGTACCGTCTCAGGCGACAAGCTCGCCGAGTACATCCACCGCCGCACAGGCAAGCTCGCCACGGTCGTCGTGCCCCCGCCCCCAAAGCCCAAGGAGGAGGAGGAGGAGAAGACCAACGACGACAAGCCTCCTCCTCCTCCTGCAGCCGAAGCTGACAAGAAAGATGAGGAAAATAAGCCGGCGGCGGAAGACGGCAGCAGCAAGCTGCAGAATGAAGCAGAGGGCAACGCCAACAAGGAAGCAGCAGCAGCAGCAGAGGAGGAGGCGCCCGAGGAGGAGAAGGCAGCAGCGATTGCGAATAATAAGCAGCAGCAGGAGGATGGTTCGGTGGTGGTGGAGGGGTTCCCGCCGGAGGAGATGATGAAGCGGATGCACTTGTACTGGCCGCCGTACGGGCACGGCTACACGAGTTACTACCACCACCACCACCACCACCAGGGCGGTCAGGCTCACCCCTGTGCAAATCTTCACTCGTGGGTGCCTCCACCACCACCACCACCACCACCTCCTCCTCCTGTGTACTACAGCAGCTACGTCATGCTGGACCGACCGCCACCGCCGCCGCCGCAGCTCTTCAGCGACGAGAACCCAAACGCGTGCGTCATCTCATAGCACCTTAATTTCCCTATGAAACGAGACATTGGCCTTGGCTACGTACCAGCTGCTGCGATTTAATGAACCCAGGATTTCGATGTATACGATACGTACTCTCTCCTATTCGTATGTAGTCTCACGCCTATTAGTTTTACTTGACATCCATCTCCTATCGATGTATCCGCTTGCCCGCCGCCGCTCCTGCCCCTCGCCGCCCGCCGCGGGAGAAAGAGAGAAGGCCCCACAGTGGGTCCCACAAATTTTATTTTTACGTGAATGATAAATGGGTCCCACACATACTTTCTAATTCTAATGTCACCTAAGTGCCACGTTAACGCCACGTCGAATAAAGATCAAGCCAATATTGCCACGTAGGCACCACGTCAGTAAAATCATCATCCAAAACCATCGAGAGGGAGTCAAATTGCTCCGATTTTAATGGTTGAGGGGTCGAGATATATATTCCGTATTATTGTTCAGGATACGAATCAGCTTCGGCAACTTAATAAGGGAGTCAAACTGAACTTATTTCGCAGGACAACTACTCTTCAAGGAGAGGCCCAAATCAAGCCCAATTGGGGGTAACAAAACCAGCTGCCGCTGCACTGGCTGGAGCCTGGAGGGGGAAGAACTCAGAAGAACAGGCATCGGCGGGCTTGGTTCGGCTGAACCTCGTCAATCTCTATTCCTTCCACACTCTCTCTTGTTCCTCTACACTGCGAAGCTTCCGGAATCTAGAAGCTTGTATCCTCTACTTCTTCTTATCCAATCTGTTTGGTATTTTTTTTCATGAGATTAAATTGGATTTGATTGCTCTTGAGATAATTGAGTTGAGAAACGTCAGGAAGCGGAAGCGGAAGCGGTGTCGAGCTGTATGGAGGATGCGACGTCCTGAATCCGTTTTCACCGGCGTTCCCGCGTTGCCATCCTATTCCTAGCTCGTCGTCACCCTGTCCCTTGTACGCAGCTAGCCTAGGCGAAGGCAAGGGCGACGCCAGAGCAGTGAGGGTGCCTCTGGAGGCCGTTGCTAGCTCCACTGGATCTGAGCCCCTCGGTGGTAATCATTCTCCCTCAGCCATCCATGTTAATTGCTGGACAGACAGGGCCGTCTATAGGAATTTGGGGCCTCGGGGTGAAATGCAGAGTGGGACCTATAATTTAAAAAATCATATCTAATATAAATAAAATATATTTTCACTTAATTATATAGATGCAATATGTGTTCTAATATTACGAATTTACGATCTATAATCTACTCAATCACTATCTAATCTTACCCGTCTAAGCCTCCGAGGTCGAGCTGTTGAGGGTCGAGTCGACGATGATGAGCGGACGAGGAGGAGAAAGGCAGGAGCTAGGAGACGAGACAAGGTAGCAAGGCAAAGCCATCGCCGCTGCCGCTTGGAGCGTTGGAATCGCAAGGAGCAAGTTGTATCGCCGCCGCCGCCTCAATCGCCGTGAATGGAATTGGGATCGACGTCTCGTCGTCTCGATCTCTGAAATCGGCGCCACACGGAATTAGATCGCTCAGCAACCAACAGAAGGCGAAATCAACGATCGCACAACATTCTCTTGAATTTGGGTCAGGCCTACCATTATTGATCTACCCATTGGGCTATTGCCTATTAGCTGATATTGTGTTGCATTACTATAGCTGAAGTGGTCCTTCATGTTTATATGGGGCCCCCAAAAAACGAGGGCCCTGTGCGGGTGCCTATTTGGCACATGCCCATCGACGGCCTTGTGGACAGACAATCGAGCGACAATTAAGAGCACTAATCAATTAATTAATTAAGTTTCTCATGGTATTAAGCTACGAGACTGCGGCAGGGCCCGCGATGTGGCACTACGGCCACCGACATACGTATTGCTCTCTTGTCATTCGAAAACGTCCGGAGAGGGCTACCCGTCGGACGTCCGATGCTTTAGGAAAAAATCGGACGCTGACGTCAGCGCCGATTTACGTGCAAAACTACTTTTAAACTGATTTTTATCTTAAATTACTTATCCAAATCATGATCCGATTACACCATTAAATTCGTTGCAATTAAATCTTCAAAACATGGATATATTCCGATGAAAAAAAAAGCTTATTATTGAATTATTTTTAAATGTTGCACGGTGTTTCACCAGGTATATCGGAATTGTTTCACTAAGTAGATCGAAAATGTTTCACTCGTTTAAATCTGGTGTTGTTTCACTTTATATAAAAACAATGTTTCAGCAAATAGCGAAAGAATGTTTCAGTTTACTGCAACATTAGATGTATACATAGTGAAACATTATAAGTACACTAGGTGGAACATTTTTCGGTGAAACAAAAAATGAAACAAATTTTCTTAATAGGAGGTTTCCAAAATATGTGGGTTTTTTGTTGTAATGAAATATTTCAGTTCACTGCAACATTAGATCTATACATAGTGGAACATTGTGAGTGCACTAGGTGAAACATTTTTTGTGGAACAAAAAAACAAACCAAATTCTCTTAATAGAGGGTTTCCAAAATATGTGGGTGATTTATTGCAACGGCGCGTTCCACTGCAACATTTGATCCGTACACATTTGATCCGTACACAGTGAAACATCATGAGTACACTAGCTGAAACATTGTAAAACTACTGGTTGAAACATCAAAAGAGACCACATGCAACATTAAAAAAATCAATAAAAAAATTAAAATATTTTTTTGTTGAAATATAATCATGTGTGGTCTTGTTGTAAAGATTTAATTGTAACGAATTCAGTGGTGCAATCAGATCGTAGATTAGATAAATAGTTTACGATAAAAAAATCTTTTGAAGAAAGAAGAAAAGAAAAGATTCTTTGCATGCAACATGCTGCAGTGGCAGACATCGTCCGATTTTTCTCCACCCCGCCGGTCATCTAAGTGTGAGCATTTTTGAAAACGTCCCAGTCGTCACTTGGTCTTACGATTTCGTCACAAGTTCGCGCTGCCGAACTGCGATGTCCACCACTTTGCTTTACTCCACCATGTTACCGTCAAAATCGTCGCTGCTCTCCTGCGCGACAACGGTCGCTTTACTCCACTGTAATACCGCCTAAGTATAGTCGTCGCTTCTCTCCTGCGTGACGATCAGGCCTATTTGTGTAGAACCGTTCGTATCTCATATATTTCTGAGAAAAAAAAAGATTTAGCTCCCCTCTGTTTCTCTTTAGCAAAAAGAAAGAATAGAAGAAAGAATAGAAGGGTTCAATTCGAGTTGATGAACAACAATTGGTTATCATCTTTCAGACAAATTACCTCAGTTGAGGAGATACATGAGCTAGTGCAATTGGGAGGTTTGCTCAACTCACTCAGAATGTTGATGACATAGTTTGGAACTGGACTGAATCTGGAACATATACAACCAAGAGTGCTTATATATATATATCAGTTTGCTGGTTCATACACTGCAATTGATTTTACCACGCTCTGTAAAGCCCAGGCTGAGCCAAAAATGAAATGTTTTGGTTGGCTTGTCCTCCACCAAAGAACTTTAATGGCTCAAAATTTGCTCAGAAGATATTGGTCTTGTAATTGGATTTACTGTTTGTGTACCTCCGCCTTCGAAGACACCAATCATCTGTTCGCGGATTGTCCGTTTGTTAAACAAGTATGGACTACAGTATGTATGTGGCAAAATTTGCCCCTAGCTCTCAATTCCCTTCCGTCCCGCATCTCAACCTGGTGGGATGAGCTTAAAGGTGCAGAAAGAGAAGGTCAAAAAACGCTCGCTCGCGGTGCTCTCCTGACAACTTGGTGAAACATTTAGCTAGAGAGAAATAGTAGAATTTTCCAAAATTTAGCTAGCTCAGAATTGTCAGTAGCATATCGGGTAAAACAAGATATAGATTTGCGCAAAGTGGCTTTCAGGCCACCTTAATTTCTCCTTTTGCTGTAACTCTTCCCTAGGTCTTCCTGGGTGGTTTTTGACCCCTTAATTAAATTCCGGCAGATCTTCTGTCGTCATTCTCCTAAAAAAAACTTCAACAGTATAATTTCATTTTTTTCAAATATTTGCGGCCTATGGACTTGATCACTATTTTTTTTAATCCCTCTATGATCGGATGACTCCAGTACACGTCAATATTTTATTTTACTCCCTTCATGATCGGATGATTCCAATACACATGTCTTCAAGTAATTGTAAAAAAAAAATACTGAAAGCTATAGGCCCACTTGTGAAGATCATGGGTTTTAATCCTATACGTACGTGAGGTTTTCTAATACTACATGTAGTAAAAATCTAACAAACGGAAAATGATTTTAATTAATGTTGAGTGAAACCTGCAGTGCAGGACTACAGGGGCATGGTAGGATTACACTTCAAGCAAATAATTTACTCCCTACTTAAAAGGTGTAGATGGATACATCGTCCAATTTCTATGTATAGTACTGTAGATAATTTACTTATAATTAATGTACTATGCCAGAAGCAAGATCTTAGTGATCATTTTATTGTACTGCATTTTGAAAAGTGAGGTGGGTGGTGTCAGGGGATGGGGGTGGGGGTGCATCCGTGAAGAGTGCGTTTTAATTATGGCATAATAACCCAGATGCGCTTTAGCGCATTCCTGTATATAAGAGTATACATGCATGTGGCTACAATGGAGACAGTACAACAATTTTTGAAGATGAAGTAGGAAAATATAGAATAATTGAATTGCAAATATGAAAAATCAACCATACATATATGTATGTAGCTAGATTACGTACAGACAGTACAGATGAATTACGGATATAATTATAAAAAACAAATTAAAACAGTAGATCGAAGAATAATAAAATATATTGCAAGGGTGCATGGGATTAAAAATGGGGTGATCGGTAGGAGGAGGAGGCGAAGGCCTTGGCGGCAGCGCCCCTGAGGATGTAGTGATGGTAGATCATTGCGGCGGCGGCGCCGGCGAAGGGGCCCACCCAGAAGATCCAGAGGTGGGACCAGGCCTTGGTGGTGCCGAGGCCGAGGACGAGGGCGGGGCCAAGGCTGCGGGCGGGGTTGATGCCAGTGCCGGTGATGGGGATGGTGGCAAGGTGCACAACCAGCACCGCCAACCCGATGGGAAGCGGCGCCAGCACCGGCACGTGAGAGTCCCTGGCCTTCCGCTTCGGGTCCGTCGCCGAGAACACCGTGTACACCAGCACGAACGTGCCCACCATCTCCGCCACGACCCCTGCCCCCGCCGAGTAGCCCGCCGCCAGCTCGTTGGCACCTCCGCCGTGCCGCGCGTACTGCCCGCCACCGTGCATCGCCCTGGCGAGCCCTGCGCCGCACACGGCGCCCACGCACTGCGCCATCGTGTACAGCGCCGCTCGCGGCAGCGACACCCTTCGCGCGAGCACCATGGCGAAGGTCACGGCTGGGTTCATGTGCCCCCCGGAGATGCCAGCGGTGCAGTACACCAGCACGAAGATGAGGCCACCAAAGGCCCAGGCAATGCCAAGCACGCCGGCGCCGCCCTCGCCCGACTGCCGCTTCTCACCGATCACGGTGCTCACACTGATGCACACCAACAGCAGCGTGGCTGTGAACTCCGCAATGGCGGCGCGATACAGTGACCACTTACCTAGCTCGCCGGTGTCCACTAGCGGCGCGGGAGGAGGATCCTGGTAGTCCTTAGGATTGCTGCCGCTGCCGCTGCCTGCAGCCATTGTTGCTAACAATATTGAAATGGAAATGGAATGAACCTAGCTAACCTAGCTAGCTAGAACGATATATATGATGCAGCTGAGTCCAATTGAATGATCGATTGATGATGTATATATATATAGGATACCTTCTCTAGGGACTGGCATTTGATAGACAAAAACAATTTCAAAAATCTTTTACAAATTATAAAATTCTCCTCACTCGCTCCACCAGCATCCTACACCGCCCGGCCTCGCTCGCTAGCTGCCAAAGCCCAAAGGCACGAGCGGCACCGGTGAGAACCATCCCCTCCTCCGATTCTCTCCCTCTCCCTTCCACCCCTCTTCTCCTCCTCAAGCTAGCGACAGCGAGGTGCCCCTGTCCCACCGTATTCCACATCTTCGGCAGCTCTCCGCTGTCAGATTTTTCACCATTGGCCGTCGACTCCTAATCAGAGGCCTCGCTTTGCCCCTACCGTCAATGCTAGCCCACCAGTCTCCCCTATTCCTATGGCTTTGGCATCTCACTGTCTCCCATCTCCCACCGCCACCATCCGGGGCCCTAATTGGTCGAGGTTGTCACCATCAGTCGCCGAAGTTCATCAAAGTCATCAGAGTTGGAGGAGAGGCCCATTGGAGTACGAATCGCAAAGTAGATCTGAAGATTAGAAATTTACAAGATTTTGTCTCTATTTTCCTTTCGAGGTTTAGTAATTTTGTATTTAATAATTGACATTCGAACCGTTTATCCTCAAATTTTGATCTGTAGTTCTTTTTACCGAAAAAGTTAGAAATTACTAGTACTTCAATAGATATTATATTATCAAGAGCGTTGCTCCCATCCAGCAACTTGTACCGGTAGGTACTAGTACCGGAAGGTACAGAGATAAATCCATCCGTCCATGTTAGAAGGGTACGATTGAAAAACAGAGAAAGTAGTCGCGCCCCCTCTTCTCCTTTTCGCTCTTTCTCGTTTCCTCCCTCCGTGCGGCACCGCTTTCTCATCTAATCTCTTTTTTTTCCTCCCCTCGGCGAGCGCAGCCCCGCCCGTGCGAAGCCCACCTGAGCCACACGCAGGCTCGCCCCAAATCTGCCCGCCCCGCATCCACGCTCCGGCCGACGGAAGCAACTCGCCGACGCCGCCGCTTCCTCCCACGAAGCAAGTTGCCGCTGCCTCCCACGGATCCCGCCGCCTCCCGCGGATCAAGTCCAGGCCGACGAAGCAAGTCGCCGACGCCGCCTACTCCTCTCACGGATCGGATCGGATGGGAAGGGGAGATTTGCTCGCCGCCTACTCCTCTCACGGATCGAATGGCAAAGATTTGGTAGAAAACCCTATTTCCCTCCCCTGGACACTTCTACGCGAAAAGACAAAATTACCCTTCCACCACTCCAAATATTCTAGTACCGATGGTACCCGCTGGATGGGAGCAAATTTGTATCTGGAGGTACCACAGATTTTTCACCATCTGATTGAGCTGATTGGATGGCTCAGATTTGGTACCGGACAGTAAGGTGCCTGTTGGATAGGAGCAATTAATTGCCCCTATATATTATTCCTATTACCATAGTACGACACTATATATGATCATACTGCTAGCTGGATGCAAAACGCTCCATCCATTTCACATGTCCATTTTCTTTATGGTTTCCGTTTCAAAAGTTATTGGGAAGAAGCTGAGAAGAATCAAATCCTCTTTGCTTATTCGTGAAGGAATACATATACACTGAATTTATAATTAGTTATGCACATACAGTATCTGTTGGTGGGATCTTGGATCTTCGGCAGTTTTGCCTTCTCTTTAATTTAATTAATTTCAGATTTGCTCGGATCGATCGATTGCTTTGATACCGGTGGGCATAAAGCACCATTTCCATTTTACAAAGTTGATTCATGCATTCATCAGTATTGTTATATCATGTACTAAACTACAATTTCTTTACAGAGGTAATCGATCTGCTCTTTCTTCCTTCCTTTCCTTTCTTAATTTCTTTCAATTTCTCCCGTCAAACCCGCTTTATTATTGTTCTGAAACATCCAAAATTAATTAGCAGTAAGTCTCGCTCTCGTCGTGCACTGCAAATTCGATGTTCCACAATTGACAGATATAACGGTATTAGCATGGCTAATTCGCAGCTTCATTGCGGGATCGAGACATCATCAATATATATGCAAATGGAATCGATCGATCAAACGAATGTGTTTTGTGCTTGTGTGTAACATAATATACATATGCATACCAAGTACTACATATACAGAAAGTCACATAAACGCGCACTCAAAATACACAGCTTACAAGCAACGTACACAGATGTAGGCAATAGTATGTATGTACTACTAACATGTCTGTATGTGTATGTACTACTAAGAAACAAATTAGTTAATGCACAAGCTGCATTAACATGACAGATCAGGATCAGCCAACTCACGGTCACAGTACAATCACCTTCTGCCTGCGGAACGGTGACAGTAGGGAGAACGACCGAGAAGCTGCAGGCCACATTATAGCAAAACACAATTAGCATCCATTTTTACCAAACGAAAACTTTTGGAACCAACTCATAGAATGCACTGCTGTTCTTGCCAAAATCTCTCGCTAAGGGGCTAAAAAGAAGGACAAAAGTGAAAACCAGATAGAATATAGATACTAGCTAGGTTTCTAGTTTCACATAACAAATCCTGCCACTAAATTATTCAACCGATGCATAAATGCATTTGACCAAATAGGTTGAAGGCAACCAATATTAATTGAGAGCGCGTTTCTAACTTCTAACCTTTAGATGAAGAACCAGAGTCATCTCGCGAAATGAGGGTTTTCAGCATTGACCCTGAAACATTAAGCACCAGCAACAAGTGTTAAACCCACAAACATTGAGTGAATTGCAATTTCCTCTTTTTTGGAAACAAACGTGACTACCAATAGATAGGTCCTAAATTTTTCTATCTTTATCTCGATTTTAATAGGATGCCATTACTACTTACATGATGACCTTCCGTAAACAAACTAACTTAAATAATTAGTAAATTTCACAAAAGTCTAGATTTAGAGGTCCATGTAACCCTATACCATCAATGGAGTTGCTCTTCACCGATAGACTGATAGTCTTCAATGGAGTTGTAAAGCCTATAAAATAGGCAACCATGCATGTGTATGATTACTGATGTAAGTATACCACCTATTATATATCTAGGAAATTAAAGTATCCGTCAATTAACCACGATAGGATACTCATACACACAAGCGAAGAAGCTGCTCTTTTCCAGCATGATTAATTCCCCTCATGTTCTCTTAAATAATCCATCCTCATATAGGATGTCCTCCGTTTCTGGCCACACCCCCTCAAATTGCTCTGACTGTGGGACCACCCGATCACCCATGCACTACAAAACAATTAGGGGGGGGGGGAGGAGATCAATGACACCAGCAACGATGCATCCTAGTTCAGTTGACGGGTGCAACAGAGTTACCTTAAGCTTTGTCTCGGCTTTTCAAGTCGAGGAAGAGCCAAGCGCCATCTTACGAACCAAAGTAGCATGGGGAGCGCAGTCTGCGGGAGGAAGAATGGGTACGGCAGTCGCTGGGGACAAATGATAAGGTAAGCCCGTGCTCATCGGTTTTCAGGAGGACGAGCCACGGGAGCAGGGGTGGGGACGGGGCAGTGTTTGTGTGCGCCACACGCCACCAAGAGTGGCAGATGCCACCCACGTGGAGGCATTCAACCTTGCACAGGAAGCAGCGGATGATGTCCTAGATGAGGCTGTCGGGGAGGTTTGCCCATGACCGATCAGTTACAGCCATTGGAGACGGCCAGAAAGGCAAGCAAAAATGGCACGAGATAAGACCGATGTGCAACTTGCATTATTAGGTGCTACAACTCCATTAAAGACTAGCAGCTTCTTTACTTGCGTGTGCTTTTTTTGAAAACGCAATGCGTTTCATTTCATTAAGAAGAGGGAAAATATTATTCAAGGGAACATAGGAGGAATTAATTGTGCTAGCTTCTTCGCTTTCATGTACCCGGTCGTGGCTAATTGATGGATACTTTAATTTTCCGGATATACAGTAGGTGGTATACTTGCATCAGTAATCACATAACTCCATTGAAGACTAGTAGGGATTTCAGTCTATCAGCAAAGAGCAATTCCATTGACGGTTGCTTGCTGTAACTAGGAGATCTCCAATTCTTCTCCTTAGCTAGGCAATTGCTGAATGTGAAGACACAGTGTTGTGCCATCGTGCAGGCACACATGCCTGGATGTCACACGATGCAGAAGCATTTTTAGTAGCAGTTGTGAGCATGGTTAGAGGGTAGATAGTGTGTCACTAAGCCCATCTTGCCCAGCGTGGCAGCTGGGGGTGGACGATGGGGCACCGTGCCGCGGCTGCTGAGGCAGTGCAGTGAACAGAGAGGAGGCAGCAGAGGTTGAGGGAGGTCCACTGATGATTTGGAGATGGAAGACAGCGCAAGATGGTGAGCGGTGCAGCATTTTGTCAAAGTGGTGGGGCACCAGAGGAGCACAAATCAGGATTGCTAGCCTGATTGATGGTCCAGCCTATGTGGCTCCACCTTATCTGCTGAGAGTTGTAGGCTAAAAATATGTGGTGTATTGTGTTATATACTTGTATGTGCAAATGTACCAGCATTATGTGAAAAAAGTTAAAACCCGGTGTTTTGTGTTATATACTTATGTTACTTGCGCGCATGTAGCTAGTGTTATGTGAAAATTAATAAAACCTGGTGTCCTTGTTAATAAAACCTGGTGTTTTGTGTACCATATATGGCTTAAAATCTGGTATTATGAAATTTACTCATAAGTAATGGATTGTTAAGGGGCGAGTATCATACCGTCTCCGGCTAAGGCTCCGTCAACAGATGATGCATCAGAATCCATTGTACCTGATGTGTGGCTCTTCCTACCAAACTTCAAAAGTTTCCTGAAGCCTTTTGATTCCTTATTACGAGGTTTTTCATTTGCTTCAGGGGTCTCCTCCACTGAAACTGTCGATACTGGGTCTAGTACTCGAGCCCTAATGCTCTCGGCATGCACAGGTGTTTCAGATTCAACTGGTAGTGCATGGGGGTAAGCATGAATGGTGGCTGAATCATTCTCCAACGATGTCACCCTAGCAAAAGGGGCCTGGTAGGGTTTCTCCACAGCAGACAAGGTCAATTCCTCAGTCTCATCCTTCAGATGCTCCGTCATCACCTAGTCATCACAAGCATTCTTTTATCACTTCAACTTGTGGAATTTAATAGAACAAAAGTAACTGTTGCATTCTAGTTGAAGTCTTCATAAACACCTTATTTGTGCAAAGAAACAGAAAAAAAACAGATAACCTTTTAGGGAAGCCTTAAGTAAACAACTGAGAAGATAAGCGGAAGCCTTAAGTAAACAACTGAGAAGAAGATAAGCGGAAGCCTTAAGTAAACAACTGAGAAGAAGATAAGCATCATACCTCGTAATTACCCTGGTCATTGTGTCTATGGATGGTGGGGTTCTCAGCTTCAGGAAGAACAGCTGGAGAAGGTGGAGCCCTGATGGCAGTGTACTCCAATTCCATACTGGGCTTCTGTGTTCTGTCATTGCTAGAAGTTTCATTCTCTGATGTTCTTCCAGGAGGTAGAATGAGAGGAGGTGTTGAAACCACCTCATTTTCAAGAATCACAACAGTCTTCTCAACCACCACATTATCATCACTGTTGCTTATCCTGGAGACTTCTACATCAGCTTTCTTTCCATCTGTAACTTCTAAAGTGGGAGGTGATTTACCTCCAGGATCCCCATCCCTTATTTCTCTAGCAATTGTCTTATTTTTCACAGATATAGAGGGAGCTCGTGGAGATTTGACTTTGAGTTCTGGTAGAGTTGCTGATTTCCTCTGGTCGAGCTGCATTATAGCAGATATTTTCTTTGTTTGGGTATCTTCTGGCATGCTTTTCCTTCGTGAATGGTCCATGCTAGCAAACTTTGAATTTGAAGGACGGTCGGTCAAAGCATTACTTTTAGGTTCAGCAAGTTTCTTCAATCTCTCACTGGACAATTCATTTCTCCCATTTTTCTCTTTCTTCATCGCTGCCAATGATGAGGTTGATTTACTCACTGCATTTGTACTACTATCGCTTAGTTTGCTAGCTTTTCCTGTTTTCTGATGGTCACTCTCTGCAGTAGTTCTAGCAGGAAGCTTTCTTAGAGGTGAAAAGGATCCTGGTTCAGCATCACTAAACTTTGAACTCTTGTAGGTACTGGGAGAAGTCTTTGGTGAAGGTTTCACTTTGACCTGCTGTGGTGTTGATATTGAATTAGATGTGCTACTTCTTGCAGCAATCCTCTTCTGCCTCTCTTGCTTAAGCCTTTCCAGCCGTTTAATCTGTTCCTCTTCCTGAAAATGTTAAAAAATAGCTTCTAACTCGTTACAATCTTGCTACAGGACAGCAAATAACAAATTTATCTTTCGTACTTTGTGGTTGTAGTTCATTTTTCTTTGGTGTGATATGTGTTTGCTGATTAATACATGTGGGAGGAAGATGTATGAATTTAATGCTAGTCTTTGGCTAAGTATATCTAAAATATCATTTCAACTATTACTAGCTCTGCTTTAATTTGGAGAACTCAGAATGATATGTATTTTCAAAAGAAGCCATGGATTGGTTTGATGATACATCACAGGCTTTCCCAGATGCTAAGTAAATGGAGAGTACTGTGTCAGAAAAAGAAGTTACAAGTCATGCTTTGTTATATTGGGATTTTTGGAGAATCACGCAGGAGCTCCACCTCGATGAAACTGACCCTGAAGAAGCTCAAAACATCATTGGACATCAGGATTTTAGTGGGTTGCTCAAAACGTAGATGGCCATTGTAGTTATCTTTTGTGCTATAAAGTGTATGTTTAGCATGCTACAGTGAGGCTTGGCGAATGATGAGCCATGATCCTCTCGTGCTTTTTGTTCACGGTGTAGCGTGACCAAGTGTAGGAATTGTAAATGGGCTTCCCTCCATCCCAAAAAGCATTTATTTTAAGAATGTCAAAAGGAATATCAAGCAAGAGTCCAAAAGACTACCATGCCCCTCCATTAATGCAGAGAGAACGACGAGGGGGAGAAAACGAGGAGAAGGGAGTACTAATGGTTGGATGGCTAAAACGAGAAGAAAAAGAAGTGGTATTAAGAGGTCTAGTGGACAACACAGCTAAAAAGACACTCTTTGTGGGACAAATCCAAAAGCTAAAATGACACTCTTTTTGGTACGGAGGGAGTATAATGCTGGATATTTTATAATGAAAGAAGCCTCTATTAAAAATTTTAGAAAAAAACATGCGGGGGAAAAAACCCACCTCTGGTCCAAACTAAACTTTGTGACTTTACTTCCCAAGTTTCAATCTGCAAATAGCTATTGCTTTGCCGTTCCTAAGCATTTACTTTCTAAACTGTCCTTATTACCTAATACCTAGTGACCGCTACAATTGTCTCCCCTCTTGACAAACTCCACTGCTTCTAGTGGAACAACTGCGTAAGGACATCTTATATCTTGGATCAGAGGAAGTAGATGTTTTAAAAGTTTTACTGCCATAATCTGAGAACTAAACTTTAGGTTCTGAGGGAATAAATGCTGTTTTCATCAATTAGTTTAGCAAATAACTGTCATTTTTAGACAACATTTTCCACCAGATGCCCATCAATTTCTTATTGCAGCAGTGCACTGGTGTTCCGGAGACATGGCATTTACAGGGGCAGGCAGTGTAATAAAGGCATTTAGTCCTTCCTAAAAAGTATTATATCAGTTAGAATGGGGAAACTGAGGAAGTATGAGTTCTGCTAGACAAAAGGATGAAATCTAGAACAGTATTAACTTAGGATCATTTGATCATTTAGAAATATTTTATGAGGTCCAAAAGGATGGAAAACATGAGGAGCAACAGGAAGAAAAATGAAACATTTAATAGGTAAAGCAGAAAATAACGCAATAATACCTGCTCTTTCTTTGCCTTTTGAAGGTCTGCTTTATATGCCCGCAGGTTTTGTGCACGTTTCTGTGCATCTGTTAGCCGGGTTTTTGACGATGGCAATCTCCTGGCCGAAGCATCCTTCTTTTTATCCAAACATTCCTGTAATCTAAGCTTCTTATCTTTCTCTAGCTTCTTTACTTCACCCTCAACCCCCAGTGATACATCATCCGCATTTGCATCTTCAACCATGATGGCAGGTTGAATCTGCATCTGGCTATCATAGTCCATTGCTGGATCATATCCATATGTGACATCTTCATATTCACGCTCTGGCATCAACTCATCGGGCTCATAGAAAAGTTGGTCTCCAGCCTTTGCATCTGTTGTCTTCTTAACAGTTCCAGGAAGCTCAACATCTATATCAATGGCGGTACAGCTTTCTGGTCCAAGATTATCCTGTGAGTTAGACCTAACAGGTATCATAAAGGACTCATCAGCCACACTATGCATGTTCTTTTCCATCAGGGTTGGACTCTTGTACTGTCCCTCTGCAAGAGGATCCAAATAACTCCCACTGTCCATTGGCTTTTCCTGACCATAAACGATGAAGTCTTCACTTGCTCCTCTCCTGTATCCTCCACCTCCAGCTTCTATCTCCTTAATATCGCCATCCACAAAACTCCTACCTTCAGCCGAGATCACAAGTTCGTCACCAGACAGCATTTTCCTGGACCTAATCCTCCCATGGGCTGAATTGAAACCAATTGTCTTCCCTTCATTGAAATCGGTAGAATCTCGCTCCACTAAAAGAAGAGGATCATCAGTGGTTCTGCTTTCTTTCCTTCTTGCTGGCGGTGGTCCTCTCTCAGTAGCAAATAGGTCTGCGTCATTATCTTTTGTCTTCTCTTCAGTTCTTAGCAAGAAACTCTGGAAGACATTCCAGTTTCCTTGGTCTCCATCTTGCCTGTGAGCTACTTCATCCCTGCTATACTCATCTCCAGGCTCAAGAATGATTTTTCTGCTCTCCTTTTTCTTTGAACTAGATCTCTTATTCTTTCGCTTGCTGTATTCAGTGTGTGAATCATCACTGTCCTCAGATGCTACATCAGAACTCGTTTGTGACTCGCTCTCTGATGAGCCATGCTTTTTTGACGTCACATTGATGTTCCTTATGACAACTACACTGGGTTTCTTCTTGCCTGATCGCTTGCCCTTTTTATGCAACTTGTGGCCATGAGAGCTCTCTATCTCTGAACCACTCTGGCCACTTTCATCATCCAATGTTTCTGAGTCCTTGCTATCTGACGAGTGCTTCCTTGATACTCTCCTCTCTGAGTGGTGGTACCTAGGATCATCCATTGGGGGGTAGGGTGGAGGGTAGTATGGGTTCACCCCAGGGTAGTAAGGCATGCCTTGCATGGGATATGGTGGATGAATTGCCCATGGTGGATATGCTGATTGATATGGACCATGGAGGTATTCGCTGGGAGCTCCTGAGTGCTGAGCTGTCCTCTGATCTGTCAAGCACCCAAGTGATTTCTCAGATACAAGAACCTTATCTTTGCAAAAATGGTTATGTAGAAACCATTTGTGCTGTACAGGTTGACTTAAAAGCATATATGAATTCGACATGTTTGCACAATGATAAGTGAAAGTAAGCAGAAAATATTTGCACCACAATTCTGACTTCTGAGTAACATTGGTTAGTGAAATCAATAATCATGCACATAACAATAGAACATCAGGAAACTGTTTTATCAACCAGGCAGTAAATACAAGATAAGAGTGATTTTTAGAGCTTTCTGAAAGAAAGTTTAGTTATCACACCAAGCATACCAGCTTTAGCAGCATCTTCACCATTTGCATCTCCATTCGAAATAGAAAGCGTTTCCAGGTTTTGCTTCATGTTGTCTCCCATAAACATAATTCCAGAAGCATTAAAGGGAGGAAATTCAGACCGTGCAGACATTGCCTCCGGTTCAACTTCAATCCATTGGCCAGTTTCATGCTTTCTTCTCCACAACTCAGTGAACTGTGTGCATGCCTTCCTATTGATTGACAAAACACCAAAGGTGTGAGAATAAAGGACCAATACAGTACTCACCAACTGTTCCAGTGGTAATTTTGTTTTGCTCTTTAATGGAACATATCCACACCTCTATTCTGGTGTAATATTCCAGCACAGACTACATTATATCAATAATGTATGAATCAAGACAGGTCAGCTGCTGCTATATTGATATACCCAATTTTATGGTCGAAGATATTTGTATGTTGCAACAACTATCAGCATTATAACATGTTAATAGCATATGTTAATAGCACCAGAATAGTATAAAAGAAAATTGTAGTGTAGTAACATATAGTGATATAGATTAGGCTCCTGATAAATTAGCAGCCATGTGAAAAAATGTACGGGGTATTCAAAATGGGAAATCCAATTCAGCAAGCAAGACACTACCTTGGGCATATCAAGGTAGTAACACTTACATCAAGCGTGAAGCACCAAAACGGTCTGCGAATGTGATCAAAAATCCCAGGTTGTCAATATTAAACCCAGCCGCTACAGCACGCGCAAAGGCCATAGCCTGCTCCTTACGTAAGACAATTTTGCGAGTCTCCAGAACTCTAAGTAATTGAACTCTGCAAATTATGAAACATGTAAAGAAATGGTTCCATTTGCGTCTGAGACACAGACTTTGTCCAAAACAAAATACAGATAAAGACCTTAAATGTTACATGTGACATGTCACTTCACTATATGATTATTCAACCTGCATAAGGACCTTACATGCTCCACATACTGTTACTTCATTACATGGACATGCAATGAACAGGTGTGTTTCTTCATTAAGTAGGAGCATGTATTGCTACACGAAAATTGTCTAATTTAAGAATTAAGACATTAAATGTTCCATGTAAACCGGTTTTGTTGCCAGATATTAGACAAGTTTAGGCAACGTGCACGGAAAAGGGGGGATATTAAGCATAGAAATACTTTGAATTCTCCTCCTGAGTTGCATTATCATTCTGCACAGGTGGAGGTGGTTGAATGCCCGGCTGCCATGACACAGAATATCAGAATTATATGGCACAATTAGAAAAGAAGAAAGTTTTATCCATGCAACTTTACCTTGTACAGAATAAGTGATTTATCCCCATCAAGATCGTAATTTGTCTTGCTACCTGTAAGGTGCATTCGGCAGCAGAGCAAAAGATAAAAAATATTACTCCAAATTATTTGCAGTTCAGATCAACCCATCATGAGAAAATTCACACATTATTTCTTGTAAGTTGTAACAAAGAATAAAGCTCTTGTGCACATTTAAGTACAAAAAAAAACTTAGAACCACCTTAAAAATAAATAGGTTACATTATGCTTGGTAAAAGGTGAACCAATTAGTTTTACTAGTGATAATTGCACAAACAATATAAATTGCCATTTCCCCTGTACATTCTATTGCATTTTAATAGTTCTATTATGCACCTAACTCAACAGTTGTGTCTGATGTTACATTACACCAACTCCTATAGTGAATAGTTTAGATTCTAAAACAGCATGGCCTGCATCCTACATGCATGTTTTGTGGTCCTAGCAAGTAGCGATATACGCTTAATTTTCGGTTCTCAATAAGTAGTGCTGAATAATTAGGTAACCAAGAGAAAGCTTCATAGATGTGCAGTCTGTTCGATGCATGACGATGAAAAGAAAGAATAGCAAGTGCTATACCTCCAATGCATTCCGCCAATTTTTCATTATAATCTTCTACCTAACGAAGCACAAAGAAGAGCATGTCATTAATCATATCATATTTCTAATATTAAGCAGTAGTACACTACATGCTATAGCATAAAATTCTATACTTACAGATCTCAATCCAAGATTGTCACCGCCCTGGCCAGTGATGGCATCCTCGATCTGCAATATCTCAGACTCTATAGTCGTTACTCGTTCCAGGACCTCTGGTGTACTGACGAAACGGACAAACCTGCCAGAAACCAACCATGCAAATGACCACCACCTGACAATGGCATGAGCTATCAGCAAATACGATCCAACCGAAGCACAGCACCAACCTCTCCACGGTGCCCCTTGTAAACCATGGTGCATCAATCTCTGGGTCTACCTCAAGTGTGATGGAGTACCCTCCCTTTGCAATCTGTTGTTGGGCAACCTTGAGATGTGCAACGAACGGGTTCAGCAAACCAGAGGCTATCTTCTCCTTCCGTCCATTTGCTATCACAACTAAATCACACCTACAAAGGAGGAGGCGAAACAAAAAAAAATTGACTATGAAGTGATGCGGTCACTGCTGGAGCTACAGCCACGAAGGCAGAAGAGTCACTGTGCATAGCAGCAAGCAAGCAGTAACAGTAGAGGTTGAGTATTAATAAGAATGATACTGCTCCAAATTAATTAGATCTACAACAGCAGTTGTTTTGGCCCAGGTTTGTCACTCGGGCATTTGACATCAGACGCTATCTTCCCAGGTGGAAGGAAGATGTCAACTTTACCATGTCCGGCAATCAATATTCCCAATGGAAGGACCGAACTTGTAATCGCGCAAAGATGAAACCTGGATTGGATCAGACCACGGCACCACCACCAGAAGAAGAAGAAGAAGATCCGGACTGCTCACCTTGTGCGGGTGGGGGTGAGCTGGAACACCGCTGAATCAAGCCGCGTCTCCGGCCTCATTGCAGAGCGATTCTTCCCAATCCCTCCTTCTCTTCAGATCTTGGAGTATGATTGGATCATCAGATGCTATGGACCAGCGGAGGAAAGAACAAAGAAAGGAGAGAATTTTGGAACAGAGCAAATGCAGGTTGAGACAGACTCCCTCCCTCCCAGTACTGGGATTGATTGGATTCCTTGTTACCAGTAGAAGAAGGGAACAACGACAATAGAAACAGAGATAATAAATAATATCAAGGGCAGGAAAGAAAAATAAATACTGCTAGTAAATTAGATAGATAAACGGCGAGGCATGGAACCAAGAGAGAGGAGAGTGGTGCAGACAGAGAGACACAAGGATTGGCTTTTATTATCGGAGATGGTGGTTGTTGGATTAGAAATGAAGAAACTTTCTCTATAATAATGAGATGAGAAATGAAGAAAATGTTTTTAAGAATAACGAGAAACGAAGAAACTTCTTTTTTTTAGAATAACGAAAAAAATTATAGAAAAAAAATGAGAAATGGAGAAACTACGCTATCTCCAACATATGTGTATTGGCATGAAGTATCCGATTCAGTTATGGATGACTTAATGATGTGGTAATGATCTTGATTATAATGATGATGATGAGGTGGTTGCGTAGTTAGTTGCATTGCATGTGGTAGATGAGAGAGAGAGAGAGAGAGAGAGGAGAGGCGGTAGGCGGTTGTTGTTTCTTCTTCAGGCAGGTGAGGGTGAGCCTCCGGGTCCGGGCAGGGGGATCATACATACATACATACATACATACATACTGGAGTGAGTACTGTCTACTAGTAGTATTAGAACCATAATAATACTGCCTTCCATAGTTTCCATTCCATATGAGCTGTCGAGATGTGCATCTAATTTCGCTCGCTGGAATGGGTGAGGTGATACGTCTCATCATCATCGACCAGTGGGCATCAATTACCTAACGAACTGACGCTACAACACTCTCAATCGGCATATAATTAGTAGTAGGAGTTGCTATTTATTAGTTAGCGAATAAATCACGCCTTGTAATTCTAATTCTAATAATTCTAATTAGGGAGGGAGTCGCCTAGAATAGATCACAAGAGCTCCGCCGTCGATTGATGCGTCCATCCCAAAATTAGCTGCTGCGCCTTCATATATAAACGACGAATGAATTGATTGATTGATTGATTGGTGCTCTCTTTTATCGATCTGGAAACTGGAATATATTATATATATAGAGAGAGAGAGAGAGGGGCAAACAAGAAGAAAAGAAGAAGAAGATGGTGGTGATGGTGAGGCAGCGGCAGCAAAGGCAGCCGGTGATGGTGGTGGTGATGGTGTGCTGGGCGCTGCTGGCGACGGCGGCGCGCGGAAACTGCCGCGACGAGTGCCTCGCCGGGTGCCAAGGTTGGGCCATCATCTGCCACCTCTCCTGCAACAGCGCCTGCCTCGGCGAAGTCGGCATCTCCGCCATGAGCACCGCCACACCACAGTCCATCACGGATCAGGATCAGCAGCATCCATCACAGCAGCAGCAACAAGCACAACAATCGGTCTCCGTGCTCAAGGGTCTCGACCCTGACAAAATCTGAAACGAATTGTTTTCTTGCTACCATTCATTTTCAAATCCCATATACATACACTGCACTACACACACACACACATGGAATAATTCATGTTTTCTCTTCAAATTCCATTGCTCTTTCTATTAATTATTAATTTACACAGCACGTTCCACATAGATTAGTATTGTCAACATTTTTGCCCCAACCATGTACACCTCACCCCTAAAGTAAAAAAAGTCATTCATTTGTCTAAACTAGTATAATAACAAATTACGGGCTACCTTCTGTAACGAAGCCAACGAATCAAAAATAAACAACACAAACTCTATACGTACGCACGTCTGGGAAGCTATGCAAGTTAAGATTCTGGCAGCCGTCGCGCTGAGGCCCCTTCTCCTCTTCATCTCCAATCCTTCTTCATTTCCACAGTTTCACGGATCTGTCATGGCTCGCAGAAGCTATCATCCCAGTGAACTGAGAGTGCGCCAAAGCAGCTATAAGGCCTTCATGTGCCTGGACCGTGTTTCTGTGATTATCTGACAAGCTCCATAGCTCCATCGTCTGCACAAATGACACCAAAGACCATCAATCAGTTGCCATTCCGACGGTTAAAAGTCTTTTGGACACACAAGACATATTATCGAGGAGGAGCAATTTGTCTAAGAAATTAATATAGGTAGCACTTTCTTAAGACATGTAATATGTGCTCGGCTATTTACATTGATACCACCAGGGCGGTCAATGCTTTGTGACTTAATAGCAAGAGGAAAATAGTGTACTTGTCTTTAGGATAAGTGAAGCCATATAATACTCGTCAGTGTACTAGAATATCACGTTCTCTCTCTCTCTCTCTCTCACTCACCCTTCCCCTTAATACCCCCACTCTCGCTCCAACACACAGCCTCCTCCCCCCCCCCCCTCCATGTTATGATAGGAGAGAAAAGAATGTGAGAAAATAAACAAGTCTCTAGGCTCTTATGACCATGGCAAAAGGTGTTCCTATCTAGCATGTTGGCAATCGCAGAATGTCAAAAGGCAGTTATATGTGTAAAGGATTTACCTGGTAACCACCAACTATCAGAACATTCGGATATCTTGGATGAAATATGCAAGACTGGTATTGGTTTCCATGAGATCTTAACTCATGGATGCATGCGCCTGATGCTACCGACCAAACCTTCACAGTATCCTGACTTACAGATGCCACACGTTCACCCTTTTCATCCCAACAGATGCAGTTTACCTCATTGGTATGAACCTAACTCAAGCAAACAAAACAATGATTGATTACCTTGCGTTGCAAAAGCTGCATAAGATCAAGCATCCCATATGTATTACCTTAGGCAGTGAGTGCAAACTTGCCTCCTTTTCAACATCAACAATATTCACAATGCTTCCAGTTGCCACAGCTAGGAGCTGTCCAATTTGAGGCTGAAACCTGACCCTACCAGTACCACCCTGTTTCATCTGTAATGACATCAAGTAAATATCATTGAATTGGCCCAAGTGTGAACGGTTTACAAATTTCAAAGGATAAGGAACCAAGGACCAACCCTGGAGATACGTGAAACTTTACTTTGACCAATTTTCCAGAAACAAATTTCTCCATTGTCGTCACAAGAGCATAGAACCTCTGTAGATTTCGGGTGAAAATCTACAGAGGTTACATGGGAACTATGCCCATGAAAAGTCTGTACAGCACCAGTTCGCTGGAAAAATCGAGAACATGTTTGACTTAGGTTACCAGCAAAACAGTAAAGTGTGATTTGACTGCCTCATAGTCAACCACTAGCATCATGAAATGAAACAAATTAAAATCAAGGCATTTGTTCACAGTACATGGATTGGCACAGAACTACAGTGACGTCACATGCGCATTTACTATGCGTGAGCGATAGCTTATGGAATCCATGACATGATAAGAAATTCCACGGGAAGTATCAAATGACAGCTTACAGCAGTACTGTTTCAGATTCTTGCATATAGTTTTGCATTTAGCAACTAGAGATTTCTGCTTCAATATCAACTTTCAAAACTAACAGTATCCCTGTAACAAATGAGGCACGATTTACATCATCAAGTTGGGTTATGCACAAGAGAAGGTGTTCATGTGCAGCATGAAAGATACGATAGTACTCTGACAGACCTCAAGTGCTTCACAATGTTGTATAAATATCTAGATAAAATCACCTACAGCAAATCTTGGGTCATAACAACTACTACGTAACTCCCATGTGGGCCATCGGTTAAGATTCAGATAGATCAATATAGAGAGATGTGGCAGTAACTAAAAGAGCCTGTTCTTTTTTAAAAATCTGATTTGGCAGCTTATGCGATGAGTGCCACAATAGCACCCATAGAAAGGTTTGTGATAGAAAATTCCCCAAAAAATTCCTTGTTTGCAAGAGCGAGCTTAAAAACAGTAATATACATAGTAGGTGATATAGGTTTGCGGTGCTCTCTTGCCACAGCCAGAAAATAAAAGTTTACGATGCAATGTCAATAGTCAGCTCTGAAATGAACCAAAAAGGAAAGTATAACTTACCTAAGTAAGAAAATTACTATAGAGGAGAAAAATAGATAGATAAAAGACTAAAAAGAAATTACTTCGATTGCATTCCATAGTCGAACAGTTCCATCAGAAGATGATGTAGCTAACTGAGTTGAATTCGGTTTGAATCTTATATCTGTAATAAAGTTCGTATGTTCTTCTATTTTAGTATCCATGTTAAGATTGTCCATATTCCAGAGGAAGACCTGCAACATTGTAGAATTCTTTAGAACCAAATATGCCCCAGATATACAAACATCTTTACTTCTCTTCCCAAGTCAAATAGAAGAAAAAGGCACTAAGAAAATTATAACATCATTCTGCATGTAAAAGTGGGGCAAAGGATGTACGGAGAAGACAATGATGAAATGTCATTACTGGAAACACAAATTTGATTTTGCCAGTTATAACTGTGTGAAAACATCAAAATTACTTTTATTAGTTGAATTGCAGTTATAGAAGAAATAGCAATGATCTTCAAGGAATATATATTCTTACGATCTGGCACAACAGAGCAACTTCTTGCGAGAGAAATTATTAAACCCCCTCAAAATATATAATAGAGTTTAACAAAGCAACCTTTTTCTCATGGCCAGCACTAGCCAGCAATTTCCCATCTGTGGAGAAGTGACAGCAAACAACCTTATTGTTGCTTGTACGGTTATTACCAAACTCACTCAACGAGAGACCTACACAAAAATGAACTTATTCTAAATTTTTCTCTGTTCACAGATGTATGACACAAATCAAGAACTTGAAATATTTACCCTTTAAGGAATCCTGCTCTGAGGACCCTTTCTTCAATGAAGCAAATATGTCCCGCCCATCTCCATCATCATTTGACAAAAATGAATCAACGTTTTCATCAAAATCAACAAAACTATCCAGATTATCCTGTCAATAACAGAAGTTACTCAAGCACAGCCAACTGATTGCCAAAAACTGATAACGTTGATGGAAGAGCACAGCACATACCATTTGATTTGAGGATGAAGCAAGTCCACTGGTTCCATCTGCACCGCAAATTAATGAACTCTTTTGTACAATGTTCATGTTGCTAGCCACTGGTAACCCACCACCAGGTGTGTGAGTGGAAGGAGTTGAGGGTGGGGAAGGGCCAACAGTATTTCCTGTGCCTGTACTATTAGCTGCGCCGGAAGAGGTTGGTTTCCGTTTTCTAGTATTCTGGATATCAAGAATAATTGGAACATTCAGGTATCGCCCATATAGAGTTAGGGAAAGTTGATATTATTTGTAACAAGCTAATTAGTTCATTCAACCTGTTGCAATTGCTGCTGCTGCTGCTGTAATTCCATAAGACGGTGACCTGAGGGCTGCTGCATTTGAGCCATCTTCAACTAATAGGATTGCAAAATAGTGTGTGCAGTTAATGAATACATGCATACAGTACTAAAAAACGACAAAAATAGTATAATTACCCATAGAATATATTGTGTTGCTAGAACAAGGTGAAAATGAACCTCCAGAATTGTTCTCAATTAGAAATTATCACATTATCAGAGAAAGCGAATATCTAAGCCATTGATTTTGAGGTGGGTCCATAAGTTAAAACAAAAAAAAATACTGAAATTCGGATTTAGATTTTTTTTTTAAAATACAAGATAAAGAGCTAATGTCAAATACAAAGCAGGGAAAACTGTAATATTATTACAAAATAAAACAAAATGGCCAGTTTAATTTCCATTCAAATATCAAAGAAAATATCCTGAGTAATTATAACACAGAACAAGGAACAGAAAGTGAACCACTAACGTAGTGTTCTTAATTGAAACAGGTGAATGTATTGATAGAACCGTAGAATAATATGAAAGCAAAACATAGGTCATTATGGATATGCAAACTTATGTTTGGACATGTCATTAACTCTTAAATAAAGTTTCTCAGACCGATTGCATACTGACCTTCATCATATAATCTGATTCATCTGGTCGAACCTTTGGTGAACCAGATGGAGCTGGAGAACCCATTCTAGCAAGGTCATTCTGTGATTGTGCTTGAGCAATTAATTGTTGTTGTGGCGATAAAAGTTGAAATTGGTTTGGAGATGCCATCAACTGCTTCTGCACACCTAAATTTGACCGGAGTTGGTCAATACCTGGGACCTTCAGCAGGCAACTAGTAGGTAAGCTTTTCTTCAAGGAAACCAGAGAAGTATGCAAGCATATGGAAAGGGATATCAGCAAACTCACTGTAAGAGGCCAGCCTTTCAGTGGTACACTACCAACACCTTGATTTAATCCTAAGTAGAAGCAAAAGAATTATAAGGAAAAATGTGCCTTCCATCATTTACTGGAATTGCTAATCAAACGCTGATGGCCACATGCTAACTAGCTACAAATAAATCAAGAAATCCCCAAGTGTGAACTTTGGGGCTAAAGCTTATCTTCCATCTGAGAATACTAGGCATAAAAAAAAAGCGCTTGTACACAAAACAGATTTTTATGGGAATGTCATGCACCTATTCCATAAAGTCCAAGGTTACCATCTGTTTTCCTCATAGAGAAACAGAGAGAATAGTTGTGTGATTGCAATTAACTCACCAGTGGAAACTAATCCAGATTTTGGTTGCATCATTCCTGATCCATACAAAGTTGAAGGGTCTGTAGGCATTGATCTTTGTGACATGGCAGCATCACCTTTCATGTCCTTGAAAATGGTTGGACAGAGAGTAAGAAGTGAGAGGCGGTACATAAACCAATGGAGTTTGAGAAGATGGAAGGGTATTACAGGTTGCTGGTTTCTTGAGTGGATCTGCTGTAGAGCTGACATGTTGACCGAGGCACCCTGAACCAGTTGTCTGAATGGCGAGAGTTTTCATGAGGAACGGTAATCTTTGAGATGGTTGCTGGGGGGAAGAAGAAAATAAAGTTACCCAGTTTGGTTAGTTGCTGGTTTGAGGAGAGCAATCCTGTTAGCGTCCAGGAGTTGGTGGGAAGCATCGGAATCGGTGGGATTGGGGTTCCTCATTCGGTCTTGCATCATTTTAGAAGCGAGGACAGCAGAAACATCAGAGTTGAGAGCATCCATAGCAGCATTGAGAGGGGGATCTCTTCGCTGCTGGTGGGCATTCTGCTGCTGTTGCAGTAGCTGGAGCCTCATCTGCTGTTCCCTGGATTTGATCTAAAACAGAGGCAAGAGCATTAGAGATTTTGGGACCCGGCATGATTGTGATGATGATTTTCTGTTACGAGTAGTGCGAGAATACGTCTATCGGAATAGGAGGAGGAGGCTGAGGCTGAGGCTGTGGTGGTTTGTCTCTTGTTCTTGCATCGAAGATGTCCCAGAAGATGGACCACCATTCGAAGAGGAAGCCTCCAGGAGCATCGATGGCTGCGTTCCGTTGGCTCAGCATCAATCAATCAATCTATCAATCAAGAGAAGAAGAAGAAGAAGAAGTATAGGATGCGTGCGTACCCACGGGATCGGTGGCGACCTTGCCCTCGGTCATGAAGGCCTTAGCGGTGTTGTGCATGTTGCGCTTCACCAGGTAGTCGTAGATGTACACATCCAGCCTGGAATCGCACGCATCCATCAGATCAGTTCAGTTCATCCACACCCCCAAATCGATCGATGAATCTAATCAATTCCGCATCCGAAAGGAGGAAGAAGAAGAAGAAGAAGAAATTCACAAAACACGCACATCTTGTCTGCCTCCCAATTGCTCCGCGCCATCTACAAGCAGCAGTAAGAAGAGGCGGCGGCGGCGGCGGCGGCGAGATGGTCTCCAACTCCAATCGAATCGCTCGCGCTCGCGCTCGCGCTCGCACTCGCAGTCTCGCTCGTGTGCCGATTTGGATTTGCCGCTCGCCTCGCCTGGAACTGGAATCCAACAACAAAGGAGGAAGAAATGGAACCAGGCGTCACTGACAATTGGGCCCCACCCCTCTTCTCTTCGGTCAAACTGACTTGCCTTCCTGCCTTACCTCTCCTTCATTCCGCTTCCACCCAAATACTACTTATAAGGTAGGAGGAGTTTTTACAAGTGATTTATAATTTAGAGGGATAAGACTATTAACTGTTTTGTTTAATTTAGATTTAGAAATTATAAAATTTTAATAGGATGGAGATAAGGAATTGGAGAAGAAACTCTCTCCTTTCCAATACCTAGGTATGGGGTGATAATTGGGAAGGAATTCCTCCTTTACTCGACCTAAACAAATCACAACCATCCGTTTTCATTAATGACTTAATCTCCAACTAAACTCCCTATCAATTTCCCTCGCCTTTACCAAACAAGATATTGAGATTAAAAAATCAAATTTCTATGATATTGGGATTAAAAAATCAAATTTCTATCTTAATCTCATCATCAATAAACTCCTAATCCCCTTTGCTCGAGTTGCCAAACACGCCGCTACTACTCCTATAAGTGTAGTTGTGGTTTTTTTTTCCAACATTTCACCGTCCATCTTATTTAAAAAAATTATAGAAAAATTTAAAAAATAGTCACACATAAAGTATTATTCGTGTTTTTATTATCTAATCCGTACCTAATTAAAAATGTGAAGCTTCCAGTAGTTTTTGGTCTTTTTTTTCTATTTTTTCCCGATTACGTTGTCGGTTTTTTCTCCTTCTGAATTTTGTTCGCTGTTTTTTTTGCCTTATAATGATTTGGTATTTTTGTCATCCTATTTTTTCCCATCGCTGGGTTTTCATGTTCGATCCCGCCACCGCAGGCCAAACCCTAGCGCCGCCGCAACGTCAATATGTATCCCCGTGCGTTTCTCAAATTAATTGCAAAAATCAATTTCTCACCCCCTCCCCCATTATTTTCCTCATGATTTCCACTTTCAATTCGACTTTAATTTGCTGGATTTAATCTCATTTGTTGATGATGGCCGGCCGGCGAGCTTCCCTGGTCGTTTTTATCACGAGTTTTGTGGATTTGCTTCGATTTTGAGAAAACGAAAATAGGAGATCGAGGGGAATAAAAGCCCTCAATATTTTCGGAGTTCGAGAAAGATTCAGTCGGATTTGATGGGGAGTATCGGCTCCGGCATACGGGCACGGGACTATCTTCCGGTCTTCCGGATGTTAAAGACGGTAGTCGGCTATGCGAGCAGGGCCTGTGGCTCCACTTGTGGGCATGGCCGAAGTGAGGCAGGGCAAGTGGAGGGAGGTAGAACTGAGCTAGGGCTGAAATGGAAGGAAAGAATGAGCTTTTGGCCTTAAAAAAGAATTGTCATTAACTTTTTCAGCTATAATGTATAGCAATTCTAATGTTTCAATTTATTTCTCACCTCCTAATAGTTGTTGTATCACTGAAAAAACATCTTTGCATGTTGCAACGCATGAGTATTTTTTCTAGTAGCAACAAAATCATGTACGGTTTTGGAACATAGATTTTTTTGAATAGAACGAACGACCGTAACGGATGTTGGCTCAATCCGAGGGAAATTATGTGGAAGCTTTGCATCGATTACTAAAACTAGACTTTCTCAATTTAGAGACTTAAGAGCAGAAGAAAAGATGGAAAAATTCAACCATCTCCCAAAAAGAGATGTGGCAATCTTAAAGAGAAAATTATCTACCAAACAAAGATATCTCGGCGGGATCAAATATATGACCCAATTATGTATATACGTAAGATTTAAGAACGAGGTGTTTTAACGTAAGGCAGAAGGCGCGAAGAGCCCGGGCTGCTGCTGTAGGATTTGAAAAGGGAGTCATTGTATCGTTGGGTCGGAGGTTTGCTCCAGAAAAATTCGGAACAAAACGTCTACCGCGTTGAAGCCCACAGCCCCATGGAGTCCGATTCAACCAGGAGGATTACGCCATGCTAATGTGCCGGTTCTTATTCGAAGAACCTTGCCTTTTGTTTAGCTTGAGACTCAATCATTGTGGCTCTAGTATGAATCTAAGGTTTTAATTGAATTGATTCATAGGATCGCAACAAGATAATTTCTACCAGAAAACTAAAGATTCAAAGGGTTAGGTTTTTCTTTTTTTTTCTAGGGTAATAAATTCAAAGTTATAAAATTCAAACAAAGATACTAATCATAAAAAAAATCAAATAAAACAAACAGTCAAACATTAGACATAAATAGTGTAAAACTGCAGTCCATCTAGGTTAGTAGGATTGAAGCACTTGTGCCTATCAGCATATCCGATGAATATATTTATCTTTTTTTAATTGAACATATATATTACTCATTATTGTAAACACAATATTATACTTTTTCTGTCCCCAAATATGTTAGCTTTTATACATGGATCTAGATCCGTTGCAACTTCTCTGAAAATATTAATATTACTCGAGTGGTACTTCTTTCCCATGTTTCAAATACTCCTGACAGGACCTAAATAAGTTATTGGACATTCTCTTAATGGTTTCTATTCAGATGAGCTTATTGACGGTACCTTTTCTAGAAAAGGTCAATAAATTCCAAAATCTATTTCGCCCTCGAGTAGCAACAAAAGTTATGCCTAGATTCGTGTACAAAAATGAACTTGTTTTCGGACAAAGGGAGTATACCTTTGTTTTGGCTTCCATGGCATTTTACCTGTGGCTTAAGATTAGCTAGGTATATGATTTCAAAGTCACATTAGTAGCTTTAATTATAAACAGAGTAGAAAACTTTGAATCTACAAAAGACAATATTGGTTGTAGACGAGGTCACCCGCGAATGATACAGGAGCTAGCTAGGTTAAGATAGAGATAATAAACGATATAATGCCACCATGGTGTTAATTAATAGGCTTGATGATGGCAATATAATAGGAGGCAGACCACTTAGTGATGGTTGAGCTAAATTGTGGTGGCTAGAATTGGAATGAGATATATATTTTTTTTATTACATTTATGTTATTCTTTCTTTTCACACAAGAAGGGCCGCTATAAAAGGGAGAGTTAAATGACCCTAGTGTGTGTGTAAATGTGTTTTTAAGTTGTTGGGGATTGATGTGTGTTCCCTTGTTGACATATACACCTTCTACATGCAATACTTCCATGTCCTTTTATCTTCACTAGGCTAAAAAAAGTAAAGAACATAGGCCAATCAAAGCTCTTGACGCTTGGTCACATTGCCACCCCTCCTCTTTCCATCGCCGAGTTGCTCCTCATATTCTCTCCAAAATTAAGTATACATCACAAGTTAGGGGCCTCCATTTGGTGTTTTCATACGATCGAGGGCAATGCCAGATCGTGAGATTTAGCTATAATTTATCACCCTCTTTCTTGGCTTTCTTGATCATCACCGTGTTCCCAAATATTACAGACATAAGTTGGTGGTATCGATTGCATCATGGGATAGAATTGATGTCTACAATTTTGGCTCGATAATTCCATCCTACGCAATGGTAATAGCTTGTTTCCTTATTGTTCTTGTTTCTTTGAATATCAAAACTTATTATTGCATAGCATCTTTCTTTTCTAACATGGTGTTACCTTGACTTCTGTTGAACATTCCACATATTGTTAGACAAAAAATATTTGACAAATAATGCATATGAGTCGAATGCATTTATTACGCTATGTATAACAATTTGTACCACAAAAATTCATGTATGTGCATTAACACTTTATGATGCACATGTGTGCAATGAGTTATTTATAACATAATATACAAAATGCAAATAGAATTGTTTCTCCTTAGTTATTCAAGTATAAATGTAAGTCAATCATATCTCTCTTTTTTATGGAGACAAGCCAATCAAATCTTAGGATGCATTTTCTAGCTGATACCTCCTCCGCCTCCTCCTCCTTCTCATTGTACTCTCTACACAAACACTACTAAAAAAAGGTAAACATCATGAACCAATCAAATTTCTCAATGTGCCGCCTCCTCTCCCTCCACCACTTACTCCTCCTGTTATCCTGTCATGAATCATTGCTAAAAAAAGTAAACTCCAGAAGCCCACTAGATCTCATAATGAAAGCCAATTAAGGCCCTCAATTTGCTCCAAGACGACACTACGATCAAGGGGGAAATTCACTCAGATTTCAGTTAGGATGCCAACTCAGTATTTACAATGCTCGGCAAATTGGCATCACATTGCATTGTCGGGCTGTGCTGATCCTCTCTATCCTAGTCTTTGATTGTTTCGTCACGCGTAATGGTACCCATTTCTTTCCTTCCTTTTCTCTTCCTTTTATATACATATCAAAACAAATTTATGAGAATGCATTACATCTTTATTTTTCCAGCCTAAACCCTCTTCATGTCTTCTATATGTTTGAAGATGTCCAAATGCAATTAATCAACATAATAGTTTGTGCAGAGAGAGAGAGAGAGAGAGAGAGAGAGAGCGCATGGGCTCATGCTAGCATATATTATAGCGAATATATATGATATACTTTTTATTTTTATTTAGCACTCACTGAATTATCCTCAAATCTATGCACAGAACATTGTGATGCCATTTTAACACTCCACCAATTTCACTTTTTTTAAGTAAATTGAATTAGTTGTAGTATCTAAGTAGACAAGTAGGACTGTGTACAAATACCTATGCCTTTGTGTGTGATCGTTACTCCTCTTTCTCTATATGAAATCGGCTCCAAATACTCCATCTAATATTTTTTTAAACTACATTACAGGCTTCCAAGAGTCGTTTCGTTGTGGGATCTCATGTCTGGGTCGAGGACCCAGATGAGGCTTGGATGGATGGCCTGGTAGAGGAGATCAATGAAAATGATCTCGTAGTAAACTGCACTTCTGGCAAGAAGGTCACCATTAATGTGGGAAGTGCCTATCCTAAGGATACAGAATCTCCCCGAGGTGGTGTGGAGGATATGACAAGGCTAGCTTATTTGCATGAGCCAGGAGTACTCCAAAATCTAAAGTCCAGATATGCACTCAATGAAATATATGTAAGTTGAGCTCCCAACATATCATCTTTAGCTTTATTATTATTGTATCCAATGAAAACACTTTCGCTTATTTTTATAACTTCTTCCATGAACATTGTTTGTCTCGACATTGCTTTAAAAAAAGAAAAAGAAAAAAGGACCTATACTAAGCTGGTGTTTGAATCTCCTGAAGATGAAGATGAAGATAAAGATTAAGTGTTTTACGCAAAACGAGGTGGTAATAACGTGTGATTAATTGAGTTTTAATTATTACAAACTTGGAATTGGATTAATCTGATATTTTAGAACAACTTTCATATAGAAAGTTTTCGCACAAAACACACCGTTTAGCAGTTTGAAAAGCGTGCCAGTTTACCCAACTTTTGTTGTAGATTCGAACAGGGCCTTGATACAAATTCTACACTACCATATTTTGGTGTTAGCACCACTAAAATAATCAGCTCAATCGAAACTAACCCATATCAAATATTATCATTGACTTAATAAAAAAATCCAATAAGATAAAAAAAAACTTTACTTGAGTTATCTATTTATTTTGCCCTAATATATAAGTAGCTTTGTTTCGTATTATGAAGTGGTTATATATACTTTAGAAAAAAACTCTTTACCCTTGTGAGTGCTGGGATGTCCTTATAGAAAATTGTTTATGCATGTTGTGTGCTAATCATCTTGGATGTGCTGGTTTGGTTAGTTCTCCTTATGGTTCCATAATTCTTGATGTTTTGGACAGCTGCATGGTCTCCAAAACTTCTCTTTGATTATGATTTTCAATTATAATATATTTTATAAAAATAAGTAAATGTTTCATTGCACTAAAGTACTTTTAGGGACTAATCTATACATCGTGTTCTAGTGTCTCCAAATTAAATGTTTTAAAAAATTATTGATAGTTGAAGTACTAATTGTTTGACCTCAATCTTTGTCCAAAACATCAAGAATTATTTGACCAGATGGAGTAGAAGCAGATTAGCCAAATTATGTTGGAATTCTCCCCCCCCCCCATATTTTCATTCCTCCATCACCTGCCTCCCTTCCTTGGTGGCACTGTTGGCCACCGCCTCTCCATGGGCAGCCCATTATTCCTTTTCCTCTTGACACTGTCGATGATTGGTTCATCAATGTGCTGCATGGTTGAGCAATTTTTTTTCTCAGGATCTGCATTCCCAGCTCCCATTCCTCTCTCACAAATGCGACTGCGCCGACGGGGAGCACGTTGTGACGGCAGCGAACTAGAAATGCATGTGATGGCTTGCTTTTCCAAACTACCCCACCCTCATCGCCCAAGTGTCGTCATCATCTGCGGGCGGGAGGTCTCCAGATCTTCGAGTTCATGGCGGATTCAAATCAGAAATGGTAGATAAGGCAGGACAAAACCAACCATGCATCCATGCCCCCCCCCCTGTCCCATGCCTCCACTGCCATCTCTGCCTCATCCATCCCGTACCCACGTCGAGGACCAATGCTGCCAATGCTCTGAGTGGAAGAAGAAGAAGCTATTTTTTAGGTAGGGGGCTAATCTTGTCTAAACTCACACTGTTAGGCCCAACAATGACGAATTCGGTTTTTTTTTTTTGGAGTGGGGGAGGGGGGGGGTCTGCTACTTGGTGTTTACCTATGCTTGCTACCAATATAATTTTCTCAAATGATATTCATTTTCTTGTAGCTTCCCTAATGCATTTAAGCTCTTCTTTCAGACTTATACTGGGAATATTTTAATAGCTGTCAATCCATTTCAAAGGCTTCCTCACCTCTACAACAATCACATGATGGGAATTTACAAAGGAGCTGAATTTGGTGAGCTGGGTCCCCATCCATTTGCTATCGCAGATCGTTCGTATAGGTGGGTTTTCCTCCTCTCTCACATTATGGTGCCTTATTATATGTCACATATATATGGATCATACTCAAGTGCCCCTCTTGTTTCCTGTCTAGACTTATGATCAATAATCGTATCAGCCAAGCAATTTTAGTAAGTGGAGAGAGTGGAGCTGGCAAGACAGAAAGCACTAAAATGCTTATGCAGTATCTTGCATTTATGGGTGGCAAAGCTCAGGCTGAAGGGAGGTCAGTGCAGCAACAAATTCTGGAGGTACGTTTCGTGCCACTCCACTTTTTTTGGTGTGGGTGGGGAGGTGGGGGTGCTGACAGTAGAAACACCATACAAAAGTCATCCCTTAATTAATTTCATTTTAACATTCACTCTCATTAGTGGTTAGACACTTCACATTAGTAACATTTATATGCCTACCATCAAAGATATTCTCCTTTCAGGGCTAAGAAACAGTAGTGTACCATTCATATATGTTTCTAACATATCTATTTGGGTGACACAGTCCAACCCTGTTCTTGAGGCATTTGGCAATGCAAAAACAGTCAGGAACAACAATTCAAGGTAAACACAACAAAATACAACACAATAATAGTCCTTCACTTTTCTAAGGTGGTTATTAATTTATCTTTGAACCTTTCCATATCTCTCTCTAACAATTTGGTTTTCACATGTTCGTGGTTTTGCAGTCGTTTTGGCAAATTTGTTGAGATTCAATTTGATGACAATGGGAAGATTTCAGGAGCTGCCATAAGGACTTATCTTCTAGAAAGGTCACGTGTTTGTCAAATATCTGACCCAGAAAGAAACTATCACTGCTTTTACATGCTATGTGCTGCACCTTCAGAGGTAAAAGCCTCGTCAATACAACCTTTTATTCCTAAATTTTTGTTGCACCCACAATTTTGGAACTACCAGATTTTATAGTTAGATTTTTACTGTGGGTTTGTAATGAAAACATGTCATGTGGGTCCTATTTCTCATGGTAAATATAAAAAGAAGCTTGTGAGCATCTCAAAGGTTTGAAACGTATAGTGGCTAACTACTACGAGGTAAAATATGTACACTATTTCTTCCCTGAATAAAAATTTCACCTTCAAATTTTCATCTTCTAATTCTATCAAGCTTACAAAATGGCTAATTTTGATTTTACCTTGCACAATTTGATCATTGTTTTGTTTTTAGTCCTTTTGACTTATAACTTGTTTACCTATAGCTTTGATATGTGAATGTTGATCAGGATTGCAAGAAATATAAATTGGGAGAAGCCAAAACATTTCACTATCTTAATCAATCTAATTGTATTGAACTTGATGGGTTGGATGACTCCAAAGAATACACGGATACCAGAAGGGCTATGAGTATTGTGGGTATTAGTTCTGATGAACAGGTATGACCAAGGTTTTACCAGCAATCAATTTAGTACATCGGGAGTAGAGGGGCAACATTACATTCAACATATATTTCCATGTCTTAGGATGCGATATTCAGAGTTGTAGCTGCTATTCTTCATTTGGGAAATGTGGAGTTTGCAGAAGGAAGCGAAGCAGATTCTTCTATGCCTAAGGATGAGAAATCCCAATTCCATCTTAGGACAGCAGCTGAACTTTTCATGTATTTATTTCTTCACTGTTTTAGTTTAGAGGTTTACCCAAAATTTCCTACTTCCATCCCTTACTTGGACATGGATTGGCTACATTTTACAGGTGTGATGAAAAGGGTCTCGAGGAATCATTGTGTAAGCGTGTTATGGCAACACGTGGGGAGAGTATCACAAAAAATTTAGATCCACGAGCTGCAGCTCTTAGTAGAGATGCATTATCTAGGATTGTTTATTCACGTTTGTTTGATTGGTAAGTTTACAAGCAATCATTTTGGGAAATATTTTTCTGCTGCCTTGTATAATACATGGTACAGACAGTAATAAGTTATAATTATTGTTAACTATTGTATTTTCACTACTACAGGCTTGTAAATAAAATCAATAGTTCAATTGGTCAAGATCCCGATTCAAAGATTTTGATTGGTGTACTGGACATTTATGGTTTTGAAAGTTTCAAGACAAACAGGTGCTTAACTGGTATGCTTTTGCATTTAATCTACTATTTATGTCCAAAATACATTTAGACCTTACATATAGAGGACTCTTGGTAGATGGGCTTTACCATTTGCATATGTACCCAATATGAAGTATGCCTGAGTATGGGTTGGGTGGAACTAATCAAAGTTTATGTATCGAATTTTCAAATATTGTGGGTCGGACACTTGTACAGCTAGTAACAAAATTTCTGGGGCCTACAAATATGTGTTTGCGCGCGCACGCACACAAATAAAAACATGAGTACAAAGTGACCTAAGTATTGATTGCTTAAATGGTTAGATCACTGTATACTTGGTACAAGTTGGTGAAGTTGCGATGGGAGACAATGTGCACTCTACATGAAGTGTTGTTGTAGATATTGTCATATTTTTCTTTTGAAAAAGGCAAACAGCCAAACATTCCCTTATGTCGAATGAAAAATGCTTCAAGGTGTTCCTTCTGTTAGTGAAACATCACCTTGTTTGTTGACAGTAGAACATAATGCTAAGTGCTACGGTCTAGATAAGAATGTAAACAGTTCACTTTGTAGTGATACGTAGTGGTTGGAATCATGAGGGTTGTTTAACTTGTAGCAACCTAGATGATTTGCTAAGCAAATATATGCTAGTAAAGTAGACACAAGTAGCCATATGGGACTAATCCCTGCATTAGGCCTTCGTGAGACAAACTAGACTAGGGTATCGCAGTTGTCATCATAATGAAGCATTGTCAGAAACAAGAGGGAAACAAATTTGCTACCTGAATAAAAAATAGCTCTAATTTGGCATATTTTACTTATGGGCTTAGTGTAGATGCCCTAACTGGTTGAAGGTGAGTTTTAGCAACTTGTGAATGAATAATCATCTGCTTATGTGTCAAATTTGAAAGAAGATACCTCTTGTAAGCTGACATTTTTTTAATATTATGCAGCTTTGAGCAATTCTGTATCAATCTAACCAATGAGAAGCTTCAACAACATTTTAACCAGGTTATAAACTGGAAATACTCCACTGAAAGTTCTACATTTTGTTTGATTTAGGTTATTCAACCACTTTAACTTTGAGTTCTCTAATCAACACATCTTTCATTAACAGCATGTGTTTAAGATGGAACAAGAAGAATATACAAAAGAAGAAATTGATTGGAGTTACATCCAATTTGTAGATAACCAAGAAATTCTTGATCTCATTGAGAAGGTAAATAAATTTAGAGTCTTATTTAATACCATTTTTATGATCAATTTTGGTGCCTATCATCAAAATTGTGGTAACCATTAAGCAAGACATTACAGTTGTAATCTAATGAAAGCATTGAGTACTTTGAATTTATTATATCTCTTTCACTATAACTAGGAAGATGACAAGTTACATGTCGTTAATGATGGTTAGTAATTAAACTTTTATAGCAGCTTGCTTTGTGGATTCTAATAATTATGTTCTATAACTTCTTGCATGCCATATTTGCATTTCACTTAATAGCGTACCTTCGACCCACGAACCTACTTATGTGTCAAATAAGTGGTAACCCGCTAGTTTCCACATCGTGGCTCAGCTTGCGCACCTAGAGATGCAAGTGGATAGACCCATAAATTCATTTATATGTCAAATTAGTAGATAACCCGCAAGTCAATCCGCGGGTTACGTACTAATTTTGCCTATAAGCGGGTACGCTGGTTGGCCCGCCTGTATCCCTATTTCTATTGCTTTTTATTTTATTTTCTCAAGCAATACATTTTTATAGCCTACTTGATTTTGGTTCATGCACACTTATAGGTCTTGTATGTTGTTTAGATATTGAAAAAATTGCAATTGTTGATCCATTATTTGGTTTACCCATGTTATGTAACTTTTTTAACCCAAAAACAGTATGAGAGGTTCCTATTGTGTTATCTATTAAAATGGATAATATTTACGAGCTATATTTTCTGAGACAATTCATGTTATGAAAACTTATTTTTTGTTTCTATTTTATTTGATGTAGAAACCGGGAGGGATAATTGCTCTACTGGATGAGACATGGTATATACAAATAGTAAACTTCTGATTTTGTTTCCTGTAATCCCAAATCTAAACATTTTTCTTCTCTTGTGCCTCAGCATGTTGCGGAATTCGACCCATGAAACATTTGCTGAGAAGCTATATCAAAAATTTAAAGACAACCCTCACTTCAGTAAACCAAAATTTTCACGATCTGATTTCACAATTCATCATTATGCTGGAAATGTAGGTAACATATTTGTGATGTACATTTAGATAATGAAATTGTTTTGTGTTATGTTTTCACAGCGGTATCAGGTTATCTGGAATCATGGTGTTTGTATGGCATAACTAGACTTTGCATTGTGATGCATGTACTCATGAATCTCAACTATACACATAAGAATGAAACGGCGATAAAAAATAGTCTACTTGCTAACTTAGATGATACCATGGCAAGATCATTTCCAACACACCTCATACTCAATTATCTACCTCCTAGTAATTCCCAGTTTTCATATGCCAAGATGATACTCATGGCTAACATCCTGTATGTGAATTACAGTAGAATTCATTCCAGAACTATACAAGGTTTCTTCTTACCATGCTCTTATGTTATTTCTGAATTATTAATTACCGTGTTTCTTCAATAAAAACTTATTGACTATTGTGTATAATAGAAATTGGTGCATATTTATAGCTGATTAACAACAACATGCCTATTATATGCTTGTTCGAAACATGCATTGGTTCTTGCCATCGCTGTAAGGACCCATCATTGTTAGAAGGCTTGAAATATTGCCTACTAATTTGCCGATGTTTATTCTTGATTTACTTTTTACTTGGTCTTGGACTCCTGGAGTTAGTAAAATTTTTCCAAGATCCAAGAGGGACGTTTGTTAGCATTTGGCTTGGATTGGCTATTTACACGGTAAATGCGCGTCATGCATGTTCTAAATATGTATCTTCTTTTATTGCAGGTCACTTATCAAACAGATCTTTTCCTAGATAAAAATATAGATTATGCTGTAAATGAACACCAAATCTTGCTAAATGCTTCAAAATGTTCTTTTGTTTCAAGTCTTTTTCCACCTTGTGAAGAATCAACAAAATCAACTAAATTTTCTTCAATAGGATCAAGTTTCAAGGTAAAACGATGTTTGTTTTCTCTTGCCTTTCCATCATATTATGCATAACCATTTACTCCCTTGATCGCGTGATCTCACAGCAACAACTACAATCTTTGTTGGAAACTCTAAGTGCTATAGAACCACACTACATCCGTTGCATAAAACCCAATAATGTTCTCAAGCCAGCAATATTTGAGAACAGTAATGTTCTCCAGCAACTTCGATGTGGGGTGAGATCTTGCGATTCAATTTATTTATATTCATGAATACTCAAGTGAACATGCTAACCTGAAATTTGATTATGTTGGCCACCACTGTTAACTAATATGCATGTTTACACCCCCCCCCCACATTGTTGGACAATTTGCTAACCTTGTGCATAGATAAGGGCAACTTATTTAGTTATTTTGATACATCTTAGGCGGGCCGGATAAACTAGAACATGATACTATTCTTTTACATGTGTGTGTGCGCGCGCGCGTGTGTGTGAAATCTTCTTGGAATCAAACAGTAACCTACATGTCACTTCAATTTAGACAGTTTACTACCTATTCTTAAACATTTTTCCTTCTGTATAGTTTACATGCAGAAAAGGTGCAATTTCACCATTTTTAAGTTCATAAAATTGATTTTTTTATCAGGGAGTTTTAGAAGCAATAAGGATAAGTTGTTTAGGATACCCTACGAGGCGGACATTTTTTGAATTCATTAATCGCTTTGGTATTTTGCAACCCAAAGTTCTAGGTCGAAGGTAAATTAATGTTTGTTTAGTTTTTTCTCATTTTTACGGGATTTTTTCTCTCCTATATTTATGCTAATCTTTTCACCAATACTAATGTGTTTGTTGGCAGTCATGATGAAGTAGCTGCTACTAAGATGCTTCTTGGGAAAGCCAATCTTACAGGCTATCAGGTAATTATTTTAAAATTTAGAACTAATTCCCCTAAAAAAAGTTATAACTAATTAAATCATGAGTAAATTCTTTTCATTTCTTCAGCCTGTCATTATTTTATTCCATGAAAACAGTAACCTGATGCTATCAAACAAATCAATTTCCATGATATAATGTGCATTTTTGTTTACGAGGCCACTCCTCTCTGCCATTTAGCAGTTGTAGTTTGTTTCATATAATAGTTTTTTTCCCATCATCTTTGCCTGATATAAATCAAAAGGATATTGAAATGCACTAATGTTGGAAAATACAAGGGTTCCCATAACCTTTATATATATATATACACACACACTTATAAAATAGTGTGTTAACAAAAGTTGGTATATCATTTTGCTAATCTATGATCTACCTCACTTTTTCTGATTTCAAATTTACAGATAGGGAAAACAAAAGTGTTCCTCCGTGCAGGTCAAATGGCTGAATTAGATGCTCTCAGAACTGAGATTTTGGGACTATCAGCTAAAAAGATACAAACCAAAGTTCGATCGCATGTGGCTCGTAAAAAATATGTCATGTTGCAACATTTTGCTACACAACTCCAGGCAGTATGCAGGGGTACATATATATTTATATATATTATTTTACATACAAACACTATTTCTTTCCCCCATGAAATTGGCTTTAAGGAGAGAGAGAGTGACTTCTATCCTTCAATTGTCGAAGGTACAATCGCAAGATGGCGGTATGAAACTATGCGTAGAGAGGCAGCTTCATTGAAAATTCAGACATGCTACCGTAAACACTGTGCAAGGAAAACATATAAAGAGATTTGTTCCGCGTCAACTACTATCCAATCTGGTTTACGTGGTATGGCTGCTAGACACAAACTCCATTTCTATCGGCAAACAAAAGCTGCAGTTATTATTCAGGTATTTACAAGGTTTTACTTTAGTCAGCTATCGTGATTATTTTTTTTCATTTTAAGGTTTTAATTTTAACTCCATAAAATTAGATAATTATGAGTCAATAAATTACTCATTTAATGATGTCATCCCTTGCAGAGTCATTGTCGTTGCTACTTAGTGCTCTCAAATTACAAAAGGATGATGAAAGCCATAATAACAACTCAATGTGCATGGAGAGGAAGAGTGGCTAGAAGAGAACTTCGAGAATTGAAAGTGGTAAGAGCAATTACTTTCTCCATTCTCCCTTTCCCCTAGGCATCAAGCTACAACATTAGAAACTTTTGTTTTGCAAACTCCAGTGTAGCTTGTCATCAATCTTTCTATTTTTTTTCATTATATAGTTCTTGTTGTTTTATTTCTTCTTAATATTAAATCTTCTCTATTTTTTTGTTCAGTGCATGTCTTAGTGTTAATGTGGTAAGCGCACTACAAGATACTACTGGAATAAAAGAAGTATGCTAGTTATATGTAGAAAGGAACTTAACAGTACCGGCAATGCTGCTACAAACTCATTATGTAACCTAGTTTGCATCTTTCATAGTTTCTATCAATATTTTTGCACAGGCACTCTTTTTCTGCCTTCCTAGAATTGAACGAAGAGTAATGCAATTTGACTCCTTTTATGCCTTCCTAGTCTAAAAATCAATATCCAATTTGATTTTTGGTGTGACTTGCCACTTTTGCATTGCTTTCAGGCTGCAAAGGAAACTGGTGCTCTACAAGCTGCAAAGAGTAAACTAGAGAAGGAAGTTGAGGAGCTCACTTGGCGGCTACAATTGGAGAAACGCATCAGAGTAAACTAGTGCACTAAACACATGCACTCTTTTCCATTAAGTTATCTTTATTTATAGTGCAAATGCATATAGAAGTGACATGATATTTCCTATCTTTTACTACAAGCAAAGTTATCCATCAATAAAGAATTATCATTTAAATGGTGTGATATCTCTAAGGCACGCTTTGACCTAACTTTACATACCAACAAATACGTTATGTCTATTTGCAGTATGCCTCTATTATTATATGTGCTACATATAATATTGATTACACTTGTCCATTTATAGTAAGTTGTCTCCAGTGAAAAAAAAAGATGGTATTTACTTTAATTACGAAAAGAGCATAGTCCCATTGTTTGAACTAACCAACGTCAAACAAATAAAAAGGGATGGAGACACAAGAAGTGGAAAGATAGTTTGGCAGCAAGAAGAATACTGATAGTTTGGCAGCAAGAAGAATACTAATGCTAGTATGATAGCAAAGTATCAGGCATTGCATAACACCACAAAATGAAATTTCGATGATTATGTAATTCCTATGCTTTTTTATTCATATTTGCAGGCGGATGTAGAAGAAGCCAAGGCACAAGAAAACAAGAAGCTCCAGTTACAATTGCAGGACTTACAAATGCAATTGAATGATACAAAAGAATTATTAAAAAGGGAAAAGGAATCTACTAAGGCGGAAATGGAGAAAACTTTGGTGCCAGAAATTTGTGTTGATACAACTCAAGTCAATGAGCTCACTGCTGAAAATAATAGGCTTAAGGTACTATAAATACGAACAAATAAAGTGGTGAAAAATTAATGAAAATCACCATGGACAATTACCATTTGCACATCCTTTTGTTTTATCTATGCAACTCATAGTTATAATGATATCTTCTAGACTTTTTTAATGATCCACGAATAATACAATGACCACAAATAAAATTAATATTTCTTAGATTGTCTCCCATTCACGAGAGTAATATAATAATGTGTAATGCGAATATATTGTGTGAAACTAATCTAGTAACTTCAATATTCATTGTAACATAATTGTTATTTTAGCAAGATTAAGCTAACGTTGTTTGCTACATGACAATCCCTATACTATGCCTAACATGAATATCTCCAATGGAATTACAACATGGCACTCTTAATACAGGCACTAGTGGTCTCTCTTGAAACAAATATTGAAGAAATGAAACAGAAGTTTGGAGAAACAGATAACGTGAGGGATGAGTGGTGCAAGAAAGCTACAGATGCAGAATCACAAATTAACGAGTTAAAAAGCATGATGCAAAGGTTCTTATTTCACGTTGATAGAACTTATATCCGTCATTAACCTCTCTGACGTTACATGATTATATTGATGGTTCTATGCAGCCTTCAAGAAAAGCTGAATAGCACAGAAGCAGAAAACCATGTTCTCCGGCAGCAGGCCATGAGAACAAGACCTGATAATATGCCTTTGCTTAACATGCATCGAAAATCTGTAATCCCCCTGACCTACACCCCTTCTTCCTCTAAATGTTTCATTTTAGTAGTGAAATGTGCTTGTCATGTTCACATTCTTATGGTTCTGAGCATTTGTACTGCAGAATCTGGCTAACGGTAGCCTTCCTGGTGATGAACAGGTATGGAACATTATTCTTATTTTGGGAATTAGTAACTCGGATTTACTTTTCATGTTTGAAACTAGTGGACTCATCTCTCCAGACACCTCATGGAACATCAATGGAATATGGAAGGACATCCTATATTGAAAGGCAACAAGTATGTACATGTGACTATTATTCAATGTTTAAAAGCATCTAGTATAATCACAAGATAATAAAATACCTTATGACTAGTTCTACCTTTTCCTTACAGGAGAGTGTTGAAGCACTGATAAATTGTGTTGTTGAAAATGTTGGATTTAGTGAAGGAAAGCCAGTTGCTGCAGTTACTATATACAAATGTCTTCTTCATTGGAGAACTTTTGAGGCAGAAAAAACAAATGTTTTTGATCGCCTTATTCAGATTTTTGGTTCTGCAATGCAGGTATTTCTAAGCTCTTGCTAGGGCTCCAAGCCTTATTCTTTGTGTTCTTATTTTACTATTTATTTTGTTACCTTAAGCCAAGTTACCCTTTCATGTTTGTTCATTGCACTCAATTTCTATTGTCTTCATACCACGTGTATTACAGAAACAAGAAAGCAACGCTGATCTTGCATACTGGCTATCAAATTCATCATCTTTGTTGATAATACTACAAAAGAGTCTCAAACCTGTTGGCTCATCAGTAACAACCCCGCTAAAAAGAACACAGACGCAGACGTCATTTCTTGGTAGAATGGTATGTCGTATTATGTTATTTGATGATTTATTTAGAACTTTAGATGATTAAATTATCTTTTTTCCCTTGGCACGCAAGTGATTTGACATTTGTTCATGAATCTTGTGGCACTTCCTTGATTCTATGATTGCCACATAAATGATCATTAGATTTTGCCCCAACTAACCACTATGGTCTTTGTCCAAGTTTCACATTAACTCCAAGTTGCATCTTTGACATTGATTTCAAACAAAAGGGTATACCTATATAAGATAATTAAACAATCATGACGACACATATCTACTCATAATCTTTGTATGATAAAGTTAGGTATTTAAAAACATAAAAAATGGTCAGATAAAAAACTTTGGCCACATGCTTCCTTTGATAACAATTGTTTATGATTCAGAAATAGTGTTGAATTTCAGCAGAACTAATATGATACAAGATTGTTTTTTAACTGTATGTCAACTAATATCTGCTCAAGTTAGTTTCAAAAGATTTAATAAGGGTTGTAGGATGGGGTATTTGGAAGTTATCTTGACTCTTTTATTCCCAATGGTTTTATATGATCCTCAGGTATTTCGTGCTTCAAACATTACTGTTGACATGGATCTTGTGCGCCAAGTTGAGGCCAAGTATCCTGCATTTCTTTTTAAGCAACAACTTACAGCTTTTGTGGAAGGCTTATATGGAATGATCCGTGATAATGTGAAGAGAGATATATCTTCAGTACTCACACTTATTATTCAGGTTACCCCATCTATCACGAGTCATCCGCAGGTTAAAAATTATTTCGTATTTTAAACATTTTTTGTGGTACCATTATGGGTCTGAGAATAAGTATACTTCTTTGGAATCTTGATGCGCAAGCTAGCATTGCAAGTTGAGAACTAGAGTACTAAGATGATTTTAGGTCGATCAAATTTGTCTTGTTCCCCTTAGTAGAACGCTTGAACCCTTTGCACGCAAAGTTTGAAGAAAATCATAATGTCGTTATATGATGTGCACTATTGTGCACTTGTGCTTTGAGTTTTTCTTGGTTATTGATTAGGTTGTCATATAGATTTTGAAGCTTCATGATAGTTGTATACCCTTTTTCTCGATGAGTGTTAATTATATATCTAAACTTAATGTCAAGCAGTTATTTATGTTCCTAGTCTAATGTCGATTCTTGTATGATATTGAAGACACCAAGAAGTGCCAAAGCTGGTTTATTAACAGATCAAGGTAACAATTGGCAAGCAATAGTCAATCATTTGAATGACCTCCTGAAAACCTTACAAGAAAATTGTGTAAGTGTTAATGTGCATATCGGAATTGCATTTGGTTACGTTGTATCTTGATTTTTGATCACTGTGCTGAAATTTCAGGTCCCATCAATTTTTGCTCGGAAGATATTTACGCAAATATTCTCATTCATCAACGCTCAACTCTTCAATAGGTGATTTACTGCTGTCTGGATTTTTAATTCCCTTTTCCAAATGTTTTCTCATTTTCCTGGTACTATGTTCTAGCCTTCTTGTACGCCGAGAGTGTTGTTCCTTCAGCAATGGAGAATATGTAAAACAAGGGCTGCAAGAACTGGAAGCATGGTGTACACAAGCCAAGCCAGAGGTAAGCAAAAACATGTTATTTTGCTAGTATTCTTTTTCAAGATACACACTTTGTGGTATGACATTATTCTCATGTACTTTGTTTAAATGCCATCAACTATATAATTCATACATGAAAGATTTGTGCATGTATTGTTTGACATATTGTATTAGGGGTGATCATAATTACCAAACATCGAACCTAATTGATCTGAACCAATACCGAACTTAAGTGAAAACCAAGCAAAAAAAAACAATGAAATAATTCGGTTTTTTTTTCTAAAATTTGGTTTTCGAATTACATCATCACCAGTTCACTAATGTCTTGCATGACCTTTACATTTTATCTATTTAAGAAAGCATCATATGGATTCAACACTATCTGTTAGTATAAAAATTATTCCATATTACAATCATATTGTGTTGTTAGTATCTTTTCAGTTTTTTTCCTTGTGCAGTCGTACCTAACTGAGACACTAACAGTATGCAGGATCTGCGTGGGATGAACTTAAGCATATAAGCCAGGCTGTTGGTTTCTTGGTATGTAACTCCAAACTTAAACATGTGGGGCGTTATTAATTACTATTATATATGTGAAAAAAATAAAACTGATGTAATGCATGGCTGATTTTGAATGATGTACACATGATCTTTCATAGACAAAACTACCTTCTTACATGGGGTTTCTTGTTGTATTTTGTGGTGCGCTATAGGTCATCTTCAAAAAGTTCAGGATTTCATACGACGAAATAATCAATGATCTGTGCACGGTAAGACCGCCCCTCCCTCCAAACTCTCACATGAAAAAAAGAAAAGAAAGGGGATGTAGGTGAAGATGAAATTAAACCCATTGGCATTATTATATATGCAGGCACTGAGTGTTCAACAACTTTACAAAATATGCACGCAGTACTGGGATGACAAATATAATACTGAAAGTGTATCGGAAGAGGTGAGCAGTAGATGCAACTAATTAATATAATGCATGCCGGTTGAGTACTTGAGTTACCCTTTGCAAAACGATTCAAGATGAAGGAATAAGACGTGCATGAAGGTAGTCGTTGGTGTGTTGAAAATATTTTGACGAGCATCGATGCTTGGTTGATTGTACATAGGTCCTAAATGAGATGAAAACATTGATGAATGGAAAGGATGCTTCGGATGGTACCTTGAAATCATTGATGAATGAAAAGGATGCTTCGGATGGTACCTTTTTATTAAATGAGGAGATAAGGTACGTACTCAAATATAACATATAGCTAGAGTTTTACTAGTACTACCTTCGTTTTCTAATACAGGATGTCATTAACTTTTTTTAAAACGTTTGATTATTTGTCTTATTCAAATTTTTTTGCAAATATAAGAAAATTTAAGTCATGGTTAAAGAACATTTGACAATAAATCAAGTCACAATAAAATAAATGAAAATTACATGTTTTTTTTCAATAAGACAGAATAGCCAAACATATATTTAAAAAGTCAACAGCGTCATATATTAAATAACGGAGGGAGTTCTATTTTGTTGTGTTTTGTCCGTGCTGAAAATGAAAAGTGGATCGAAGGAGGTTGAATTAATTAGTTTGGAGATTATTAACATGCAGCATGCCGTTATCATTGGAGGAGATAGGCGATTCAATGGATGCCAAGGAATTTCAGAATGTGGTTCCACCTCAACAACTCCTTGACAACCCCGCGTTCCAATTCTTGAAGAGCTGATATATACTATATTACGGTCCAGCTAGCAATCGCTGTAAATTAGTGTAGGTTTCCAACATGTTATTTTTAGTATAGCGATCTCTAGGCCGGTTGGGTTGGGTTGGTGGTGTGTAAGGTGCACCCACATTCTTTATAGGCATCATATGCAGCTGACATTGTTTCTTTGTGTAAGTAAGGTATTTAATTACTAGGTACTGTACACGTAGGGGGATCATAGAATAGAGAGAGAGAGAGTCATATGTACTACTAAAACTAGCTGACGAGTAATTTGTAGTTTGTACACACAGACAAATAGTCCCGATGGATGATATATGATGAATGCATCATGTGAATATATATATACGTACATACATATATACTGTAATTAATTAAAGTAGTACGAGTCCGAAGGTACGGAGCATATCTGTAAGAAATTAAGAAAAAAAATTAATGTGGTGGAGATGAAGGAGGAGGGATCCTGAAGTGGTGGAGCGCGGATCGGCCGTCGAGGCCTTTGGCTCTGTAATGCGAGAGGAACTCCGGCATGGTGGTGCTCCTGTAGAGCGGTGGCGGCGGCGTGGTGGTGACGGGGGCGTACACCCTGGTGCAGGCGTAGTCGGGACGGAAGAAGCAGGCGACGGAGAGGCGAGGCTCCGCGGCGGCGGTGGTTGCCAACACCCGGTGCTCCACGCTTCGGAAGAGGTCGTTGGACACTAGCTGGAGGAGGTCGCCGATGTTGACCACCAGAGCGCCGGCCACCGGAGGGACGTCCACCCACCGCTGGCGCTGCCTCATGAGCACCTGCAGGCCCTTGCTCTCCTGCAGCAGCACTGTCAGGAAGCTGGGGTCGGAGTGGCGTGTGGTGCCCAGCGTCAGGTGCGGCTCCGGGCATGGCGGGTAGTAGTGCGCTGCCATGGTAGCCAGCCCCCCACCGAGGCCGCCGAGGTACTCCGGCGGGAGCCCCAGCGCCTCCGACAGCAGCTCCAACAGCGCCCCGCCCAGCCTCTGCACCGCCTCCACGTACTCCCCCACCACGCCCCTGCACGCCGGTGGGATCTCCTCCGCTGCCGGCCCCGGCCGTGGCGTCAGCTCCAGCAACAGCGTGTCACGCCAGTTGGCGGCCGGCGACTGGAACAGGTCGAAATTGGAGTTGAACTTCACCCTCCGCCCGCTGTCCCTGCTGTACCAGGCTTTCTTGCCCTCCGCCGGCTGCTCGTTGAACCGCCGCACCGCCGCCAGCATCTCCTCCAGGAGCTCGCCGGGGATGCCGTGGTTCACCACCTGGAAGAACCCCACACACTGGGCGGCCGCCCTCACCTGACCAACCAGATGGCCTCGGTCAACGTCCGCCTGCAGATCGATCACCGGGATAACATCCGCATCCTCCTCCGCATCGTCCAGTAGCAGCGGGTGGTGGTGGAAGATGGCGGGGATGGTTGTGACGCCGGCATCGACGAGGCCCTTCACGCCGGCCTTTGTGTCGTCGAAGGCCTGGAGGTCGCGTAGCCGGTCGGAGCCGGAGCTGCTGCCCATCGATCGATGACCTGATCTATCCATTCCAGAGAGGCAGGGACACACTAATCCAATCCAATCCAATCGATTCGATGCGATACCGATTATACAGTTTACTACTTGTAGTTGTAGAAAGGAAGGGAGGGACTGCCGGCTATGCCAGAAATGGGCCGGGTTTCGTCCAAATGTTGTTTCCTATTAGGAATAAGTTTAACTTATGTCCCTCAATTATCGCCAAGACTTATACTCGTCCCTAAACCGCAATATCAGATATGGCGTGTCCCTCAACTCCTAAAACCGTGCAAATAAGGTCCAAGAAGGTTTGGAGTGTGATTTCGACTAATGTGGTACCTACACGGTATTAACATGGCACTTAAAGTTAGAAAAAACCATATATATGACCCACATATCAGCTACTGTTCAGTTAAAAACTAGAAAAATTATAGTGAGACCCATGTCTCCTCCCCAAGCTCCCAGTCTCCTCCGTTCGTCAGCAATTGCATCTCCGACGGCAGCGAAGGAGTCTTCCTCCCTTACCCACAATGCGAGCTTGTGGTGGTGATGGATTCCTAGCCGCAACCCCCCTCCCCCTGGCTCTCTGGCGTTGCCATGACGACGGTGTAGCCGAGAATGCTTGACACCCGGTAGCAGTTCGATCATGACAAGACGTCGGCCGACATGATGTCATGGCTCAAGATGTTCTTGCCATAGCATAGCAGGAGGCCGTACTAGTACCGGAGGAGGATCCAGCGACTTGGAGGCGGGACCCATGCAACAACGGAGGAGACGGGGACAGGGAGATTGGGTTGGAAGAGGAGACCTGGGTCTCGCTGATTTATTTTTTTAATTTTAACCATACAGTTGTCGACGTTTGGTGTCGCAATTCAGGTATTTGCATAGTATGGGGATCGTCGATGCTAGGATATACGCGAGACTGAGGTAAAAGAGACGGAGACAGAGATTTTTATATAGGTTCGGGCCCCTGAGTTGTCAAGTAATAACCCTACATCCTGTTGGCCGAAGCCGGTATTGCTCTTATTCACCATAATCACACCAGTACAATATGTGGGTAGCCTATCTAACTGTTGTCGACATGTCGGTCTGAAGGTCTGTAACGCTCCGCTTTTTGTGAGGCGTTAAAAACTAATTCGGCAAAATCCTAATTTCAAAAATTCCGTTCCTTGTGTGCGAATCTAAGTCGTGCCGTGGATCTCAGTTTAAATCTATCGTTGTTCCCTCTCGTCGCCATCAAAATCCTCCACCTCTAAAATGTCAACCCCAATTCATCTTCCAAAGTCAAACATCGAAATTCAATCGCATCCTTCGAATTCCCGCCAAATACCTGTCCCCATTTCCGAAAATATCAAATTCCCATCTCGAATCCTTTCCTTGATTCCTCCCTAAACCCTCGACTTTGAATATCGAATTTGAATCCAAATCCAAACTTCAAATCTCAATAAACCAGCCTCCTCTGTGAAAGTCTAAATCGCCTCCCTCAAGTTTTGTGGGCCGATTTTGTCCCCCTCGGCCCATCTCTCTCTCAGCCGTCCCCTCCCTCCTCCGCACGTGCGCCGCACGCGCGTGTGCTGAGCCGACGCCGAGCTGAGTTCTCTCTCTCTCGTTCTCTCGATCTCTCTCCCCGTTTCACTCCCTCCCGGCGACGATCTCCCGCCCGCGAGTTTGAAATCGGCGCCGTTGCTTCACGCGCGCGCGCCCGCGCGGTCACCGCCGTGGTCAGCCGCCTGCGCCACGCTGCCGCTCGGCCCCGCTGCCTGCCGCGAGCTCTGCAGCGCGTGCCCAAGCCGCTCCACCCACGTCCGTCCAAAACTGAGAAGCAGAGCCCTCTCTCTCCCGCTTCTCTCCCTCCCGAAATCGGCATGGAGCAAAGCCCCCTTTCCACCACCCTATCTCCCTTTTTCCCTCTTCGGTTCGACCTCTCTCTCTCCCGCCCCTGTTCGCTTGCGCTTGGAGGCAGAGACGCTGACACCGGTGCGCCAGTTCGCCGCCCCCACCTTGACTGCGCCGAGCTGCCCCTCCCCCGCTCGCGAATCAATTTCCACCGCCCGATCCACCGCCTTCGCCGCTCTTTGCATCCTCGTCGTCCGCCGCTCTTGCGTCGCCCGTGACCGCCGCCGAGCGCTCAACCGCCAAGTCGGTTTCCACCTCCCCAAACCGACCTCGCCTTCGCTATAAAAACCCGAGCCCCTCCCATCGAATCCTTCTCTCGTTTCACTTCCATCACCGCCGCGCCATTGTTGTTGCTCGCCCCGCTCTCGCCCTCGCCGTCCGCCACCGAGCACCGGAGGAGCCAGTGCGTGCGTGGACGCGTGACGAGGAGCTCCAGGCTGCCCATTGCCACCTCTCCCTCCCTTCTTCCCCGGCCGTGCACCCTCGGTGCCGCGCCGCCCCGCCGTCGCGTCCACCTCGCCGCGACTCCATCCGCGCCGCCAACGCCGTTTATCTCGTTGGTGAGCTCCCCACCGAACCACTTCCCCTTGTCGCACGCCGCGCCATGCCCGCCGCCGTTCGCCACAGCTCGCCCTCGCACCTCCTTGGCTCGCGTGGTAGCTCGGCTAGCCTCTCGAATGCGCGTAGACGCCGTCCCAGGTCTCGCCGCCGCCTGGCATGGCCTCGCCGCCATTGTCGCCCGCTCCCGGAGACCGCCGTCGACGCTGGCCCTCCTCGGTGCTCCTCCACCCTATCCGGAGCCGGAAACGGGATCCCCGACTCCCAGAGATACTCCCACCACCTTGAATTGAATCCTTGTCGCCCCTCCGCCGTTTCCCTCTTTTTTCTCACCGCCAGCGCGCGCCGCCGCAATCCGCCGCTGTCGGCCTTTCTCTCGCCGATTCCTTGCGCCGCGACCCTCCCCGTGTCCCCTTGAACCTTCCCAGGCTGCCGCCCCAGTCGCCGGCCTCCCCACCCACTCCCGCGCCATGTCGCCCCTTCAGCCGCCGCATAGCGCCGCCGCGAGTTTGAATGCGGTGACCATCGGGTCCCGCGTCACTGCGTGCGCGTCGCAACACCATACCGGTTCGGCTAAGCCCGAGCCCGCGCGCCCTTCGCTCTTCTCGCGCGCGGCCACGTCGGCGTGCCGGCGAGATTGGCCGCCGCCGCCGGCCGTCGTCGCGCGACGTCTTCCCGATCCGAGCCGTGGAATGAGTTCCCCTTCTCCTCCTCCTGCCGCCGGTGCCTGCCGCCCACTCCGGTTCACCGCCGTTCGTCGGCGCCTCTCGGCCGCCGTGAGCCGTCCGATCCGGGCGAGCTCGGCCTCCCTCTCTCGCGCTTGCGTGGCAGCCACCTCAGCCGTCGGCCCCACTTGACCTGGTCAAGCCGGCGCCCAGTCAGCCGCCCCACTCCTCCTCCCTCTCTCTCTCTCTCTCTCCGCGCGCCTCTTGGGCTGCCTCCTTGTGCCCGCGCCGGCCCAATGGCTCGGCCGAGCCTCCTTCAACCCTTTGGGCCGCACCAATGCCACCCGAAACAAGTCTAATATACATCCCTCCTTGATTTTCCTTTCCAAAAAGGATTTAATACATCCTTTTTCCTTTGTTCCATAAATCAATTCCTTATTCCAAAATTCCATGTCCCGCTTGTCAGTTGTCACGCCCCGAACTAGTCCTGACCGGAACTAGCCCGTGACGCTCCAAATTAACCTATTAATCGATACCAGTCCCAGGAAACAGTGCTGGTATCACAGGGAGACAGAATATCACAGCAACAGAGGTCTCTTTATTATAGAGTAGAGATACAGTCATGTTGGGCTGCGGACAGATCCCGAGCTCACAACTGCATTACAAAAGGGAAACGGAAGCCAGGACTTGGACCAAACAACACAGGCGCGGCTTGGGAACTAGGCCGAAACCCTAAAACTCATCGTAGCCAGCTTGCTCCTGGAAGAACTCCTCATCAGCAGGATCCGCTTCATCTTCTTTAGCAACTGGGGGAGATTATTTATATAGAGCAAGGGTGAGTACGGGGGTACTCAGCAAGCCATGGGAAATAAGTGTTTAATGCATGCTTCAAGGAAAGGCTGTTGTTTTTGCAATTGATTTTATTTGAACTCCTTTCTGAAAACAACTAAGTGAGTGCTTCTCAAACGACACGGATGAGACAGTGCGTCTCGTCCGGTCGGAGTATGTGCAATGTATCAGTCTTTAGAATTGAATCAAGGTTGGCACCCGGCCAACAGCTTTTCAAACAGCCACCCGGGCCAACAACTTTCAAATGGCCACCCGGGCCTAGCTGATCCCATCAGCTGCAGATCTTTCAAACATCGAACCCCTTTCCACAACAGCAATTTCACAAGCAGTAGTCAAACAAAACTACGCTAGGAATCACCTCACATCCGCCCATGACCGTGGGCATGGCTGTTCGAACAGTTTGTTAACCTCTGCAGAGGGGGTACACTTTACCCACACGACATTACTAACCCGGATCACCCAGCCCGTGGGGATCAGCCACGTCGGGAGACCTCCAAGCTTTCATGACAAGGCATTTTCAAAGCCGACACAGGTTTACCATATGCCGACGAGAGGGGTCCCAGACCAACAACAGGTTAGGTCCCAAACCATACTGTGCCAGGAAGCCCAGGGGTCCTCCCCGACACCACCCCGGCGGATCCACATGTCTCTCGGCATCAAGGCTCCCCTGATAAGCTAGTTACTCAGCTAGGGGTGTCCCATTCCACCCATGTGGTCGTACTTGTCTTATGTTTGGATGAAATTCCAAGGAAACGGTCCTTAAGTGCAAGAGCGGGAAACCGTACACCCGGTACATTCCCCGGTCCGCGGTTTTGGAAATTCATTTAGTTCGCAAGCACCAACCCAGGTGTCGGGTTTTCCAAGTCTTTTGTAAAACCAAAGTTTTACCCAAGTTGTTAATCAGATTTTAAGTTTTGAAGGCGTCCGTCGATACTCGCACAGGGTGCACGAATATCGAGACGCAACTAGATGGTTACAAGGGGACATGATATAACAATTAACAAAGGAAGGATCAAATGCAACAAATTAGGTAGGTCCGCCAATCTGCCTTGCAGACGGGACAACAGATTAAGTGCGATCCTATCAATGCATAATATTTTTCAAGCAACATAATTAAATTTCAAATATAGGCTCAAGATGTTCAAAGGTGGCTTGCCTTGCTCGAGATCTGGAGCTTGATCCTCGAAATCCTCGCACTGCGGGTCTTTGGGCTCCGAAACTACACGCGAAACGGGACAA